CCCGCGGCTTTACTTGCGTGAATCAGTATATAGTAACCTATATACTAACTTAGAATATAGACAAATATTCTGTATTGTTTCCTCCAAAAGATTACAATGGTAATAATATCATAAATACAAACACTCAGGTTACGGAATGAGCTCCCTGCCTAATCCTTCAGGGTCGGCAACGCGCGCGTAATAACTCTGGTATTGCAGGCGTTCATAGGCTACGGTAACCGCTTACCATCAGGTGGGACGTATGCTTGTTTGCCACTTCAGTGGTATAAAAAAAAAAAACAATTATAAGAAAAGATTACGTTAAGAAAACAATACGTGGTCTTATCGTGGTCTCTTCCAGGCAACCTTTGGCTGGAGAAGATTTATTGTGTTAATTTAATTGAAATCCTAGTTTTTGCATTAAAGAGTAATAAATATCGAACCATCCATCAATACAAACTATCGCATTTATATTACTATTAGGATTTATTTAAATACCTTACGTATGTTATGAAGATATATACACATAATATATACATACATAATCTATCCTGAGAAAAGATCTTCTTTAATTACATAGGATTTGTTTTAATTTGGATATCCCCCTCCCCTTGGTGATATATGGTGGAATACGCCCCCTACGTGAAATTCATCCCTCAGATTATGTTTATATAATTTTTATTGAACATATTGATTGATATTTTGTTTCATTCCACTACATACCTTTTGTCTTCCATCCCATTTTCCAATAGAAGAAGGTGGTTTCGTCCACAGGAGAGTTTTTTTTTAATAGGTGAAAATGGAATGGTAACCCCGCCCGCGCTATTGGTATACGCCGACGAGGCACCAGTGGATGATTATAGGTGAGAATGAATGCAGGTCAGTTGGCCCATCATGATGAGTTCGACAAGAATTAAACATGATGGTTTCCAGGGAAAACCGCGTGGAGGTCAACCTGAGACCCTCTCTATATTTTATATTGCTAGCAATGGGGCTATTAGACCCTATTACTAACAATCCCTTTCCCCCCCTCCACAGGAGAGTAGGTACTATCTGCGGTATATTCTAAAATACAGAATTAAAAAAAAAAAGATTTAATTAATGCATAAAGTACAATGTTGGTTGCAATACATTTTGAAATCCACTAAATATGAAATTGATCTATATAATGTTAAGCATTCGCTTATTTTATGTATGAGATTCACATTTTAATTAAAGCTTGTGTTTCACAAAAAAAAAAAGGTCAACTAATTTAAAAATAGTTATTTTGCTCTAAAAATTAAATTACTGAACCGATTTTGATAGAATTTCTATGGGACCAACCTGTAAGTATATCCTTTCAGACAAATAAAGAATTATCCAAATCTCTTTAGAACAGGATGAGGGATGATGTGGACGGATGAGGTAACAAACAAAAAAAATACGATCGAAAGGAGAACATCCTTCTTTTTAAAGTCGGTTTCAAAATAGATTAAAGTACTTGGTTATTGTAAAAAAAAGTGATTCATTACTTCGAGTAAAAAAGGTGTGGAAGTTCGCAATCTGTAATAATAGATAATTCATTGTACGAACAAAGGGCTACGGCGCAACTAAGGTGAAATAGAATAGTCCCCTATCGAGGGGAGCGCCCGTATTTGCATGCCCCTCGTGGATCCAGGGTGTTTATATCTATTGTAGAAAAAACCAGGACCAACAGTAGGCACAATTTTGTCTCATAGTAAACTTATCCCCAAAACTAGTTCCCAAGATACAGGTCTGGCCTAGTTTGGGGACTAATGGTAATGGTAATGCATTATCGGGAGAAACTTCTTTAATTATTTGACTCTAAACATATTACGTCTTATTACAAAAAAAGTTACACTTGCGATAGAAAGATGAACAATATTTGTTGGGACTATTTATTTATTTATTTTTGAGGGAAGCTTACAGCTATAATAACTTAATCTGTATCTATACTAATATATATACTAATATAATATAATGAAACTGTAGAGGTCGAATGTGTGTACATAGAAAAAAAAATGCAAAAAACCGAGTCAGATGGATGTTAGAAGTGAAATAGAACGCATCCAGACTTTTAAAATTTTTTATTTTGCTGTCTGTTTGTACAGGCTATTCTCCGGAACTGTTAGACTGATTTAAATAAAATTTTAATTTTGATCCAGTATTCCCGGACATTGTTCACTACAATAAGGAGGTTAAAAATGTTAATCGAAGGAATAATAAATACCACGCGGACGAAGTCGCGAGCATCAGATAATATTTAAATATATACATAATAACAATTATTAAAAGCTACCACGTATGGTTAACGAAAACTGAATTAGTTACAGTCTAGATAATTCATAAGTGTGTAAACACAAGGTTAACTATTTACTACAAAAACATACCTACCATCTTTTTTTTTATACACAACTTATAATGGCAAACAACCTGACGGTCCACCTGATGGAAAGTAGTAATCGTCGTCTATAGACATGAGCAGTACCATGGACATAACAAAGTATACTGTTTCGCCCATGATACCCACCATGCGTTGCCATTCCTGAGGACTCAGGTGTTATTCCTCTGTACCTAGTAAATTCACGCCATATCCCACCCTTTAAACCGAAACACAGCCATGCAAACACAACTGCTTCACGGTTGAAATACGAATCGGACAGAGGTACCCAAGCAATCGACTTTTGTACAAAGTCTCTCTCTGGTATAACATCACATCTGTTTCTGTCTAAATAAAAGAGAGTCTATGTTGTTAAAATTACTTATTGTTCATATTAGTACATAAAATAAAGGATATTTAATCGCTTAGAGTTTTAATAAACAATGTTTGACAAAATACTAATGGTTATTTCCGTTGTTAAATACTTTACAACTTATAGTTCAAAATGAATGAAAAATTTGTATGTGACGGACTCGAGATATACTTTATTATTCATGTCACACTCGAGTGATGCGTCTGCAAAGCTTTATTAGTTGTGGTTACCACCGGGTGAATGGTAGGTATCATTGCTACACAAACTGCTTTGTAAAAAAAATTTACTAAATAAACTTTTTTCTTGTTTAGATATTGTTTTCACCATTCATAAACTATATACCAGATCGTGCAATCTGACACATTTTTTTTTTGTTTAACGAGGTAACCGTTATTCCCACATTTATAAACCGCATTGGTTTTTTTTTTTTTTTTTATCTGAAAGGATATACTTTCAGATTGGACCCATAGAAATTTTGTTAAAATCGATTCAGTGGTTTAGATTTTAAATCAAAACATCTGATTTTCCTACTATTGAAATCGCTGTATTATTGTTGTAGAACAAAATCTTAATTTTCACTTACAAAGCAAAATGTATCTAGTTAAAAATAAATATATTTAAATCTAATGTGTTTACAAAACAATTCAACGTTTATAGATTTTTATTTCTTTATTATTTTTTTTTTCATTTTTAAATAAGAATATTGAGATTTCTAGTTCATATTTACTTGGTTTTATATACACGGTTTTATTTTGTAGAGCAAAACCTACTTGACTTATGTGGTTATGTCCTGGATAGTTATAAAAGTCTAGCCATTGTTAGGCAGGGTGGTCGGGTGTGCCCCCTGCAAAGCTGCCCGGATTACCGACCCACCAAATTGACCGGCTATGCAAGCGTAATTCTATTTAGTGCATATCGTATTACTTTAGAAGGAATATCCTGTCTAATAATGATGTAATATGAGTTTTGCATTTGTTGTTTAGTATTTTGATGTTACACCGATATATTGATAAAGTTTCCTAAGTTATGGATACTATTTTTTGTCTCTGGTTTCACAAGTTTCTCTCTCTCTTTCATAAAAAGTATCTTCCATTTAGAAGAAAATAATAATGTAATAAATTATTTTAAAATTTTTCAAATGTTGTTGACCGTTTTATGTCCCAATTATCTATAGAAAAAAATTACGTGGCTAATTCTGTCTCTGTATATAATTTGACTATTACCTTTTTTTTTTCTTTTTCTAGTCTGCTAATTGGCAATCTGTTCCTTATAGAACAATAATCCAATCTGCTGTTTGGATGTCAGGTTTAAATCTTGTTAATATATGATGAGGCCAATCCATTAACCAGCTCTCAGTCTCTATTTGTAAATCTTTCTACCAGTCCTTGGATACTGTGTCTTTTTAATCGAGAGAAATTGAGCGGTCAATTCATTTCTATGGCTGTTCAATCTGAACTGATAGTTTTTGCTGAATGTCTCGATTTCCTGTTTTATCGTTTTCAGTTTAATGTCCATACACATAAATTTATTACTTATATATTGTGGTATATTAAGCATGTTCCTTATTGTCTTACTGTGGAACCTTTCCAGTATTTCTATACTGCTGTTACTAGCTGAGCCCCAAACTATTACCTTAAACTACATTTTAAACAAATTCTACCTGAACTAGTATTATCACTACTACATAAATAAATTTATGTTTATACACGTGTTATGTATATGTACATCGAGCGCGATGCGTTCTTTTGTGAAAGGTTACATTTGAATCACAGAGGGGGTGAGGTTAGCTCAAGAGAAGGATAGGGAATAGCCAATTTATGTATTATTACTACAGAACATACATACATATATAAAACATCGCCACATCAGCAAAACACCATTGTGGGTGTGGTCTATGTTTAACAGTACTTAGCTAATGATGATGATAATTAAACTCTTATCTCTTAATTTATGATTAAACGAACTTAGCTCTAGAAATTGCTCTATTATAATTCCTGGCTTGTTTGGAGAGATCCGTCCCACTTCGTCCTGTCCTAACTGTAGAAAAATTATACTGTACTATTACTTATAATATGATTATACTTCTATAGACAGTGCATAACAAACAATACAATGTTTCTACCTAATTCCGATCACGAACAACTTACCGACTAACGTTATCAGTGCCAACAATCGAACTATGAAATAACGAACTCAATCGATCAGTGCCAACGAACATGATACGAGTGTAAACTTCAAGATGATGAAGTTCAAGTCCTTGTTCCGTAGAGGTCCGAGCCAGGGGAAGCAGGAGACGACCCTCAAAGGAGCTCCATCTATCTCCAGTCTCGATTCTAAACATCACAAAGTAGCTCCGGCCCGTGACAAGTCATTAAAAATATTCGGATCAAAAGAGAAGCTTCATAAGGCTCATAAGAGGAAAGATCTCGGGAATAACAATGCTGTTTTAGAAGACCCCGAGTTGAGAGAAGGACTGGAGACGTACGAAGATGGCCAGGTCAGGATACATGACTACGGGAGCGCTGAGGAACTGGGGTCCGTAGACGAGAGGGGCTCGCAGGAGTGCGTCAGTCTGCCTGTGATGCTTAATGCCGAACACATGCCAGGCTTCCAGGAAGTGGAGCTCAGGCCTAGAGAACCGTCAGAGGTTGGTAGTTTTTATTTATATTATTAGTTTTGTAATCTAAAGTACATTTACGTGTATTTTATTAATTTTGAGATTTCTTATCCTGTGTTTAAATACAGCTATTTTTTGATAAAGACCTAAAAATCCTTTGAAAATAATCTTTTGGAGTTTCTAGATTTTTTTCTTTGTTTTAATGAAATAATAAATATATTTTATTATCTAATCAAAAGGCTCTTTTCAAACAAATAGAACTTAACAGTCTTTCAAATGACTAATTTCTTTTGTTAGAGGCCCTTATAGACAGACCTCGTTGTGACAATCATATAATCCAATCAAGTTTTGTAAATAAGGTCTTGAATTCGATTATCATTCGTACCAATTTTGGTAATGAATTTCCCCAAAATCTCTTGAGTGTTCTGGATTTGCCATCAGATTTTCTTCCAATAATATATTGCAACTCCAGGAGCATGCTCCTGTTGGTTGGCAGCGCTTATTTATCTATTTTAAACTGTCTACATTTAAATACTAAAGAATTCTAATTACGCTTTACAGGCATCTCTGGCATCAGGCATTCGTGAGATTGAATCATTGCGACGGGAACTAGAAATAAGCACCATGGAGAGAGCGCAACTTCAGACTAGAGTGGACGAGCTCTTGGAGAAGGCTGCAGACGCTGAAAGGTTGCGGACAGAACTCGAAAGACTGAAGGTAGGTGATGCATTTTCATTCTTTTGCTCTAGTGTTAGTGTGATATATATCATAGTAACATTAGAGCTAATAAATACTGCTCTATATCCTATTCGGTACTTTCGAAGTGTTAAAATTGAAAGGAAGACATTATTGCGAAACAAACGTTAATTTTTATAAGCGGCGGTTATTACTTGTCCTCAAGTGGATCATTCCAAGTTCTATAAAAAGAATTTTATATACATTTATGCTATATTTGTTTAAGAAAAAGTCCACGGGGTTGTGCTTTTTTGTTTATATTTCTCAACTTATTTGTAGAAGAAACTTGTTAATTCGATATACATATACATTATTTACACCAAATCTAAACCAATTTTATAGATTTTTTTATTATAACCGTTTACTCTTAAGTCTCGTGGTGGTGCAGTTTTATGTTATTTTTTTTGATGGGTGAAAATGGTATGATAACCCCGCCTGCGCTAACGGGATACGCTGGCGGAGCACCAGTGAAGGGTAATAGATGAGAATGAAAACAGGCCAGTTAGCCATTATGATGAATTCATCAGGAATTAACCATGATAGTTTCCAGGGAGAACCGCGAGGAGGTCGACCTGTTTGGGTATATTGCTAGCAATGAGATTCTCAGTCTCCATTACTAACAATCCCTTTCCCCCCTGCGGTTTTATGTTGTCAACTGTAAAGTAAATTCATTGTAATAACAAATTGTATTGTTTCCACAGACAGCGGAAATAGAACGCGAGGCAGCCCTGGAACGATTGGCGGACGAGAACGGTGCGCTGCGGGCGCGGCTGCGCGGCGTCGCGCACTCGCCGCTCTCCGACAGCGAGAAGCGGCAGCTGCTGCTCGCGCCCGCGCCGCGACGCATGCACTCGTCCGCGCCCGCCTCCATCGCGCTCGCGCACAATGTGAGTACTAAAGCCCTTACACGCAGCGTTGACCCACATGGGATATTTTATTTTACCCAAATACAAAAAATATTTCCATATCTTGTCTATCTATCTATCTATCTATCGATTGATATAATATGGTCGCAAGTCTATAATACACCTATCCCCCGATTTACACGGTAGATACGTTTCTGAGAAAAACGTGTAAATCGAAAATTAAAAATTTTCAAGTCAAAACCGTGTAAATCGAAAAGCTTGCAGAAAATGCATAATTTTGCTATTTAACAGTTGTGATTTTTTTCAATATTTTTAGGTGTACACAGAAATAAAAATAAATGCATTGACAGGTTAAAATATGTAATATATTACGGAAACACTGTTTTTTTATTTAATTACAATACATTAAACGATCCAAAGCGATCCAAAATTTCGATTTTAGTTTCTAAAGAAATAACTTTTCTTTTAACTTTTTTCGACATTATAAGCCTATAATTTTTTTTTTAATTTATGTTAATTTATAAAAATCTTAATTATGCACTCACTTGTAATTTACGAATATGAAAAATTTAATCTTTCTGACACTGTGAAACTTTCACTCAAATACAATTTTCCGTAGATAAAACTTTAATTTTATGCGAAGAAATACAGACACAGTGTGCATGTGCAGCAAGTCAGCACATAAGCTCGGGATTCCCCGTGAGATGTGTACACAGCGCACGTGTTCAAACACAGTAGCATTTAGTAGAGTGCAATAAAAACAAAAAAAAAAAACTTATTTGGAAAACCGTGTAAAAGCGAAAACGTGTAAAACAAGTACCGTGTAAATCGGGGGATAGGTGTACTATCAAATGAAGCAGCGACCTCTGGCGTCTCTTTGTATGTACACTAACGAAACCGTATCTACCGATGTGTAACACTTATGAAGGGGTACTTATTTTTTTTTTTTAGAATTTACATTACTAAACTATTTATTTCTTATTCAACTAATGTAACAAATTCAAATTATTTAGACAAAAAGCGACTTAATAACCTACATTTTAATCTTGAATATTCTACAGGTATACCGAACTTTTTTCAAATCTGTTAAACAATATCAACATCATCATCATCATCTCAGCCATTATCCGTCCACTGCTGAACATAATTTTGGCGTGATGTGTGTACAGACACATTTACCAAAATTATATGAATAGATGAATAGGTTATACAATAAATATTCTTTCTATTATTATTTTATTGTATTATTTAAAAATAAAATTAAGATATTTGTGTTTGTTTACGCGCAAAGCCTGTCCTTGAGACGTTTATTCAGTCTATGTACTGTTATTTATTTACGCAGCTGACTAATGTATGCAAGAAAGTTTTCAATATAGACTTTCATGACCTCTAACTGCGTAGTTCACACTTATATGTACACACTTATATTTTATGAAGGAGATATTTTTTGATAATTACAACCATATGGCAAAAAGGCTCTTGAGTGGCGACCCCGTACGGGCGGTGTACGATGACCCCCCACCTCCCCTATTATTTTTTTTAATGGATGATAATGAAATGGCAGTCCCGCCTGCGCTAATGGTATACGTTGGCAGGGCACCAGTGAGGGATGATAGATGACTATGAAAAGGCAGGTCAGTTAGCCCATTGTGATGAATACACTTGGAATTTAGCACGATGGTTTCTAGGGGGGACCACGGGGAGGTCGACCTGATAGGGTATATTGAGAGCAAAGGGATTGATATATTAGTAGCTATAGGAATTAACCTCCCCATTACTAACAATCCCTTCTCCCCCATTATTGTATGTTTTGGTATATATAAAATAAAGAATATATAAATATTAGTAATATTTATGATATCGGGGGAAATATTTAATAATTGTTAGCAATGGAGTTTGACAGCCCCATTGCTAGCAATATGCCTTATTAGGTCGACCTCCACGTGGTTCCCCCTGGAAACCATCCTGAACAATTCTTGTTGAATTCGTCACGATGGGCTAACTGACTTACTTCATCCTCACCTATCATCCTTCACTGGTGTCCCGCCGGTGTATACCGATAGCGCGGGTGGGGTTACCATTCCATTATCATCCATTTAAAAAAAAATATGTGTGACAGGGTGAGGGTGACAGCGGCGAGGCGAGCACCCCCGAGTGGGACAAACACTCGTCATCGTCGCTCAGCGAGGTGTCGGTCGCGTGTCTGCAGGACCGCATACAGCAGATGGAGGAGCACCATTACAGGTGAATAAATATATTATTTCAGTAATCCACAATACATTAATAAGTACACAGCATATAGCATTTTGCCACATGCTATGTGGTCTCTGCATAGAATATGCCAGCCCTTTCTTTCCTCTGGGTGTCGTAAGAGGCGACTAAGGGAGTGTGAGGGATGGGCAGCAGCGTCCCTCTTAAACATCTCCAAAGCCTAACTGCCGTTGCCAATGTACCTGCAGAGCGTGGCAACTACTGTTAAAATTGTCCAAGGTGGAGGCTTGTATTCAGCAGTGCAGTTAAAGACTGTTAAATATATCATTTTAATGTAATATCTACCGGTTTAACTTACGGAGCTCGACTAGTTTCGGGACCATTCGGGACCCTTAATCTTGAGCGGCTGTAGCGCAAGTGCGAGCCTCAGTGCGCACCTTGATCCGTTGGGCATGAGCTGCAGGCATTCGCAGCTTATATTTATATGTAGCATGTAACATGGAGAATATTAGATATAAAAAAATAATAGGGGCGCTTTATTTTGTAATCAACTGCTTAGCAATTTGGCAAGTGTTATGTATAAGTAATCTAGTATTTTATACACTTAATAAAAATAAAGTAAATAACACTTTTATAAATAGCTTAAAATTACATGCTAGTGGGGGATAGGCGAGGATGAAAAGGCAGATCAGTTAGGTCGTCGTGAAGGATTCTACAAGAATTTATCACTTCCATAGGAAACCGCGTGGAAGTTAACCTGATGGGTTTTTTTTTGATGGGTGAAAATGGTATGGTAACCCCGACTGCGCTAACGGAATACGCTGGCGGAGCACCAGTGAAGGGTGATAGATGAGAATGAAAACAGGCTAGTTAGCCCATCATGATGAAATTATCAGGAATTAACCATGATAGTTTCCAGGGGAAACCGCGAGGAGGTCGACCTGGTTGGGTGTATTGCAAGCAATGGGATTCTTAGTCTCCATTACTAACAATCCTTTTCCTCCCTAACCTGATGGGGTTATATTACTGGCAATGAAACTGTTATTCCTCATTACTAACAACCTTTTCCTTCCCTCACTCTATATTAGTAGTTAGCCCAGCTTTAGTATATAAACTAAAAATTAACTATAGGTTTCAGTAGGTTGCCCCTCAAATGTAGGTAGATCTAGTACCAGTAAAGTGTGGGTGATTCGCTAGTACCATTGCTAGCTCTCCACTTAATGGAAAATGGTAACCGTCGCCTAAAAACATGAACAACACTATGGACATAGAATACGTCTCTATGGTATCCTAACAACAACCGTAATTGTTGAGTCTTTTTCCGTTCAATTTTCTTCCCCCCTTCCCTCTTAATCGACAGCACCATTTGACAAATTTACTGGGTACAGAGGAATAACATCTGAGTCCTCAGGAATGGCAACACATGGGGGGTATCATGAGCGAAACAGTATACTTTGTTATGTCCATGGTACTGCTCATGTCTATAGGCGACGGTTACAATTTTCCATCAGGTGGACCGTCAGCTTGTTTGCCATTCTGAGTTGTATAAAAAAAAATTCCTTCGGAAACTTACTTTAAAATGTAAATGTCTTCTAAATATATCTTGACATAATATTATGGTGACGTGTGATGGCTGTTACTTAAATTCTATAAACAAATATATATACAGCACAAGTGAAGAGTTGCAAGCGACGTTAGCGGAGTTGGCGGACTTGCAGTCACAGTTGGCGGACGCGCACGCCGACAACGAGCGGTTGGCTGAAGAAAAACAGGTGCTGCTCGAGTCGCTGTGCCAGCAGACCGAGAAGTTGGAAGATAGCAGGACTAAGGTCAATAACATTGCATATTGAGCACTCACCAGAGGGAGACTTTGTATAAAAGTCGTTTGCTTGGGCACCTCTGTTTCATTCATGTCTCTATCGTGAAACAGTTGTGTTTGCATGGCTGTGTTTCGGTTTGAATTTGGTTTGGTGGGATAAGTCAATGCATTTACAGGGTACAGAGGAATAACACCCGAGTCCTTAGGAATGGCAACGTATGGGGGGTATCATGGGCGAAACAGTATACTCTGTTATGTCCATGGTACTGCTCATGTCTATAGGTGACGGTTACCACGTTCCATCAGGTGGGCCGTCAGCTTGTTTGCCATTCTAAGTTGCATAAAAAAAGTCTCTTGGAAAAACCTCGACAAGGAGCTCATCCCATAACCTGAGCGTTCGTGGTAGAAAATATCTCTGAAACCGCGCTGTACGTGACCATCTGGACTTTAAAGTACGGGGGTGAACTCCCTGACGATGACGAGCTGTACGTTGGTAGAAAGTCTATTATGAAAATAGTTCGTGCCTTTAAAGTACCATCATAAGATCAAATCGATATTTCGAAAATCAATCGAAATAATAATCGTAACGATCTTTTTAATGCAAAATTGTATACGATATTAGGACACACGCGCGATCCGCGATGCATCGTTATGACAATTGCTCCGTGTAACCGAACTTTATATTTATATAACTTGTCTATTGTTAATTTTCTTCAGGTGGACACACTCCAGCTCCTGCTGCGTGAAGGTGTGGAGCCGGAGACCATACCTGCTGCCGACACCGAGCAGCTCTTGACTGTTTTAAAGGTATATTAGAACTGTCATCGCCACAAATTTAAAACTACCGACATACTATCGGACGTGTCAGTCAGTCGCGACTGAACAATCGAAAGTCCGAAAACTTGACTCATTGGATGTTTTTCACATACATGGGCACCAATTAAGCAAAGAAAGAGAGAACCAAATAATCGTGCTAACCTAGATTCAAATAAATCGCGTTCATCAGCCGTGATTTACGAATTGGCGGATCGATAGTTCACCTTACGAGGAACACGTGTAAGATGTGAGCAGTCAGCATATCACAGCAAATGGCGTGGCAATGGCGTGAATTTACAGGGTACACTCATGAATAATTATGTTACCTCTTTTATGTACTTACTTTTTCTTTTTTTTCTTTTTGTATATGTATTGTTTTGTTTCTTTTTTATGTATGTACCAATAGCTGATGTCATTTGTGTGCTGTAAATAATGCAAATAAATTATATATCATATATATGTATATATGTGTGTGTATATTATATATACACATGCTAAACATAAGCCTCCCCTTAGGGGGGTTTGCCAGTAGTTGCCTCGTTTCGCAGGTGAATTGGCAATTGCAGTTAGGCTTTGGAGATGTTTTAAGAGGGACGCTGCTACCCATCCCTCGTCCTCCCTTAGTCGCCTCTTATGACACCCACGGGAAAAGAAGGGGTGGCCTATTCTATGCCGGGACCACACGGGACGTAGTTACTATTTATTAAATACAGGAATGTAATATCTACCTAGATATTTCTACTCATAGTCATACATTATTTATTACACAATTGGTAAATATAGTATTTGTTCACCCGGCTTAGAACAGGTATAGTTGACAATTCTCCGTTTTTTTTGTGTGTCTTTGGTATTTTGTCGACTTATTCCGACCAATTTAAGGCGAGTTTAGCTATGAAAATGTAACAGACAAGATGAAATACTTATTTTTATATTATAATTTAAATATTATTTTTATTTAAGATTACCTGGAAGAGATCGCCATTTAGCTATAAGGACGTCCATTATTGCCTAGAGAGGCAGATTCTTGCTTTTATGTAGTTAAGTATTAATTTTGTGTACATTTTTTTTTTTGATGGGTGAAAATGGTATGGTAACCCCGCCTGCGCTAACGCTGGCGCCACCAGTACCAGTGAAGGGTGATAGATGAGAATGAAAACAGGCCAGTTAGCCCATCATGATGAATTCATCAGGAATTAACTATGATAGTTTCCAGGGAGAACCGCGAGGAGATCGACCTGGTTGGGTATATTGCCAGCAATAGGATTCTCAGTCTCCATTATTAACAATCCCTTTCCCCCTGTGTACATATTGTTAATGTTTATAATCCGTAACATTCTTTGCAGGGAACAATAAAGTTTTCATTCATTCATTATTATAAATATTAGTGAGAATTACTGTTTGTTTATCAGTTGTCGCAAGAAGAACGACGTCACCTGCAGAGCAAGCTGGAGGAGCTCGAGACAGAGACGAAAGATACCAAAGCTGCGTTGGAAGAGAAAACCAAAGAAAATGAAGCCCTCGCTGAAAGGATTAGGTGAGTGAACGAGATAGCAAGGTTTATTGCGTACTCGTATCGGCTTTTATATTCTAAGCATTTTTTTTAATATAGTGATTGTATTTATTAACGATTTTTTCTATTAAATTTATTTTTGTACTAGCCGTTTCCCATGGTGTTGCCCACTTCTAACTATGTAATACCCATAAATCAGTCCCATTGGAACACTTAGAATCCTGTCTTATATTGTATTATATACTTAAATGACAATTACGTACCTAATACCTTCGTAAAGTTTCAGTCAGTACAAAAGTCAATTGCTTGGTTACCTCTGTCCCATTCGTGTTTCAACCGTGAAGCAGTTGTGTTTGCATGGCTGTATTTCGGTGGGATATGGCTTGAATTTACTGGGTACAGAGGAATAACACCTGAGTTCTTAGGAATGGCAACGCATGGGGGGTATCATGGGCGAAACAGTATACTCTGTCATGTCCGTGGTGTACTGCTCATGTCTATAGGCGATGGTTACCACTTTCCATCAGGTGAACCGTCAGCTTGTTTGCCATTCTAAATTGTATAAAAAAAAACTGATCGGTTATTTTATAGCATTTTATATATGAATCTTTAGATTGATAGAACTTTTTTATTTATGAACCGATTGAAATAAAACAAACACTAAATGTAAAGTGAAGTAAACCGCAACGCAGTAATGAAAGTTGCATTCATATCAGTTAAGCCGTTTCTGTGATTAGCGTGCATAAACGTACCGATAAACAGACAAAAATTCTAAAAATCATTGTTTTAGGTTCTATTGCGTTCATAAAGACTCCTTAAAATAGATTTTCTTATATATCTTCTATGTAGGGACCAGTTACGATTTTATTATATGTATTGATAACTTTATTAAAATCACCTTGTAACTGTACACAAAATAATCCTAATATATGTGTATATTATCTAGAATGGTAGAAAGCAACACGGAACGCCTGGAGACGGAGCGCGTGCAGTGGGAGCGAGAGGCTACCGCGCGCCAGGAGCAGCTCCACAACCTCACCAACTTGCTGGATGCCGCTAAAGCCAAGGTAATTGAAACTGTTTCCATATAGATGGTATATACTTAGAACTTATATATTATCTCATATTGGGTTTGCTGGAAGAAATCTCTATTGGACATAAGCTCGCCTTTGTGTACTATTATGTTTGTTTTTACATTTTAATAACCTTTTGTGTACAATAAAGAATAAAGAAAGAACTTAGTAAGGTGAAATACTTTTATTATAATCTTGTATAAGGCGGTCTTATTGCTGAGAGCAATCTTTTCAATGTACTTGTAATGTAAGATAAGATTGTCTATAAGAAGACGTATGTAATGTAAGATTGTCGTGTACAAAATAACTCTGGTTAAAAATTTTTAATTACGACGAAACTGAAGAATTTTTCAAATATAAATATTTGAATAATTCCAAAATATTGATGAGTTACTTTTTAATAAAAGATCTTAAATATGGATTTGCACAGAACTACACAAATACTCATACAACATACATACTACACAATAACTGGTATATGTTCGCATACATACACTTACACGCATGCACATATACATTCATACACACATATACACCTACACGCACGCACACACATACACGCACGCACACACACACACACACACACGCACACACACACACACACACACACACACACACACACACACACACACACACACACACACACGCGCGCGCACGCACACGCACGCACGCACACGCACGCATGTGTTTAGATACACTCGCTTATTACTAATACTAGATAATGTTTATGTGTTAATTTATATTTATATTTTGAATGTGGGACCTGTGTGTCAGCTGGCGGAGCGCGCGGGCGTGGCGGCGGGCGCGGCGGAGGCGGAGGCGGCGGCGGCGGCGGCGGCGGCGAGCGCGCGCCGCGAGGCGGACGCGCTGGCCGAGCGCCTGGCGCACGCGCAGCGCCAGCTCGACCGCGCGCACTGCGACGCGCGCAAGCTGCACGACGACGCCATGGTGCGCCCCGCACACCGCACACCGCACACCGCACCCACTCACTCACTCACTCACTCGCGCTACACCGCCTCACTTCATTTTATATCCACCTGCCATCTCTCAGGGAGCTATCCCTACCAGTGTTAATTGATTGATTACACAGGCAGGATCAGCCGCTATCCTCCTTTTACATTTTCTTTAATGGATGATAATGGAATAGTAACCCCGCCCGCGCTATTGCTATATGCTAGCGGGGCACCAGGTAAGGGATGATAGGTGACGATGAAAGCAGGTCAGTTAGTCCATCGTGATGAATACATATGGGATTAGCATAATAATAGAGTGTACCAATTACGAACAAATCTCCCCCCCCCCCCCCCCCACCTTTTACATTACCTCGACTGTACCTATATGCGAATGAACATCGTTTTACTTAATTTTTTTTTTTTCGAAATATGAACCGCATCTAAAACGTGCGAGTCTGCACACAATGGCTCGACGTGAATCAGACACCTATGAAATTCAGTATAAAATTTCTTACCTTATTTTAGTATTTTATATGCTTCTTATAAAATAAATAAAAAAAAAATTAAATAGCATTTAGTTACTTTTATGAATTAAAATAACAAAGAGTAAAACCAATTGAAAGTGTCATATCACAAAACATTTTCCAGGTGTCACGCAATAACGCCAAGTCGACGATATCCGAACTGGAGTTCCAGTTAGAACAACTGAGACAAGAGAAGACGGCATTACAGGGCGAACTCAAGACGCTGCAAGATAATGCAGCTGAATTGCAGATACAAGTAAGAGAAAACAAAAATATATTTATTAGACCAATATTTTAATGATCTAAAAAAAAATCTTTTTATTTAACGAAGATGACCCCATTATATCGTAAGATATGAAATAACAACGAAAAATACAATTAAAATACTGAAATAGTAAAAAGCAACAAACAGAGATAATTGTATTGTAATAAGTCACAATTAAAATGTACTTATTTGTAAAATTATTAAAATTATGCAGGATGTCCCATAAGTAGTGGACCAACGGGTTATGGGGGGTAGTGAGACCTATTATCTAACAAAAGTACTAAAATTGATAGTCCTAGGTCAAGATCTAGGACTATAAATTTTAGTATTTTTGTACAACTGTATTTTTGTATAACTACAAGTAGTTATTAAGTTATGCTTTGTTTTCAAAATGTGGTGAAAATATCATCCATGTAAGCTAAATATTAAATTTTACCATATTTGTTTTTTTTTTATTTTATTGTTGTTTTTTGTTCAAGGTTTCTTAACTACCTTAATTTTTACTACATAAATCTTCCTAATTAAAATGATATTGTGGGTTCACTACTTTACGGGACATACTGTATATTTTTTTCTCTCCGTTTATAACGCATTGAAGTATTCATCCCTTCAATTTCACCATATAGTGTTTTGACTGTATGTGTACAATTACGGTGCGTTGCGTGGTCAGGTGCAGGTGACGGCGGACGAGAAGCTGTCGCTGATGTCCCGCGCGGGCGAGGCGCTGGCCCGCGCCGCGGACGCCGAGCGCCAGCTGCAGGACGCGCGGGCCCGCCTCGCGCAGCTCGCGCGCGACCGCGACCGCGACGTACGTACCTCCCACGAACACTCAGGTTGTGGAATGACCTCCCTGCCGAGGTTTTCCCAAGAGACTACAGCATGGGGTTCTTCAAAAGGGTATCCCCCTTCTGCCGACCCTGAAGAGGTTTCTTCAGGGTCGGCAACGCGCGCGTAATACCTCTGGTATTGCAGGTGTTCATAGGCTACGGTAACCACTTACCATCAGGTGGGCCGTATGCTTGTTTGCCACCTCAGTGATATAAAAAAAAACGTACTACTCTATACACATACACTGTTTTTTTTTTTTTTAATGAGTGATAATGGAATGGTAACCCCACCCGCGATATCGGTATCCACCGACGGGGCACCAGTGAAGGATGATAGGTGAGGATAAAACAGGTCAGCTAGCTCATCGTGACGAATTCAACAAGAATTGTTCACGATGGTTTCCAGGGGGAACCGCGTGGAGGACGACCTAATAGGGCATATTGCTGGCAATGGGGCTGTCAAACTCCATTGCTAACTATCCCTTTCCTACTACACATACACTGAGTCACGCTATGACAACTGCAACACTGTCATTCTCAATCTTCTTCCTACCCTTAACCCATTTATTATATAGGGTCGGCGTTATATGTTTTTATTCATATTACAAAAACATTTGGCTTAGTTTTACGACCAGTCGCTTGCCTGATGTCAATCCTCTTTGGGAATGCATTTGTTGGTGGTTTCCGCCACCTACAGTACGGAGGAAAGAATTAAGGAAACACATACAACAGTGTACTCTGTTATCTCCATGGTACTGCTCATGTCTATAACTGACGGTTACCATTTTCCATCTAGTGGACCGTCAGCTTGTTTGCCACTCTAAGATGCATAAAAAGTAAATAAATACAAAATGATATGAATTCAATATTAGGCACTTCACACACTGACCTGCGTTCTTTCATTTCCTGTACTTTCATTTCCGGTTCCCATCCTGACTAATTATTGCCACAGAGGCATGTGTGAAGGAACACTGTCCAGAACAAATAAATAAATAAATATAATACTTTTATCATTTCTATTATCATTCAGGAAGCAGAATGGAAACAATTCGAGAGCGATTTACTAATGACGGTCCGCGTCGCGAATGACTTCAAAACCGAAGCTCAACGGGAACTGGAACGGTTGGTGTCCGAAAACAAGATCCTGAGGGACCGGATCAGGCTGCTCGAAGATCAGATCCATTCACTCAAAGGTGAGTGGGGGAGCGATTGTAAGGAAATGCCAGTTGCATGTCATAGACTTTGTTTGAATTATAGCTAGTAGAAATCACATACTTTGAATTAACAAATGATATAATTTGCATACGAATAACAATCTTCTTGCACGAATCCATTTGAATATAACACTTTTGAAATTAATATTTCGAAATGTACAATTTAGTACCAAAATGTTTCCAGATAAACATCACAGTCGTTGCTCCTCTTATGGGATACAGTTTTCCATTTTTTTATTGTAGTATAGGAAATATGTATAGGAATGGGCTCTTCGACAAATATACATCTCTATATGTGATTTCTGCTATTGTAAATTGCAAATTGTAGATTTGGTTTTTATATTTCACTTATTGTAGCGAAATTTACATCACTGCTAAATAAAAAAGTCTTAAAAATAAATATATATAAAGAAACATAGAAGGTATTGGGTGTTATTTTATTATTATTGCATGATTAATACAACATTCATACACAGTGTTAGAAAACCTTTTATAACAACACAAATTCACTTCTATTAGAACTTTACGTATCCTACTAGACAGAATTAACGGGCATTATCATGCACTAATTCTGTGTATAGCTTATGATAATTTATTTGTAAGACCATAAACTAACAACGCAACTGTGTACATATTTATAAAATATCTAATCTCGATTTAATGTGCCAAAACAGGTGATAACAAGTCACAATCATTGGATAGCGTTCACAACTATTCGGATGATGAGAAAAGACGATCCAAAGAATCCCTATTGGACTATCAAAGTGATAGTTCGTCCAAAGATGTATTTAAAGCCATCAGAACCAGATATCTATCTAGAGTACACAGTGTATCTGATCCTTCCCTTAAAGATACAAGTATAGTAGATCAAGCTTTCTGCAAATTAAACGGTTCCTCTGAATCTAATGTTGATTTGAATTTAACAATTGAAATTAAAGATGTGACTGTGGATGAAACTGACGATACTAGTTTTGAAAAGCCATCTAAAGATACTGCTGTAACACATAGAGATGCCTTGATTAAGACAGATCTACCTCCCTTTGAGAACAAAGAGCTTAAGAGGCAAGATGCTGTAGATGTCATTGATCACATCATTCAAGGTGCTCACGATGCGACGTCGTTTTCACCGAACTTTTCTGACGATATATCTGAAGATTTATCATCTTATACAGATCTAGATAATAGTAAGCATCGTGTCAAATCAGTAACCAAATCGGAGTGCAGTAAAACTGAAACATCAAAAGAAAGAACTATTTTTAGTAGAAGTTTATCAGGCATGTACAAAGGTAAACCTAAATCCTATAGCACCGATAATTTGAATTATAGTGTAGCATATAAAGATAATCTAAAAGAGGCTACTAGTATAGAATTTTTATGTCCAAGTCATAGTTATAGTGAAATATCTTTAAACACTATTGGTTCTGATAGTGTCTTCTCATCTCCAATCGAGAAAAATAGTAAGAAACCTAACCTAACTAATGCAAGTGTTGATAAATTTGACTCTACAGTTTCAATTTTCAATTCATCACCAAATGTAGCAGAAAATATTATATCTGATTCTAATAATGATAGTGATACTCGAACATACGGAAATAAAAGTATAAAAAAATCATTCAGCAGCAGTTCGTCAACAGAATTAAATATGTCGAATAAATTTGAACAGGATATTGGTATAATACCAATCGTAAAAGCTGAATCCATTCTTCCATATCCATACCCACATGATATAAAACGTATACCAGAAGTTAACACTTTCGTGCAGTCATTAGAAAAACCAACTATCAAAGTAACACTCGAAGAAGAAATTGAAAAAGATTTAAAGAAAGCAAACGAAGATATAAAGATGACTTTCAAAGCAGCTATGGATAGAATAATAGGTACCAATAAAGATAAGAGATCTCCATCTCCGCCTAAACAAAAAAAGTTAAGTTTTTCGAAAAATGAAGTCAACGTAAATACAAGAAAAGAAAATCATGTAAATGTTGCTAATGCTATCAAGTCTCCCATTTCCAGTCCACAGAGTTATAAAAACAAAAATGATGTAGATATATCAATAAAAATAGAGGAAATGGCAAAGGCAGAAGATAAATCCAATGTAACTGAAAATGTTCTAGATAATTTTCGTAGTAGTAATCCTTTTATAGAATCTATGAAAAACAGTACAAGTACTTTTAAAAGTGCAGATGAAATAACTGATGAAAATCTTAGTTATCATTTGAAAATTAACACTGTCAATAAAGAATCTACCAATCAAACCAATTCTAATGTAATACAAAAAACGAATAACGTTCCTACAGTAAATATCAGGCCTATGGATGGCAGACTTAAAACGTTTGTGACACCAATAAAGATAGTGAATAGTACTATGGGCAGTACGTCACCGATTATTTTGAGTCCTGTTTTAATCCATCCTATTATATTCAAATCGCAACAACAAGATCTTGATAACAAAATAGAAGGTAAAAAAGCTACAGTATATTACGATGACATAGATCAAGTCATTACACAAGAAAATGGAAACAAAAACAAATCTGAACCACAAAAAATTCAAAGTGACGATAATAATAACTTTAGTAGCAATACCAGTAATTTAAATATTACTGATAATGCTAATAGTAACAAGAAAGGTATGTATCAAAAGAATCTAAAGGCAAAGCAATTACCATTTCTATCATGGAAAAATTTATCTAATGAAAACATAACAGATTTAAAACTGTCACCATCTCCAAAACTTCTTCCTAAAAGTACAGAAATACCATCTCAGCCTTCTAAATCAGATGCGAAATCTAAGGTTGGAAAATTAAGTAAGAGTCCAGAGTGGTTGATTGACAATCAATACTATCAACCCGTTGAAAACGTACCTTTTATTATAAATTCAAATCAACCATTCACACAATCAAGGCCCAAACTGCAAAAGAATCATATTAGCAAGGAGTCGACGCGATCGAATAATACAAATCCATTTTTACCGTTAATTCCACCCAGAAGAGATTCAGAACAAGAACATTACTATGAAGAGATCGGACAACCTTTATCATCTGCAGATAATAAGAATATAGCCGACGATGTAAAGCTATCGAACAAAAGTAGAAACACAGTAGATGAATTTGGTTCAGTTACCCGTGAAGAGCTTTTAAAGGTCCCAAGAAGACCCAAGAAACCGAAAAAAGAAAATTCATCAATATCTAAACCTGAGGAACCTACGAGTATAGTTAGGGAAATGGCAGGTATTACTAAGTCAGTCATTAACTTATCAAGAACTCCCAGTGCAAAAGATAACTCCAAAAAACCAAGTGGACCTATTGGAGAAATCGTTCAAAATTTAGAAAAGAAACCGCCTTGTCCTGAGCCAAGAAAAAGTGACGTGACTCTAAGAAAAATATCGGTGCAAGAAGAGAGAGCTCCGTCTGTAGATACGAACACCGGATCGTGGCCACGGGAACCTAAACCTTACTGGAAAACGTTGGAACACAAGAGGCTGTCGCATCCAATAAGATCCTTGAACGATCCGTCACCGCCTAGACCTCTACGTAAGTTGGAAGGCTTTTGTCACCCCGAGAACTAAACGTGCAAGTGTGAGATTCTATGTAAATAACTACGTATATATGTTTGTTTTCATCAGTGTCACGTGTCACAGCTATAACGTACTGAGTTTCTATAAGTCATTATGATACATTTATAACAATTTGTTAAAATTCAGTAACTTTTTAAAGACATTTGATGTAGATACTTAGTGCGATATACTTACACATTCGGTGATGGTTAAGGTGATGGTAAATGTCAAGTGTGAAGCTTTATCTGTGATAGTAAATGTAAACACGGACTGTATCGTACTTAGGTAAAATTTACAATATTGATGATTACAATAGCATCATCATCTGACAAATCCAAAGTAGTAGAAGAATGATACAGCTACATCTGGAACCTAAGAATTATTCTTAATTTTACTTGTATTATAGGCGTAACTTAATTATTTATGTAATATAATATCGCAGTACTACATATATGAGAGATATCAATTTGTTCCTGCACCGATGTGGATGACTGAGATTTGTTACATAGTACATCTTTATTTTCAGTAAAGATGTATATTGAATGTTGGCATTAAAATAAATATCACAAGAAAATGTTTAAATGAAAAAATTTCCTATTTATATCTTAGATTTATGTCCTTTTTTTATATACGAATACGTATTACGTACATTTATGTATTACGTAGTATTAGGATTAAGATTTAATTTTTATTTCTAGTGTTTTTGCTCTTCCTCGTAGTCTTTTGTGTATATATGTCTAATTTAGTAAGACAGAAGAAATAATTTTTAAAATATTTTTTCATTTAGTTTTCTTTCTGGATGACTTTTTCTAAGCGGTTTATACCATACACATCACACACATATATCTTATTACATATATCTTACTTCATCACAATTAATCGAGTCATTAAGGCATTTTGATTCTGGGTTTTTTGGGTTGTGATCTCAGAAATCTCAGATGTTCATTCCCTGGTTTCTCATAACACAGAACATCCTAGTTGAGAAGCCAAACAATTGGAGTACACACGTTAATAAAATATCTAACCATACTCTGCCTCTTCTTATTTTAAGATAATCATAATATCATTAAAAAAAACCATCAGTAGAATAATTTTGAATTGAAATCACATCTTATGTACGTCAAAATTAAGGTAAGGTAACAACGACACTTTGATAAATATATGTGATTACAATCCCGATTCGAATCCGTCAAAATTTATCCCACAAATTAACTGCATGCATGCTGCATGATTCAGCTTTGCTTACAGCTTTTAGTAGTTGAGATTTTGAAGAAACTATTTTTTTTTTTGTAGGTAAATAACCTGTTTTAGTTATTTTCTTTCTAACAACTTGCTTGTGCACGAGGTCGAGGCTGACTTTGACGCAATTATAAAGATCTGTTTGGAATGGATAATCTCAGAAATAACTCGACCGATTTTAAAAATTCTTTCACCTATAGAAAGTTATATTCTCAATGTGTGGCCGTGTGGTCATAGAATAGGCCACCTCTTCTTTTCCCGTGGATGTCTTAAGAACAGACTAAAGGAGGGCGAGGGATGGGCAGCAGCGTCCCTCTTAAAACATCTAAAGCCTGACTGCGGTTACCTATTCGCCTGCCAAGCGCGGCAACTACTGGCAAATACCCCAAGGTGGAGGCTTATGTTCAGCAGTGGACAGGTAAAGGTTGATATGATGGTGATGATGATGATGATGACGAACATAGGCTCTGTATTATGTATTTTTGAAAATTCTATCTATACATTCTAAGTCGGACCGGATTGCTAGTTGGAGATAAAATGCTCACTGCTGAACATAAACCATTCCCATAAGGAGAGTGATAGCCACGCTTGGCAGGCGGATTGGCAACTGAAGTTAGGCTTTCAGCTATGTTTTAAGAGGGACGCTGCTACTGATCTCTCTACTATTATGCTCCCTTAGTCGCCTCTTACGACACCCACAGGAAAGAAAGTGGTGGCCTATTCTATGCTGGGACCACACGGCCAAATGATTACGTTATACTATTTTATACGTAAGGTTTATAATTCTATTTTGATTCCATTTCGATTGTGTCATATGTCAGCTCGTAGATCATTATTATTAAGAAGTATGTTTTTTTAAAATATGTAAGTATATAACTCGATTTATTTCAAATATAGTAAATATAGTCTCTTAATATAAATAGTTAATAATATATCTTGTAGAACTTGACGTTCACTTCTTCTAGGTGATATTTTTTTTTCAACAATTCTTTTGTTATGTTGTTAATGATAACCAATATAAAATATAAACAAAAATTTGTACATTTGTTAAATTATTAAAAAAACACCTCTAGTCCTGTCCTAATAGGATGTCTATCCCTCTCGCTCCCATTATAATGCCTTAAAGGTGCATACGTAACAATTCTTTCTGTATTTGTCTATGTAGTACGAATCCATATGACAGTAATGTAATAATTAAATAAATATTTTACTGAACTATGTGTTATCTTGCGGAAGTCGATAGTTATTTGTTTAGAATTATTTTGTTTAATTCCGCTACCATTGGTACGTGTGTGACTGCCAACACTCGAAGACTGGCCACCACTATTACTACCAGAAGCTCCACAACCTTCCATATTAGACATCAATCTCCAACTGGCATTTGTTATTCGTAGTTTGGGTTTTGAACAGTTAACACTAGGCTCCAAGTAGCGATCTAATAACTTGAAGATGCCTCGTTTAGAGGTGAAACACGTATCGCAAAACGTGCGTGAACAAAATGGCAGTCGGAGTCTATAATACCTAAAGTTAAAATATGCAGTTTTCAAAAATATGATGATGTTATTGAAGTTGTTTTGTGATTTTCTAGCAATGCCTCCGCGCGCTGAGGAGACCCCACCACCTCCTCCTTTGTTGACGAGCGCCTCGTTGCAGGACATCATGGCGACAGCAGCGTCACATCGAAGGACCAAAGGTATGTTCTTAAACTTTAGCTTAAATAAATATAAATATCATACCAGAGGGAGACTTTGTACAAAAGTCGTTTGCTTGGGTGCCTCTGTTCCATTCGTGTTTCAACCGTGATGCAGTTGTGTTTGCATGACTGTGTTTCGGTATGAAGGGTGGGATATGGCGTAAATTTACAGAGTGCAGAGGAATAACACCTGAGTCCTCAGGAATAGCAACGTATGGGGGGTATTATGGGCGAAACAGTATACTCTGTTATGTCCATGGTTCTGCTCATGTCTATAGGCGACGGTTACCACTTTCCATCAGGTGGGCCGTCAGCTTGTTTGCCATTCTAAGTTGTGTAAAAAAAAAATTACAAGTTTATAAACATTTGTAATAAGCTTCCTGGGTTATACAGTATTTTATAATCCCTCCCAAACATGCATATTATAAAGCTAGCTAGCTGATAGCGAACAAAGATAGCGGGCTATGCTAAATGGCTTAATAGAAAATACGTTCAAATTATAACAAGACAAAATCCGATCAGAGTGAGTTTGAAGGGCTATTTTTTATCTTTAAAACTATAATTCCAGTTCTAGTTATTAAATATTTAGTCTTGTCTTGCCTGCATTTTGTAAGTTCATGATATGGTGGCTTCTAAAACTCAACAACTTTCCTCGACGTTCTTAGTTAGTCAAATTATGAAAATATTTTTTTTTATCTTTAGTACTAAATTGATCACGTGATTTATATTCAATGAAGTTTTGAAGGAATTTAAAAAATGAATTATTTTGATCGTCGATCAGGTGTTACAGTCATGAGTATACTATTTTTAATTTTAAAAAATTGATTGACAAATAAATGTGAAATATGAACATTCCTATGTTTTATGTATACTATTTAATTAAAAAAAATGGTTAATAAATAAATGTGAAATATGATCATTCCTATGTTTTATGTATACTATTTAATTAAAAAAAATGGTTAATAAATAAATGTGAAATATGATCATTCCTATATTTTATGTATACTATTTAATAAAAAAAAAATGGTTAATAAATAAATGTGAAATATGATCATTCCTATGTTTTATGTATACTATTTAATTAAAAAAAATGGTTAATAAATAAATGTGAAATATGATCATTCCTATGTTTTATGTATACTATTTAATTAAAAAAAATGGTTAATAAATAAATGTGAAATATGAACATTCCTATGTTTTTTATATACTATTTCATTAAAAAAATGATTAATAAATAAATATGAAATATGAACATTCCTATATTTTTTGCGGAAAGTCATTGATGTGGTATGATCCGTTCCGCAATACGTTGTTACTCGTATATGTTACTATATTATTATACATAGTCGTATATAACAGTGTGTAACGGAACGCAACGGAATAACAATTTTATTTATTCATTTAGATTTATTTTATTGTTTAGGTGTGAGCCGACAAGACTCCCGGTTGTCAGTGAAATCATTGATAGAAAGCATAGAGAATGCTGCGAAAGCGGCGAAGCAGTCTCCGGCCACCACGCCCGTTGGAGAATGGCCACAGGTATCTAAATTAAAATTTCTGTTGCATTATTATTTTTTATTACATATCTTATTACATTTGTTTTCTCCGTACAACCAATCAAATAAAAATATCACAAAAATATTTTGTCAAAATTCTTTAGCCTATTTCTGTTACTAACTGGTTAAAAGCGAGTGTACAATACGATGAAAATCACAGTAATTGTTGTTTATTTCGAATATTGTTTCGAATGCAATGTAAATTGGACTCTCTTTTCCGCGCTTTGCTTCTCATTCGAGCCGTTGTGTGTATTAATCGTGGCTAGTACACCCAGCCTAGTTCCGCCCAAAAGCACAGAAGCTTCCTGGGATCTTTACAGGCCTCACGGAGCGACCTCACCGTTCCGAGGATTTCTAAACGTTGAGGGGCCACAGCTTTACATTCCAGGATTATGTGAGCAGCCATTTCTTTGGGCGTCAAAACAGCCTCGACATAGAGGACTGTCTGTGGCTCCTATTGTGTATAAATGTTTGTTTAATGGACAATGAGCCGTTATTGTTTTTTCTATCTAGATCAAATGTTGTGTTTAAAAATACCAGAACGTACCATAATAAAGTAAAATAAACATAACCTCGACAGCAAACAACTGTGGTGGCGGCTGCAAACAACAACATGAAGAACGGCCTATCAGAGACTTCGTCAGCTCCCACCAATGGGATCTCCAGCAACAATTTCGCTAAACCTCCGGCCGCACGGAGTGCTCGCGCAACACCTATTGCGAGTGGTGAGTTGAACCTTTTTACGTATAGACATAAAGTTGATTAATCGAAGTTTAATAGTTTTCTTTGGAGTGCTTCAGGGGTGTGTTATAGGGCCATAATTGTTTTTTTTTTTTAAGTATTGCTGAATAATTTAATGTAAATGGATGTTTTGTTTCTTATCCATTATAATATATCAGGCAAAAATATGACGGCTATTTAAAAAGATAGTGAAACTATTTTGTACTTTGAAAAAACTGATTAGTGAATGATTTTTATTAATAAAAAGTGATGAATATGTGTAGTACGTGAGTGTTTATACATTCGTACGTCATCATCATTTGAATTATTTTACATTCCTGAAAAAATATATATATATATATATATATATATATATATATATATATATATATATATATATATATATATAATTATATATATATATATAATTATTTTAGAGCCTATTTTAAAATTACTTGAACATTTTAGAGATCGAGAAATAATAGTACGGTGAAATTGATTATAAAACGTATTGCTCTAGAATTGGCTTTTAAAGTCTCTCCTATATTATATACTAATATAATATAAGACAAAAATGAATAGTCTATTTATGGGCCAGCAATTTCTAAGTCTTCATTTCTCATATAGTAAATAGTCAATCGAGGAATAATTGTAAAAAAAAAGTTAATTTTAGAGAAAAAATCTTCCTGTTTCGACCCTGATCATTGTCAATCTTACAGTATAAACCCCCCTTTTATAGAAGTTGTTTAGTTTGAACAACAATTTGTTTAAGTATACATAATTTTAGGTACTAACATTATTATCTTAAAATATACTACCATATCTACTGTGTTAATACCACGAACTCTAATAAACGTATAAATAACAGCATGTAAGTCGTTGCTTCTTTATTTCTTACAGCATGGCGGCATGAGAAAGGCGCCTAATATTTTATAATGTATCTAACTCATTATATGTGTGTGTGTGCGCGTCCAGTAATACAAAACTTGCATGTGTGCACTTTTGTTTTTTTTTTCAATCCCTTTCGAACAATTGTTGTTTTTTTTTTTCTTAAATACAATTTAGTGATACTTTTTTTGTCTATTATTATTGACTATAAAAATAATATAGTCTTATCATTTAATTATTAGTGACACAGTGTGATTGAGAAATAGTCATAGAATAATAACATAGTATAGATAAATAAATACTTTCTCTATGGCTGATACGGTTAGAAAAAAAGTAAAAAGTATTTAACCAGCTAAGTTTCTATCTGTAATCGTTTAAATTAATTCACCAATTTAGTCGCGAAGACATGACCAATAGACCCATTGGTGCAGACCCATTCATTAATTTATAAAATCAGTAGGGATGGAATGTGGACGTTATGCGGGCACTTATTATTTTTTATCTTAAACTCTCAGATCCGTGATACAAATTTTTTTTTTTTTTGTAAAAAAAAAGTAATAAGTATACCCATTATTCTACTATAAATAAAAAACATCTACGTCATAAATATGTCTTTTAGGCATGGAATCTTTAGATTACCAATTTATTTTTGTCCTCCTGTTGCTATTGGTAGCGGTATGGCTATTACTTTCCTTTTTTAAATGCTATGAGTAGAAAAAAAATTAGCAATGGAAAAAGTATTTACTTCGCATCTATAATTGTATATATACATGCTCATTTCAATCGGTTTTGTGCCAAGTTTCTTACTCAATAGAGATATAAAACTTATATTAGGGTTGCCACAATTATCACCCTTTGTAGATAAAAAAAATTGTCTTAATAAAATTTAGAAAAAAAAACAATACATGATCCAGTACAGTAAATAATAAATATAGTTCATTTTCTAAATTGAAACATGTAATTTATTCAAAGACCCTACCTCTACCCTATCCCTAGGTGGCAACCCTAAAAATGCATGCACTAACATGGTGAAGGGTTTCCTAACTGATTACTCTGAGGCTGGCACACAGCCGAGACCATATTGCTTGCGTTCATGTGTCTAACTAACGCGTGGGGCAGAGACGGCGCCGGCTCCAGCACCTGGATCCAACATACCTGACGAGCAGAGGGCGCTGGCCACGTTGCAGCAAAAGGCCATTGAGTCATTCGTCAGGAGGAACAGCTATGGGGACATATGTAAGTATAAAACTCGTAAACGCTAGTTTGAAATCAGCGCAATACACGTATAGAAGCATTAAATATAATGTGTTCTAAATTTAAAAATATGGGTCTTGTTATAAAACGAGTAAGATTATGTCTATGCCTCATAATTTGTAAGGTATTTAAAAAAAATATAGAGACAGTTTTGTTTTTGTTTTTAAATAAGTTATATGTCTTTGGATATTTCCATTTAGCCCTTCTTGAAATACATAAAAAATTTCGATTTGACATTAGTGATGTTCCTTTATACGTACAAATTGTATACTCGATATTCGAAATAGTTTTTTGTAAAGTACCTGTAGATACTTTTTATGCTCCTATTTTTTACCTATTTTTTTTTATATAAATAATTGTAGATTTGCATTTATATATCTATTATTTATATATCAACAATTAATTGATGAGTTATTATAATGCAATAATTTTACATTGTCATATTAAATATGACAAATTGGTTAACGTGAAAATTATTTTAAAATATCATTGTAATTTTAGATTTTTTTTTTATTTTGTATTTTCAGTAACATGTTTACAGGTTACCCTAACAAAAACGTTTCGGGCTTAAATTGCATGTATGTGTTGTGATAATTATACAAAATATGTAACTAAAAATAAGTCATGAATTCTAACGAAATTTTGATTTATATTTTTTTTTATTTATATGTTTAAAATTATTTTAACGTTAATTTCTCTTTAAATAGGTGAGAGAAAGGACCCGCTCAATGCGTTACAAGTGAAAAATGGTGGATCGAAACGCAATGCATTACTCAAATGGTGCCAGCAGAAGACATCTGGTTATAATAATATTGACATCACTAACTTTAGGTAAGAGGAAGCTCATAATTGAGGGAATTTTATTTTATTTATTGAAAATATTTTGTAATGTATCCTAAAAGCACATGCCTCTGACATTGTAATATTGTTTCAAGCTACTTTTGTATCTCAAAAAATCCTATTTTTTTAAACATATGATGGTACGGCTTTCTTTGTATATGTGATGGGAGATAGTTAATTACATGATGTAAAATAGGATGCAGACGTCACATGACTTACAGAAACAAATAAGATTAAAAAAGAGAAAAAAAAGAATGCTCGTAGCTCTACGTTATTTATTGATCCTCTTTTATAACACCTATATCTTATTTTTTCACATTTAACCTATTAAAATACATTTGCTAATAATATACCTGATAGGGCATCAGGTAACCTCCATGCAAAATGTTTTTATCCATGGAAGCCCATCTGAGACATTATATTTAATTTGAATTCACACACCAGTGGCGTAACTATAAAATTTGGGACCTTTGGCAAATTCTTTTGATGGGACCCTGTCGATTATTAATAAAAAAAAAAATACTTTTCAATGTAAAATAAATTACTCATCGGTCACAAAGTAAAAAAAAAAATTCTGAGCTTTGTATATGTGATGGGAGATCGCGGTCTCTTGCCGTAGGGCCCATTTTATAACACGGGGGCCTATATCTTATTTTTGGCATTTTGCCAAGCTCTGCCAATTATTATTACTCCATTGTTCACCACGATGGACCACCTTACCTGAATTCATTCTCATTTATCATCACTCACTAGAGCCTCGCCAACATAAATCGATACCACAGGTGGGGTTACCACTCTATTTTCAACTAATTAAAAAAAATATTTGTAGTTCGTCATGGAACGACGGGATGGCGCTGTGCGCGATACTCCACTCGTACCTCGGTGAGGGCCGCGTGCCCTACGCGTCGCTCTCACCGCACGATAAGAGGACCAATTTTTCCGTCGCATTCGCCGCCGCCGAGTCTGTCGGAATACCTACCACACTGGTTAGTTATATATTACTATTTTTTTTTTATTTATTTACTTTGTAATCATTATAGCATATTTATTTATGAATATGTACCACACAATTCCACCAAGCGCTTTATCTTAATTTAGGATACTGTGTGAGGAACAAAACGATGAAATCTATAGGCAACCAAGAACATCCAGATTACCCAATTTTAAAAAAGAAAGAAAAGAAGAATTCAAAGAAAAAAACATTTCCTTAATTTGGCTCAACAGAGAATCGAACCGGAGATCTCATTACTCTGCCACGGAGGTCGTGGTTAATGATCAACGTTAAATAAGGAAAGTTTTATTTTTTGTACCTCATATAGAACTATAGAATAAAAATATTGACACACAAAAATTGAATAAAATATTCAAACAACAGGAGCAAACAGCCATAAACAAGATATGGTGTCTTCTGCATACCTAGCTCCTTTTTTCATATTAAAAACGTATCAATTATACATTACTAAATTGTTTTTATCTCTAAAATGTCACTAAATACAGGACTTTTACCATAAAACTACTAAAATTTCTTAATAGAAACAAACATACTGTTTCCCCTTCTTATTGTATGCATACTGCCCGCTGGTAATTAATGCTCCTTTCCACTCAGCGTTTGCTGGAAGAGAAATGTTACAGAGTTAATCTCTTTTTAGTTTAATAATTGTAAATAAATAAATAAAATGTGAGTTGTCATCCGTATCCATAGTACAACGGTCAGAATATAGAGGGAGAGTTAATAAAGTCATCTATAAGTAGTACCAATTTTTAACCAGATACGAAAATATACAAAAATGAAACTTATCTTAAGATTAATAAAGTATAATATTGTTACAGAACATCCAAGACATGATTCAGCAAGAAAGGCCTGACTGGCAGCAGGTGATGGCCTACGTGACCAGTATCTACAAGCATTTTGAGACTTAACTTTATCGACTATCGATAATTATTTATCGACAATAAATCACTTATCGATTAAGTTGTTGACTTAATTTTATCAGTTATCGATAATTATTTGTCGACAATTGACTTTATCGTTGTAGAGTAACATCGAATACCACGTTATATCAATGAGGCTTTTATTTCAATAAAAATTGTATGTAATGATATAGTAAGAAAAGATTTACACAAATCATTTATTGCCGAAGCTTTCTTGTGTAAACAGGTAAAAAAAACGAATATACCTTCTGGTGAACGTATTGAATTTTGAATTCACAAATTTAAACGACCAAAGATCTGAAATGATCTACGAAATGTACGTATTTAAGAACATTGATAAATTTAATAGTATACATATATGTATTTATACAGTGTGAGTTCCATTTACTCTATTTTATAATTATTTAATGTAATTATTAAATTTGCTGAGAATTTGATAAGAGTGATTAAAGCTGATTTGAAAACAATCTCTTACCAATGAATAAATTTTTACATTGCTACAAGTTTAAAATTACATTCCTTATATGGTAGCTTTTAATGCGGAATTGTGATATTTTTGGACCCGTAGCCGCGATTTTGCTGTCGATACTCGGAATTGCCTTTAATTGGCCTTTATAGGTGTTGTGTTAGGAATTAAGGTTAATGCTTTCTAATTTATAATATTACGAGACAGCCCTATAATGCTTTTTATTAATTTCCCAAATTACTAAAAAATGCAGTACATATTAAATATTTTTATAATATCGATATCGATATTTTAGATTTAGTAGTGCGTCACTACTAATCTTTTGGTGTAGTAGGAACGTGTGTGCTAATTCCTAAGACGTCATTAATTCGATTATATTGTGACACTAGTAGATTTTTTTTTATGATTTCGAACGGATCTAGGGCTGTCGATTGACGTATTATAAACATGAAAGTGCGTTTTCCTTAAGGCGTAGATATGCTCTATAAACTACATTGCATCTATTAATTATGATAGCAAAAAAAAAACAATATTTTCCCTTCTATGCAGGTACACAAATTATTAAAAACTTATATTTAATAATTTTTAAGTTACTCTATAGCTATTTGTGTTATTTACGTTACAACACAGTAGCGCCATCTACCCTGAACTTTGTGCAAGTGTAACTATTATTAGCGAGACAACTTCTATGTAGTTTATAGAGCGTCATAGGATGTCTTTCCATTATATAAAGACTGATACGATAAGGTGTATGTAGGGTCGTAAATACATTAAAGTGGAGGTATACGAGACGGTAATTGCGTGCCGTGACAAGTGACGTGGAACTTTGTCATAATTTCAATTAATCTATTTATTAAACTAGTTTAATCATCTTTGTATGTTAATCAGTGATATACACATATGACAAAGTACATAGTACACGACTGAGTGATAACACAGTTGAACGATTCGTGTATTTGCTTTTAAAAGTTTGCAGATGTGAAGTTGGCTACAAGTTACATCTGGATATGTGTTCAGTCACCTTTATATTCTCTGTCTGAAGTCGTTTGCATTTGGATTAATTTATTAAGAAAATATATATATTTGTAAGTTTTTTTCCCATGCGAGACAGTTAGAACGGCATTGTTTTTATATTTTCCAGTTAGAAAGCAGAAACTTAAAAATCGTTGAAGCTCTATATTATTTAATAATATTGGATCATAATAACAATAATTGACTGTCCATCGCTGTACATAGTCCTCCCCTATAAGGGCGGTATTACCTGTAGTTGCCATGCTTCGCAGGCGGATTGGCAACCGTAGTTAGACTTTGGTGACATTTTAAAAAAGACGCTCCTACCCATTCCTCGACCAATAAGTTTTCTTAGTCGCCTCTTATGACACCCATGAGATAGAAATAGGTGGCCCATTCTATACTGGGACCGCACGGCGTAATATTAGATAATATTTGATTTTTTTGATACTTTTTGACCTATTAAATATTACTTGCCCATTACACGATTCAGTTATGAGCATAGATAATGTCTAAGTACTATTCCTTACATTTAAATATCTATGGTAATGCAACGTCTTTAAGGCAGAAAATATACGACAAATGAGATTGGAATGTTAATGGTATGCCTTAAAGTAGTGATTCCAGGCCTTGATTTGACTACGTAATAATTATAATACCTATTACTATTATGTAAGTATATAATCAATATTAATTCCTATATACGTAGACCGTGCTAAGTATTTTACCACTCTGTAATCTAATATATAAAGTCTAATTTTGTGTATTCGCAGAATTGTAGAAGATATTTTTGTACACAAGTTCTCAAAGTGTCACTAACTTTATCTATGACCTAAAAATATGACTGTTGTATTTATTTATAAGTTAATACAATTGTATTTAATTTTAATGGATCATTTACATGATATCGTCATAGTCGTAGAATACTGACGAATCTGACGAAGATTGCATATAAAAATCCGTCAGTATTCTACGACTATGACGATATGAAATCAATTCATATTTAACATTCGAAGTTTTTAAAATATATACGTAAAATTATAGCAATTATGAATTACGAGCAACTAGCTTTGACACGTTACTTTGCCCGCGTGACCGACATAAAAAATAGCAAGTATCCTTCTCCGTCCTATATAGTACCTATACACAATATTTCACAGTGGTCGGTTAAGCCGTTAAGGTGCTATAAGGTAACAAACAAACTCACTTTCACTTTCACATTTATATAACGAGTCAGAATAAGGTCATACCGACAATTTGAATTTAGTTATTGAAACTACAGGAGGTTACAGAAGGTACCTTACTCTAGAAGGATAGTAACGCATTGTTATGTATGAAGGACTACCATGGGCGTCACAGTATATTCAGTATTATTCATATATGTATACTTTATAAAACCTTATAATGATGATGATATCAGCCGTTAACTGTCCACTGATGAATATAGGCCTCCGCCTTGGGGGATATTGCCAGTAGTTGCCACGCCTGGCAGACATATTGACAACTGTAGTTAAGCTTTAGTGACATTTTTAGAGGGACGCTGTAAATTCCTCTAGTCGCCTCTTACGACACCCACGGGATGGAGTGACCTATTCTATGTCGGAACCACAGCCAAAAAATCTTATACTAAATTGCTTGTAAATGTGAGATCATTTGTAATGTAAATGATCCATTAATAAACATTCATACTCTTCTATGTACGTATTTTCATGCCAGTATGTATTCTTATACGCTTACACAGTATACTAGCAGCTAAGTTAAACAAGGGGGGGGGGAAGGGGTTGTTAGTAATAGAGACTGAGAATCCCATTGCTAGCAATACACCCAACTAGGTCAACCTCCTTGCGGTTCTCCTTGAAACTATCATGGTTAATTCCTGATGAATTCATCGTGATCGGCTAACTGGCCTGTTTTCATTCTCATCTCATCCTTCACTGGTGCTCCGCCAGCTTATACCGTTAGCGCAGGCGGGGTTACCATACCATTTTTACTCATAAAAAAAAAGTTATACACGGACAGACGATCCTAACTCTTTAAAATCTTTATACTATTGCTTAGGGGGTTATAAAGTTTATATTGAATTAGATGAATCCATGGCCGTAGCTAGGGGGGGGGGGGGGGCATTGACGGGCAATGCCCTATCTTAAAATTAAAGGCTCCAAGAGAAAATTAGATACATTCGCTTTTTCGTAGTCACTTAATTATGACTTCTGACCTACCAAAAAGTTCTTTTGCCCTATTTTAAACTTGGGTCTAGCTACGGTCCTGGGCAAATCATAATAGGATTTGCATTGCGTAACACACCGAATTAAGTAGGTTGTTTGCGCTGAAGTTTTAATATTAACGGACTGGTATATTTTTCGTCGACGGGTTATACATAAGGAATCCTATTATGATCCATGTAGTGGCCCCCACAATGCCTAATGTGAGTTAAACACATATTTACATTAATACTGCGTTATTAATTTATTATAAACTACCAGCGCCACTAGCGGATAGTTTCAGAAACTCAGAGTTCCGTACAAACTTTTGAGTAAACATGAATGCAACTGTAACCTAAATCTTTGTACAACTCACACTACGCACTTGGTTTATTGCTAAATGCTGATAAATTATTATATGGCCATGTTTTACTCTCGACAAATGTACGTCTTTATACTGCTAAGAAAGTACTACTCTATTTTAGAAATGATTAATATATAGTAATATCTATATCCCTTTCAGACCTGAACGATACGGGCGTGAGTTGTAAGTTTAAAAAATTCTAAAACCGCGCGCAATTTATTTTCACGCACGAAACTCAAATAACATGATAGTGGGATTCTAAACCAGCCAATAGGAAATCATTTAAGCGGTTAGGTGGTGCAGTAGTCTCGTGCGTGCTGGCAAGATGGCTTGGCTCCAAAACACGAAAATATATTTAATCTTAATGAAAAAAAAATCTTGGGTCTGAAAGGGATATATTATAGTTACAATATCTATGTATTGGTCCAATAACGGATATATTATGTATTGGTTATTTAATACCGGATGGAAGAATCCGATCGAAATTAATATAGATGTCCGATTAGTATGGGCGATATTGAAATGGGCGAAATACCCTTTTACGAATCCAATATACAGATATCGGAGCGGTACCGATATTGCAGATGCGTATCTATTTTTATAATACTTTGTCTTGTGTTATGATATAGTAATCACAGAGCATTACATTATGTATTCTTTAGTATTTTGTAAGGACTATGTGTTTTACGCTGATAGTGACAACGTCTTATTATAATCCGATATAATATTTATATTATTTAAAAAAAAAACACATTTATGATTAAACACTTGGCATGGCGTTGAAGTTGCGGGTTCTAATAGAGCCCTAGAGCCCGTTTGGGGAGAAAGGGATTGTTAGTAATGGAGACTGAGAATCCCATTGCTAGCAATATACCCAACCAGGTCGATCTCATCGCGGTTCTCCCTTGAAACTATCATGGTTAATTTCTGATGAATTCATCGTGATCGGCTAACTGGCCTGTTTTCATTCTCATCGATCACCCTTCACTGGTTCTCCGCCAGCGTATCCCGTTAGCGCAGGCGGGGTTACCATACCATTTTCACCCATCAAAAAAAAAAAATAGAGACCGTTTGGATTTTTTCAATCGTAAATTTTCTTTTTAAATATGTTTTTCATATTTGAGTGATATCTTTTTAATTTTTATTGTATTAATCACAGCATGATATGTGCTCTAGTTGTTCGAGATTATGAATTCAGAGTCACTTTATGATTCTCCATTTATTTATTCCAAACTTGGTCCATTGTGACACGAATGAGATGGATGACCGTATGATTTCCCTTATTTATAATTAATTTTCACATTAATACACAAAACGTGTGTTTTTAAATTGTTTAAATGTGATATTACTCTTAATCCAGTGTGTCTATTCAATTTTATTTGTTGAAAAATATTGTTTTATTTAAACTTCATTTTATGGACATGAAATATGGTCGTAGGACATTTATTTTGTGTAAGGCGCTCCTGTAGTGTGTCAGATGTACAGAGGGACGAGTAAACGTGTCTATCGATTTTGCACCTACTCATCTTTGTCTCATCTTAATGATCATCAGGAATGGCAACGCGTGAAACTACGGGCGTCACAGTGTATACTGTGATGTAAGTAAGAGTAATGCTCGTCATGGCCTATAGGCGACGGTTACACTTTTCATCAAGTGGGCCGCAAGTCTATTCGCCAGTATACATATTCAAAGGTTATCGATAGATATGTTTTCGTTACCGCAGGCATGAAAAAATGCAGGCTGTTTCTATCTCGCCCCATGATACATCTCGCAGGATACACCTAGTCGCCCAATAGAATTATTCTTTCAATATTATAACGAGCAATTACAGTTTTTACGCTAATTGTCAGCATTTCCAACTTGCTTGTTGAAGCTGAGCATTGGTTATAATTATTGCGTATTTTGAGAGATTGTATTTTTGTAAATATAGCTTAAATAAAGTTCCTGGATTAATTATTCAATGCGTTTTTTATTTCACATGTTTTTTTTTTATAAAATAAAAATATTCACGCTAGTAGACAATTTACAAGTATTCCATAACAATAATAAAATTAAAAAGATTCTATTATGTAAACTTAATAGATCATATCTGTCTAGATGGAGCATAGAATATTAAGGACATCCCAAAAAATGGTCAGTTAACTATTTTTAACATTTTTTACTAATAATATTTTTAGTATATCTATTTATACAAACAATAACGTGAATTAATGTAGTCTGTCATAAAAATTTACTTCAATTAGAAAAATTTGGGAATTTATCGCAGAAATACTCCATCTAAATGTATATGATCTATAATCTAGCGTGTAATTTATAAAATATATTGTACCTTAAACCTTAAAAAACATTTAGGTAAGTATTACATTTACTTTGGCATTATTGACATACAAGTAATTATTTTATACAACGCAAATGGCTATCAGTTATTGCGGATATTGGTAAGAAAAATAGAAAACAAAAATCCACTATTCTTTACAATTTCATAATAATTTTATAAATATATTGTTGCCTTATAAAATTTTAGTAGCATTATTAGAACTCGAGTATGCCCGGCATGTACTTGTCTATGAGGGACTCGTAGTACGGCCATAGAGCCTCGACGTCTGGGATGGCGGCACTTTTGGTGTATAGGTCATATCGGCTGAAATAAAAAATAAATAAATAAAGGATAAGTTGTTAGTACCTAATTAGTTTAAATTTTAAAATCGTTAATATTGATTTTTAAATATAGACCTGGTGTTAAAAAGCCCGCCTTACACGAATCATAAAGTTATCATAGGATTTGCGTTGCATATTAACAACTATTATATTTTGATCCTGTCACCAAAGAGAGACTTTGTACAAAAGCCGATCGCTTGGGTACCTCTGTAAACAGAAAAACGATGGAAGACTGATAGGAGTCGAGTTCACTTACTTGAATTTTAAAACACTCTCCCTGATCTTTTCGTCTCCTTCTTTGAGCAGATGTTGGTAATCTCCACCCGCGTGCCATGGGTAGAACGAATGATATCTGAAATGGGTACAGAATAAATAATTTATATACAACCACAGAGAAGCTAATCTGATATAAGATTAGCTTCTCGGTGTTAGGGTGTAAGGGATAGGTTGGCAAAAACTGAAACAGTGAATTCAAACCATTATTCTGACTTGAAAACCAGTGGAAATTCTGTCCAGAAAATTTCAATTATTTTGTTTTTTTTTTTTAATTCATCTAAAAATATGTTATTATGTCATAATATAAACAAATAATAATATTTTATAGTAAAATATCAAAAAACAGCAATGTAATTTTCGTATTAAAATCCTACCGTGACCCGCGTAATCAGCTGTGTAAGTCAACACCACATACGAAACTACCTACGAAGAACTGCCGTTAACCGGGCGGTGTAAATATCGCGCATCGTGTGGAACGTAAAATTTCAAATACATTGCGCGGCGTCAAAACTAGGGATCGTTAATTATATGTCTGTGACGTATTTCCGGTGGGAAAATAATCTACCATGTGATTCAGACAATTCATCTGAATCAGCTGTTTCCTTTTTGGCTAACCTGTTCCTTCCACCCTAATTTAATTCTAGAGATAAATTTAAAAAATAGCGCCTAAACGTCAATCCCATTGACTTCAATTACAACTGACCTGATCATGTAGAATGCCTCTTTGGGCAGCTTGGCCTTGTTATGTATGAGGAACCTGTACAAATACTCGTCGTGACCCCAGGACAGCATCAAGTTCTCCAGTCCACAGTTAGGCTGATACATTCCGTAGTCAGTACTGAAAGTTACATAATAGTAAGTAGATAAAAGACAGCATTACAAGAATTTAGATAAAAAGCAAGAATGAGTGGCCTCATCGTTAAATATTGATCTCTTCCAGGCAAACAACCGTGAAGCAGTTGTGTTTGCATGGCTGTGTTTCGGTATGAAGGGTGGGATGAATTTACTGGGTACAGAGGAATAACACCTGAGTCCTCAGAAATGGCAACGCATGGGGGGTATCATGGGCGAAACAGTATACTCTGTTATGTCCATGGTACTGCTCATGTCTATAGGCGACGATTACCACTTTCCATCAGGTGAGCCGTCAGCTTGTTTGCCATTCTAAGTTGTATAAAAAAAAAAACAAATATTTTTTTCTTAAATAATTGTGAATTTGTATCCCTCGATAGATGGGGTTGATCATGGAAGACTTATCTTGTTTTACCATCCATTGTTACCTATGTATCACAAAATAAATAAATAAATAAAAACCTTAGAATTTGTGATCAGTTGAAGATTATCAATATGAATAAAAAAATCGTGGAAAAATATTATACGCATATTAAAATTTCTCCAAGCACAACAATGACAATAGTTGTCGAGTATTGCTCTGGCTACCCCATCTAGAATTAATCGTGAGCATATTTTGTATTGTAACATTATATGCCGTGTGGTCTCGGCATAGAAAGGGTCACCTCTTCCTTTCCCGTGGGTGTAGAAAAACCGACTAAAGGAACTTAATGATCGAGGGATAGACACTGGTGTCCCTCTTGAAACATCACCGGAGCCTAACTGCTGTTGCCAAGCATGACAACTATTGAGAAAACTTTCCTTTTGGGAATGCCTCATCAGTATCTACTGATGAGGCTTATAACACTTAAAAGAACAAAAATTTATTTAATACAAACATGAGAAGAGATGAGGATCAAGCTGCTAAAAGAATGATAAAAATTTTTTGGTACGATAATTATATGAGACTAAATTAAGACCAGAATGGAATGTAAAATTTTATATTAAAAATTTCAATGTGTCCAATGTAAATTATGTACAATTTTTAAAGATTTTTACAATAAAACATTTAAAATATATTGGATAAAATACGTTATTACAACCCAAAAATAAAGATTCAGTACTTGTCTTATATATTAGTTGCCTTTTACGGATATTAACCTAGTTAATTCTTATTTGCATAAAGGTCTGAGATATAATGATTATCACTTACTTATATTTAGTATTATACGTGTCAGGGTTATTCTTGAAGCTGTCGTCACCATAGACGACATTCTTGCCCCATTTGCAGCCCACCACGAAGGTGTCGCCCACCACGCACCATTGTGGTTCATTGTAAAATGCCATCACCTGGGAAGTTAAAGTATCCGTATTATACGAATTGACTCACTCAAAAAATACTGGACGGTTTTTTATTTTGATGGGTGAAAATGGTATGGTAACCCCGCCTGCGCTAACGGGATACGCTGGCGGAGCACCAGTGAAGGGTGATAGATGAGAATGAAAATAGGCCAGTTAGCCCATCATGATGAATTCATCAGGAATTAACCATGATAGTTTCCAGGGAGAACCGCGAGGAGGTTGACCTGGATGGGTATATTGCTAGCAATAGGATTCTCAGTCTCCATTACTAACAATCCCTTTCCCCCCTACTGGACGGATTTGAATGAAATTTTCATTTGTTATGTACACAGCTTTATATTCTAACATATAAAATACTTAAGGTACATATTTATTCATACGGGTGAAGCAGTGCAGATATAAGACAATATTTTTTTAATTCTTCAAACATACGTTTTAATTCAGAGGGTTAGATTTTGGGACCCCTGAACCGGAATTGAGCATTTCCTAACTAGGCTATCATTATTGTTTAACTCACCTAAAATATAAATATAAAAAAATATATTAGAAATTGTTAAAATTATATTAAATATTATTATATATTTTTTAAATTATATAGAATTATAAAATTATTTATTACGATAGTAATAAATAATTTTAATTTATTTTTTGACATTACTTTGTTTATATTCGTTAAAGAATAACAACGCTGCAGAAAACAGCTTCAAAGAGAAGACTTCAAATAGAACATAATTAATACACGAAAAAAAAATAAAAAAGAGATTTTATCTTTTTTTGCAATGAGGCTAATAAACTTTAATCTCGTATAGTCGTAACATATTCATATCCATGCTTGACACGTATAGGTTATCTGAAAGACAAAATAAATTTCAAACAATGTATAATAACGCTTTATAATTTGTTACGGTTAGGTATGATCAGAATCAATTTCTGATAACCCACAAAACTTGCCATTCATTTTGTTAACAAAACGAAGGTTATCAGAACATATTGCGAAACTTTTTCCACGGCTCAAAGGACGTCATACCATAGTCTAAAGAAAACTTCTCTAATTTCGGCACTATACTCATAGTTTAAACACTGAGAGTTAGAATTTTGGATATATGTCTGTATGTATTTTTGTTATAGTACCACGCAAAAATTCAGTTATGTTCTGGAAGGTCTAATTAAAAAACTGGCGTATGGTTTATAGAAATGGTCCCTTATATTGAATTACCTATTTTTGAAATCCACGCATACAAAGTAACGAGCAAATATATATATATATATATATATATATATATATATATATATATATATATATATATATATGTGTGTGTGTGTGTGTATGTATATATATATATATATATATATATATATATAATTAAATCAAACTTCTATTCACACTTGACCAGATGCTTGTAACGAAATAAATTAAAAAAAATAGCCTAATCTTTACAACGGTCTTTTATGAAGGCACGAGTTTTGTTTTGGAGGTTTCTCGAAAATACTCACCTTGCCTAAATCGTGGATAAGGCCGGTGAGATGGAACCAGTCATCATCGGGGTAGTCCTCTCTGATCTTTTCCGCTGTCTGGAAGGCGTGCACGATATTTGGCAGATCGGTGTCCGGATCCGACTCGTCCACCAGCTCGTTCAATTTAATCAGGGCATCTTTTATTGTCGATTTGAAGTGGTTGAACTTGAGCCATTTCTCCATCTTACCTGGAATTATGTATGACATAGTTTTTTCTTTAAATGATAATAATGGAATGGTAGCTCAGCCTGCTCTATCGATATGGTGAAAGATGGTAAGAAAAGATGAAATCAAGTCAGTTAGTAGGAATTAGTCACGAAAGACAGTTTGTCTTGCACTAAATTATGTGTTGGTCTAAAGTAGCAGTAAAAATATTGGATATATTTCGACTTAGGCAGACTTAATAGATCGATTGCTTGGGTACCTCTGTCCCATTCGTGTTTCTACCGTGAAGCAGTTGTGTTTGCATGGCTGTGTTTCGGTTTGAAGGGTGGGATATGGCGTGAATTTACAGGGCACAGAGGAGTAACACCTGAGTCCTCAGGAATGGCAACGCAAGGGGGTATCATGGGCGAAACAGTATACTCTGTTATGTCCATGGCACTGCTCATGTCTATAGGCGACGGTTACCACTTTTCATCAGGTGGGCCGTCAGCTTGTTTGTCATTCTAAGTTGTATAAAAAAAAACTTTAGTTCTTATAAATAATAACACATGCGGAATACCATTGGTTTTATAATAGATTTAGTGACGTTTACAGTCCTGTTCACATCTGTGCTTTGTAAATTACTATTATTACATGAGTTTATCATTGCAAAGTGTATAAAAAATTGCTTTTTTTACTACTGAGGTAGCAAACAAGCCCCAACTCATGGTAAGCAGTTACCGTAGCCTGTGAATGCCTGCAATACCAGGGGCAGTATGCTTTCTCACTGATGATGATGTTGATGATACTTTCTCACTTTCAACAGTTCGATGGGTCATCAGCTTGTTTATGATTACGAACAATATGCAGAAAATTTGCTTCCTCACTTTTAACAAAATCCACTGTCATATTGCTGTGCATTTCGTAGTACGTCCTCTTGACGCGCTCCCTGATGGGGTCGCTGTCGTCGATGGTGTAGTCACGGAATGCCTCGATGGGTTTGTCATCGTACACTTTTTCGGGACGTAGCAGGAGCGACGGGTCCAGGAGGGCTACGGGCGAATCCTGCGACAGACACCATGTATATATATCGTATATTTTTGGGGGATAAATTTATGTATTACTGTATTTATTCCGCAATAGAATACAAGTATTCCCTGAAATGAGATTAAGGAATAGAATAGAAATAAACCTTATTCAAATAGACTTATTTACAAACGCTTTAAAATCGTAATTTTTTTAACAGTTACTAGAGGGAGACTTTGTACAAAAGTCGTTTGCTTGGGCACCTCTTGTTCCCATTCGTGTTTCTACCGTGAAGTAGTTATGTTAGCATGGCTGTGTTTTGTTTTTTTTTCCAATATTATTTGGTTCGCGATTGGGAAGCGTCTTAGCTGACTTAAGCTGCGATTTGATACAGCATAATCTGTGTTTTGGTTTGAAAGGTGGGATATGGCAGTGAATTTACAGGGTACAGAGAACCACCTTAGTCCTCAGGAATGGCAACGCATGAGGGATATCATGGGCGAAACAGTATAGTCTTGTTATGTCCATGGTACTGTTCATGTCTATAAGCGACGGTTACCACTTTCCATCAAGTGGGCCTGCCACCCTGGGGATATCTAATATACCAAAAAAAACCACTACATATACTATAGACGACTGAAAACATTTCCATCAGGTGAGGTGTCAGCTTGTTTTGTCACTCTGACACTCAGACAAGCAAAAAGACAACAGACTTTAATACTTCGTTTGTTTATTGCCATTTGGAATTAACGCGACCGCCACGAGAGTTTGTTTACTATGAAATTTTCTTTATTCCACATTTAATAATTGTAAACATAATGTTTATGTGACATTGACTCCGATGTATAAATATATACCTACGCCTGAGACAATGTCAATGTATAAAAAATAATAATAATAAACAAACATGATGCAACAAAATAAAAATAATACTAGATTTGCTTTGAATACACCATCGATCGAATCGGAGTTAGGACTCCCAGTATGGGCTCATGGTGCCTTATATAATCTTTTATTTTATACTTGGCAAGTTAGCATTAAGTAATAACATTGAGTAATTTAGAAATAATTTTAGCTTAATTTTTGGGGATTTCTATTAATTTATTAAGAAAGACTTTAATAAGTGAAGATTATTTATATTTAATAAATTTAAAAATAAGTCATTAAAATAAAAACATAAACACGTTTCTATATATATATATATATATATATATATATATATATATATATATATATATATATATATATATATATATATATATATATATATTCAATAAAAAATGATTTTAAGATTTTTATAACATTTCTTAGACAATAACCTGTATAATAACTAGATAGCTGGATGTCCGTATCAACGCAGTACCGAAGGCTTAAATTTGCAAGTAATATTTCGACCCGTATCTTTTGAAAAAAAATATTCCGTTTTGGCGGTAGAACGCTCTTTTAGAATAGTGCTTGTTATTGATTTTGCCCAATATTATCTTAGTTATTCCAACGAATCAAATCCTGTTGTTATAAAATGCAATTTTATTTGTATTTTCTGTTGTCCTACCTACAGTCTATTTCAATAAAAAATAATGTAAACATGACAAAATTAAATTAGTAACCAATCGAAACACAATCAAGTTATTTATTTTTGATTTGTACTGCCATTGGACATCAAAATAATTTTCAAGTAAAATATTCGTTTGTGTATATTTTCATTAAATTCTTTTGAAGCAGACTGTACGTAGTTATTTTTTACTATGTTTGTTTGTTTATTTATTATTCTATGTATCTAACTCACCGGTTTCACTTTCATAGTGGTCGCCCGCGTGTGTTACCCTCTTCCCAGAAAAACACTGAATAAACTATATATTTTTGCACCGCCACGTTTTATGCCCAAGATGTTAGATAATGATAGGGTCAATTATGCGACCAGAGGCTATCTCTTTGTATGTTGTTTTAATTCCATTAAGTGCGTTAGGCTCGAATAGAACGTGATTCCGTAGTTAAATTATTTATTTATCTCTTACTAGCGTATACCCGCGACTTCGTCCGCGTGACCGGGATATGTTCACCGACTGGGATAAAAAGTAGCCGGCGTACTTCTCCATTCTATATAGATATATATGTGTATATCAAATTTCATATGGACTAGTTAAACTATTTAGGTGCTATAAGGGCACAAACAAACAAATTCATTTTCACATTTATAATATTAATAAAGATTTTTTTATTAGTCACTAGTGACTAGTCACCGTTACAGCTAAAATGTTTTTTTTTTTTTTAATTTAAATATAGCACATGTTACTGGCTGATTAATGTAGCTCTCTATAGGTAAAAGAATTTTTAAAATCGGTTAAATATTTTTTGATTAATGGGTCGCTATATATTATACATTACAAGCAAACAATCAAGCATTTCCTGTTTATAATCTGTATTAAATATAGATGTAAAGGAGTTTTTAAACTGAATGAAGTCGTCTTTATGTTACAAATACCTATAACATTGTGTAGTTTACTTTCTCAATTGTTTTGTATCATGATTATTGTAAGCAAGCTGCTGCTGCCGCAAGCATAGTACTGCTTATGTCTATAGGCAACGGTTACCACTTTCCATCAGGTGGGCCGGTAACCGTCGCCTATAGACATGAGCAGTACCATGGATATAACAGAGTATACTGTTTCGCCCATGATACCCCCCCCCCCATGCGTTGCCATTCCTTTATGATAGCAGCGCCCATGTAACCTATACTTAAATGCGGCCCTACATGCAAGGACAGTTGCTTCATAGCAGAAGAGAAAAGAACAGATCAAAAATGTCTGCATTACCATTCCTGAAACAGGTGATTTTTTAATGAAAGATAATGGAATGGTAATCTCACCTTCGCTAACGGTAGACGCTGTAGAGGCACCAGTAAGGGATGATAAGTAAGAATGAAAAGAGAGCAGGTCAGTTAGCCCATTGTGATGAATACACCTGGAATTCAGCAGACGACCTGACAGAGCATATTGCTAGCATTGGAAATGGTAGACCCCATTACAAACAATACCTTCCCTCCAGACTATGGTGTTTTACCTTCGTAATTCCGTACCCTGGAAATTTATTGCCTTTGTTTATTATCTCCTTGCGTCTCTACACTATTTGGGTTGGAGAAGGACATAGACTATGTTTTATCACGCTTATCAACATTATCCGTTCAGGCGGCCAAAATCGCCGGTAGAAACTAGTATGTATAACATTATTATTTTGTCGTAATTTATGGATATTTAATTATCGTCAAATGTTATTGATTCCTAGAGACTATTAACAAGAGAACAAACTAATTTGTACCTGTTGTAATAATCATTAATTAAATAAGTTGGTACTTTTAAAACAATATTGTGAAAAAGACTCCATTTTCCGCGCTTAGCCTCTCACTTGGGCCATTGTGCGTATAAACCAATATTATATATTTTTAAAAAATTCTGCCGCATTGTCCCGGCATAGAACGAACAACCCTTTCCTTTCCCTTAGGCGTCGTAAGAGATGACTAATGGAGGACTAAGGATGGGCAGCAGCGTCCCTCTTAAAACATCACCAAAGCCTAACTGTGGTTGCCAACCCACCTGCCAAGAGTGTCAACTACTGGCAAGACCCCCAAGGGGGAGGCTTACGTTCAGCAGTGGACAGTTAAAGGCTGATATGATGATGATGATGATTTAGTTTAGAATTTTCAAAATTCCTTTCTCATTCAAATTCACACGTTCCATTTCGCGGGCAAAAACTAGTTATAAATAAATTGTTCGTAATATCAACAGTTTTTATGAAACCACAAAGAAATTTCAATAGACGCATTCAGTATTGAAAGATTAGGTAGTTACATAGTGTAAACTACCTACATTAATTATTTACATACAGAGATGTTATTGTATTTTAACTGGAAAGATTTTAGGTATAATATAGTAAAAACAAAAGCAATTACTTATGTAAGTAATTATGACTAATCGATTTTTGAACAATTTTCATTGTATCGAAGCACTTTACATACATTGATAACCTAATAGTTTATAAGCATAGTTTGGTGGTTTTGTTTTTGATTCTTGTTTTGTATGTAGTTTTTATCATTAATTCTTTTTTGTATTAAAAATCAACCTATTCTTTTTCACCTCTGTGAATGTTGAGTACAACTATAATTGGATAGCAAACTTATAATGCTATTGTTGTATTCTATTGTTAAAAGTTTTGTTTGTAATATGTTGTTGTACCACATGCATGATCTGCGTGAAAGATTTATTAAAATTATAGGAAATTATCTCTTATAGGGACTTAGCGAGAAGAAAACCTTTTCACCAGAGGGAGACTTTGTACAAAAGTCGTTTGCTTGGGCAACTCTGTCCATTTCGTGTTTCTACCGTGAAGCAGTTGTGTCTGCATGGCTGTGTTTCGATTTGAAGGTTCGGATGTGGCAGTGAATTTACAGGGTAAAGAGGCATAACACCTGAGTCCTAAGGAATGGCAACGCATGGGGGGTATCATGGGCGAAACAGTATACTCTGTTATGTCCAGGTACTGCTGATGTCTATAGGCGACGGTTACCACTTTCCATCAGATGGGCCGTCAGCTTGTTTGCCATTCTAAGATGCATAAAACTTTGCCCAGCTGTGAGTAACATAGATTAATAACTGACTGTTACTGTTCACGTGGTAAATTGAATAGAGTAACTGTTAAGATTTTTGCGGGTTCTTCTCAACAGATAACAACATAGCGAACCCGACAGTAAAATCATGTAAATGACGATTTAAAAGAGCTTGTAAACAAGTACATTCGAATAAAGATTATCTATATGTATAGTACTTAGTACTACAACCTTTTTCTTACTGTTATGGTATATTTTGTTTACTTTTATTATCTTCGATAAAGACTTTGCACATTGTGTCAATAATAGAACTGGAAACATGTTTAAATTTTTAAATTTTAACTTTAATTTAAAAATTCATTAAGATATAATGCATAAAGTGGTCCTTTGAGCCGGATACAGGAATGCTTTCTGTAAACAATCAATTCGTTTTACTACCCAAAATACCTACATTTTATCTGTTGTTACTTATTTAACTTTAACGCCAAGCGTTTAAATATTTGACAAAACTGCAAACATAATAATGATAATTTTCGTAGGTAAATAAAAAACTTCATTACATCAATTTGTTAAAAAAAATAAGTGCATTCAATATTTTAAACGTTTATTCTGTTTTTATACAATTTTTTGTACTACAATACATTATAGTTTTTATAATAAGTACTTAATTACAATATATCTCTTTTTGTTTGGAATAATTACAAAATACTTATCTTCTATAGTGTTTTTCTATCACAAAAAAATACAATAAGGTACTTAACTATATTTATACAATATTTACTCTGTGTAAATATTTCTAAAGTGCCGTTTATGAGTTATCTATAAATATTATACAATAAAATCTAAACAATTAAATACTAAATTAATAGCATTTATTTTACATATATTAAGTACAATATGCATGACTTTAAAAACAATAAGTTTACATACTGTAAATAATTTTTAATACTAAATCGTTACAAGACGCAGTAAAACTTTTATGATGGGAAGTGGTAAACGTCGCCTATAGCGTGATCATCACCATAGATTAAAGTTTACAGATAACACAGCCATACCTGTAATATTCTATAAATTTTTGAAGCGTTATTAATACCCAATAATTTTAATATCAATTAATACCTATTTTTGAAGAAAATTTTTGTTTGTCGGAATAGCCCATTGGGTAAAATAAAAAATGCTATAATTTTAGTAAATACCTAAGTAACCAAGGGTAAATACTAAATATGTAACAAGGATAAATACTCTATATTTATGTACATGAATGCATTATAATAAATATATAAATCATGAAGAAGAGAAATACTATATACTTGAATACCATTGTAATGAATTCTGGGTGTATTAATCACTGACTTCAACCTTATCTTTCATCCCTCATTGATGTCCCACTAGTGAATATTAATAAACTCGGGCAAAATTATCATTCTGTTTTATTCATATAAAAAAAATATGTACGAGAAAGAATGTGGTATTTTAAGTCTAAGAGTATTTTAATTCGCATTTTCACCACTCACAAACTCCTGGGATGTATTTTTCAATCAGACCTTCATAATAAGGCCAGAGCGCTTCGATGTCAGGTACGTTTTCACATTTTGTGTAAAGATCATATTTGCTGAAAGTAAAAATAAATTGTAAAAGAAATTATTAAAAAACTGACATATCCGAGCCATGCAAGTATGGCTTCGTTCACTACTGAACGTAGCCTAACCCATAAGGGACGAATAAAGCTAGGTTTAGAAAAGTGGCCTCTCAGAACCCATTGACCCCATTATATATTACTAGCTGACTCGGCAAATGTTGTTTTACCATATACATTATTTCGAGAATTATACATGAAAATTTATCGTACTACAATTATTCGATTGCCATATTGCAACCCTATTGCGGAATATAAAAATCGCTATTAAAAACAGGGGTTGATCATAAAAGGGCGAAAACTTCAAGTTGTATGTATTTATCAACGCTAAATCATAATAAAATAAAAATATAAAACATTTGTCAAAAAATTAAATCAAATATTTAGGAGTGGATCACCCTTATCATTGAGGTGTACGAAAAATAGATGTTGGCCGATTCTCAGACCTACTCGGTATGCATATAAAACTTTATAAAAATCGGTGAAACCGTTTCGGAGGAGTTTGGTAACAAACACCGCGACACGAGAATTTTATATATTAGATTTTTATTTTCATACCTTAAAAATTATTTTTCATAAAAAAGAATTTCTCTATTCCAGTGTTTTATTATGAGCGTTAATTTAATTAAAGAAGTCGCAACAACTTCACAGAGTTTCTTTAAATCTACAGCTAATTAAGCATGATGCCTAGTATTTTGAGGACGGGGAAAAAGCCGTGACTACATTTTTTAAATTTATGTTCTATAAATTTAAATTAATATTTAATTTAAGATTGTGTTTTATAAAAAAACTAACTTTGTGGCAAAATCGGTTATTTTGATTACAAGACTAAACTATTGAATTGATTTTAATAAAATTTCCGTAGGATTAACCTGATCTAATAAAAAAAAATCAAATTGGTTTATAAACAGTTATAACTGACAGAGTTATAAGTTTACAGACATAAAATAGGTATACAATAGAATTGAGAACCTCTTTTTTTGCAGTCGGTTAAAATTGTAATTGTTCATACAATAATTTTAATAAAAGATACGATTTTTTCAATATGGGTTATAGATGCTGTCACACAGAATACGTAGTGTTGGCGATATTTATTTAAATCACCAATATAAATTAAAAATTATAGTATCTCTAATGATCGCCACAATAAGCAAATCTGTTCTTTTTCTCATTTAGGAAAAAAATAAAATGTTTAATATAATAATAATAAACTCTTTATTGCGCACAGTAGAGATGTACACAAGGAGTATTTATACAGAATGTGCATATACAAAAGGCGGCCTTATCGCTAAAAGCAATCTCTTACAGACAACCTGGCATAAAGAATGGATAAGCATCTCTAATGATCGCCACAATAAGCAAATCTGTTCTTTTTCTTATTTAGGAAAAAAATAAAAATGTTATCATCGCATTTAATACTCACTTAAACTCTAACACTAGTTTGAGAATTTCCTCATCTTTATCATTGGTGAGGTGGCGGTAGTCTCCGCCTGAATGCCACGGGTAGAAAGAATGGTACCTGCCACCACAAATATTATAGTTAGTAACAAAACAAAATGTCATTTAGTTGACGCTAGAATTTATATAATTCGTCTGTGTAAACACTATTGAATAATATCTAGGAATACTTAAATATTTATAAAAATTTATTACATGATTAATGTTGGTTGTACAATGTATTATATGATACATTATACAACCAACATTAAGAACTTACAAATAAAAAATTATAAAATAGACAATCACGTATACAAAAAAGTGTAAAGAAAATTCTGTCTGTACATGGTATCGTTGAGATTTTTTTTTTATAATACTAAAAATGAATATCACTGACGGCCCACATGATGAAAAGCAGTAACCGCCACCTATAGACATGAACAGCATCGTGGATATTACGTCTAGATTAAATTCCTATATTGTATTAAATATTTATTCATTCATTCATTTCAGTCATTATTCGTCCATAATTTCGACATAAGCCTCCCCCTTAGTCTGTCATAAAGGACGGTCCTGAGCCACCTACATCCACTGACTCACTACAATGCATTTTAAGTATTATTATATATTAATTAATATTATTAGTATTATATTAAGTAGTATTAAAAAGCTACTTCCAGAAGAAGACAGTAACATTATTGTTTAATCTTGAAGACATAGATATTCCAAGTAAACGGTTATAATTTTACCTGATCATGTAACGTCCACTTTCTGGTATTTTAGATTTGTTGTGAAGCAGAAACTGGTACAGGTATTCATCGTGGCTCCACGACATCAGCAGCTTATCAAGACCGCAGTGCGGCTGGTATATACCATATTTCGTGCTGAAGGAAATATATTTTACATTTAATTCGTCAAGACTAAATTCAATAGGATTCCAACATGCAAATCCTAATTCTGAAGTTTAACGTGCTTTAAATCATTCTTACATTTTTTTAACAATTACAAACAAGCGAGGGGAAGGGGTTGTTAGTAATGAGCTCTAATAGCCCTTGGAGACCATCATGGTTAATCCATGTCGAATTTAACATGGTGGACCAACTGACCTGCATTCATTCTCACCTGTTATCTTTCACTGGTGCCCCGTTAGTGTATACCGATAGCGCGGGCGGGGTTACCATTCCATTTTCACCCACTAAAAAAATTAAATTGCAAACAAGCTTATTAGCTATCCGCTTACTTTCTTTCTAAAAGTGGTAATCGTTACACATAGATATAAACAGCACCGTGGGCATCACGGAATACGTGGTGATGACCATGGTACCCCTCATTCATTGCCATTCCTAAGGACTATTACGCGTTAACCCTGTATTTTTACTGCCATATCCCACTCTTCAAATTTAAACATAGCAAAGCAACACTGCTGTTGCAGACGATTTTTGTACAATGTCTCCTTCTAATACTTACTTGTACTTAGGATTATAAGTATCAGGGTTGTCTTTGAAACTCTCGGGTCCATACACGATGGAGTCCGCCCACTGGCAACCCACGGGGAAGGTGTCACCTACCACACACCATTGGGGCTCGCCATAGAATGCCATCACCTGTCAAAGATTAATAATCCCATTATATAATCTAAGACTAAGCCAAAACTGTATCCGAATGGAATTTTCATTATAGAACTAAACGTAAAAGAGGTAAACAATAAAAAGTCAGATAACATCAAAAATTTTCTTAAGGTTCGGTATAAAAGAAAGAGTAAAAGACAGACACAAATAAGAAACTCCAGAGATTCTCCAAAAACTGACAAACTGGAGGTCGATTTAACAGAATATATCCAATATCTACATACGTATGTAATGGAAAATTAATAAACTCACTGAGTTTTTGTCGTTTCCTACAATTATTTCGACTTCATCCGGAAGTCTTCTTCAGGGGCGTTTGGCGCTTCAGAGCGTCTTGCCTCTCTCCGATAAAAAAATATTGGATAAAAAATGACCATAAGTTTTAAAAAAGACTATTATACTAAATTTGGATATAGTCTTTTAACATCCAGTCTATATAGCTGATACTCATATAGACTTAAATAATCTTAAAACACTTGATTATTAAGCTTTATTTAGAAGGTTTACTAATTATTGCTAATAATGAAGCTGCTTCAATCTGATGCATGCGATTGCGAGTCTGAACCTAAAATATATGAGGTTCACATGCTCACCTTGCCCAAATCATGTATGAGACCAGTTAAGTGGAACCAGTCGTCATCTGGATGGTCTTGTCTGATCCTTTCCGCTGTCTGAAAGGCGTGCACAATGTTCGGTAGGTCGGTGTCCGGGTCTGACTCGTCCACCAGCTCGTTCAACTTGATCAGGGCATCTTTTATTGTCGATTTGAAGTGGTTGAACTTGAGCCATTTTTCCCGCTTTTCTAATCAACATTAAGGAAATTGTAAATACATAGGTACTGATGAACTTTGCTGCTGTGAAATCAGAGGGCTTACCAAGAAATGTTTTCCGAAATTTTGGAGCCAAAAGAAACACAAATTTGATGTTAAAATTATATAATAATGGAAATATTAAAAATGTTAAAATATTTTACTTTATACTTTGGATTTTTATGATAGATATGATGTATGACGATTGAAATGTTAAACTCCATTTATTGGCCCGATTTTGGTACAAACAAAAACACGAAATTGAGTCCGAAATTTCGGAATTTCATTTCATGGTAGACCCGCTGTATTTTTTATAACAGCACGACATGTAACCATACTATCTGGAGTGAACACAGAATTCATAAATATAATCAACCGAAAGCGATATTTTCTACCAGAGGTTTCCGGCATAGAATGGGCCACCCCATCCTTTCCCGTGGGTGTAGTAAGAGGTGATTAAAAGAACTAAACAAACGAGGAATTTACAGCAATGTTTTTTTTTTATACAACTTAAAATGGCAAACAAGCTGACGGCCCTCTTGATGCAATGTGGTAACCGTCGCCTATAGACATGAGCAATACCATGGACATAACAGAGTATACTGTTGCGCCCATGATACCCCTCATGCGTTGCCATTCCTGAGGATTCAGATGTTATTCCTCTGTACCCTGTAAATTCACGCCATATCCCACTCTTCAAACCGAAACACAGCCATGCAAACACAACTATTTCACGATAGAAACACGAATGGGACAGAGGTATCCAAGCAATCGACTTTTGTACAAAGTCTCCCTCTTCTTAATATGCTAAGTGTTTTCGTAATATGCTTAAGTAAAAATCTTCTTTTTTAAACCAATTAAAAATAGATATGTAATTTTGATATAGAGACAAAATACAAGTATACGAGAGCACGTGCTATTAATTTGAGTGGGACGCAGTGACCCGGGCACTTGACCGTGGGTCCCCATCAATGAATTCAGTGTATGCTAAATCATACTAAAATAAACACAACAGCTATTATTAGTATCGTTTATATAAATGGTCATTGTATTCACGTGATGACAATTTAGAAATGAAACTAGAAGTGATTGATTAATAATAAACTTATTCGATATGTATTTATAGTTCTGTATCAATTTATAGACATATTAATTTGAATGTTTATAGATAGCATAGTTTAGGTAAAACTATTATATTTTAAATAATAGCAATTTTTTTTATCTGGTCCCTGATATTGATGCTTTTTACTTTTATAATTTTTTCATGATCTCGGTATAGAATAGGCCACCCATTCCTTTCCCGTGGGTGTCGTAAGAGACGACTAAGGAGAACGAGGAATGGACAGCAACGTCCCTCTTAAAACAATTCTAAAGCCAATCGGCCTGCCAAGCGTGGCAATTACTGGCAAAACTCCCCTAGTGGTAGGTTTATGTTTAGCAGTGTACAGTTAAAAGAAACTCAGTGACCCCGCCCGCCCACACATCATCTGGCGGGTAAGAGATTTCCATGTTGTTGTTGTTGTCAGTTATGGTAAAAGCTGATATGATTATGATGTCTATAGGGGACAGTTACTACTTTCCAACGTGTAGGCCGTCGGCTTGTTTGTATTAGGTATAATAATAATAAATATATAATTTATTTGCTGAAACATTTTACATATTTACACGGTATACAGATGGTAGTCATAATATGTTAGGAACAGGCGTGTTTTGCCAAAACAATGGCATGCAAAATTTTAATATTATTGGTATTTTTTTTTTAAATACTAATGACAAAATATTATGTATGTGCTTATAAAATGGAATTATTTTTTAGTCCAACAAGTCCTTAATTGAGTAATAACGCTTGTCCAAAAGCCATTTGTACAGTGTGCTCTTAAATTGTCTCAGTGTCTTTATATCTATAATATTTTCTGGTATATTATTAAAAATTCGTATACACATATTATAACTATTTTTTTGACAAATCGTAGTCCTAGGAATGCTATTTAATATTAGCCTATTTGGATTTCTTCTATTTCGCGGACTGCTGCAATGAAAAGCTCTTTGGCAGTAATAAAGTATATAGACACAAAAAAATTATATACAAGATAACTTGTCTGTCTTACTGGGAAAAATACCTTATATCTACGTTAATCATCCTGGTTAACTCTTACGTTTAACTAAATCAACGGTGACATTGGTGTGCATCAAGTAATACGTCCTCCTCACTCTCTCCTTGATCGGGTCTGAATCATCGATTGTGTAGTCACGGAACGCATCTATTGGTTTATCGCTGAACACTGGCTCTGGACGCAGGAGCTGGGACGGATCGATCATGGAAATGGGGCTGTTCTGTTGGTCATATACAAACCATATATGAAATCACAAGAACAAATTCCAAATTACACAGTCTGGTATTTAAGATGGTTTATGTTCCCGTGTGGGCCCGGCATAGAATAGGCCACCTATTTCTTTCCTGTGGGTGTCGTAAGAGGCGACTAAAGGAATAATGGATGAAGGATGAGCAGCAACTTCTCCCTAAAAACATCACCAAAAGCCTAATTGCGGTTGCCAATCCGCCTGCCAAACGTGATAACTACTGGCAAAGCCCCCCTATATGGGGGGGGGGGGGGCTTATGTTCAGCAGTGGACAGTTAAAAGCTGATATGACAATGATCATGATCTGTTGTTAAAAATCTATTTATTTATTAATTTATTTATTTATTTATTCTTTATTGTACACAAAAAATTACAACATATAATATATATATATAAATAAAGATGTACAACAGGCGAGCTTAACTCTGTAAGAGATCTCTTCCAGCAAACCCTGAGTGGAAAGGAGCATTAATTATTGTTATATTAAGTAATTATGTACCATAGTTAATAATAATTGTACGCCTTATGATGTTGAAAGTTCATGTTCAGTACATTTCTACAACATTAAACTTATAACTACACCTATGTTTATGCAAATAAATGATTGATTGATTGAGATTTACTCAACAAGGCAGACTTATTAGTAGTATTTTTTTTTATACAACTTAGAATGGCAAAAAAGCTGACGGCCCACCTGATGGAAAGTGGTAACCGTCGCCTATAGACATGAGCAGTACCATGGAAATAACAGAGTATACTGTTACGCCCATGATACCCCCCATGCGTTGCCATTCCTGAGGACTCGGGTGTTATTCCTCTGTACCCAGTAAATTCACGCCATATCCCACCCTTCAAACCGAAACACAGCCATGCAAACACAACTGTTTCACGGTTAAAACACGAATGGGACAGAGGTTCCCAAGCTAACGACTTTTGTACAAAGTATTATCATTTCTTATGATAACAGAAATTATAAGAATCAATAAATACTTACGGATTTAGTAGGCGCCATCTTGTATCGACTTCTTAACTTTTCAATACCGCATTCAGTAGAAAAATAGTTTATATAACTGTAATTAAGGTGTTTTATACCTCAACGCATCTCGCGAACTGTCTCATTTGATAACACCTTATTCGTACATTGATAATAGTAATCCTGCAATGGAAACATCTACTTAAGTAGGTACTGTCATCAAACCATAACAATACACATAATACATTAGTAATAAAAGATTTCCTTGGCAAAAATACCACCACCAACAATAATACCTACAACAATAACACCGGACGGTGTTCTCTACCAGTCAACCATTGGGTAAAGAAATAAGTAGGCGATGCATTATTGAATAGAGGACAAATAAAGCAATACATATATATTAAATAAATAAATATATACATACAATAAATACGTACATAAATAAATACGTAAATTATTATTATATATTTTTTTTTATTTTATTAAAGTTAACAAACAGTAATACAATATATAATTATAATAAGATTACATTTAAATGTGATTAATAGTACTACCAACAACGTTAACTACAGATTGCTATATAAAGAAAGAAAGTATATAAACATGCAAATATTGCCTAGAAGTGGAGCCGACCATTATATCTATTAATTAAGTTAAATTATAAATAACATTGACACAACTACATCACCGGTACAAATTATGCAAAACAACCAACAAAAAAAAAGTTATTTAACTATACACATGTATAAAACAATTAAATAAAACAACTGTAATAGGAGAGAATGCTATATAATATTAAGTCCGCCTTTTGTACGAGACATTTTTTTTTTGTAATGTGGTCAATAAAGTATAAATAAATAAATAAATAGTAATCTATGACTCAAACATTTAGTATATAAAACAAAAACTTTTTATATGTGTAACCATGATTGACAGTAAGAAAGCCTGAATTTGAATACAATATTGCAAACACCACCAGAGGGAGACTTTGTACAAAAGTCGATTGCTTGGGTACCTCTGTCCCATTCGTGTTTCAACTGTGAAGCAGGTGTGTTTGCATGGCTGTGTTTCGGTTTGAAGGGTGGGATATGGCGTGAATTTACTGGGTACAGAGAAATAACACCTGAGTCGTCAGGAATTGGAACGCATGGAGGGTATTATGGGCGAAACAGTATACTCTGTTATGTCTATAGTTCTGCTCATGTCTATAAGCGACGGTTACCACTTTCCATCATAAAAAAAAATGTTAAGCACCATTTACTGAGCCAATTTTGGCATGAACAAAAACACGAAATTATTCTGATAATTCGGAATTTCATTTCATGGTAGACTCCCGGGTCAGTTTTTTTACACGAGTGATAATGGAATGGTAACCCTGTCTGCGCTATCGGTATATACGGGCAGGACACCAGTGAGCGACAATAGATGAGTATGGAAAAGATCAGTTGGCCCATGTGAGAATTCATAAAGAATTAATCAAGGTAGTTTCCAGGGGAAAGTAGAGATAGAGGGGAAAGTAAAGTAGAGAACGCGTAGAGGTCGACCTGACACGGTATATTGCTAGCAATGGGGATGTTAGATCCCCAATACTAACAATCCCTGGGGGGAAAGGAATTGTTAGTAATGGAGACTGAGAATCCCATTGCTAGCAATATACCCAACCAGGTCGACCTTCTCGCGGTTCCCCCTGGAAACTATCATGGTTAATTCCTGATGAATTGATCATGATGGGCTAACTGGCCTGTTTTCATTCTCATCTATCACCCTTCACTGGTGCTCCGCCAGCGTATCCCGTTAGCGCAGGCGGGGTTACCATTCCATTTTCACCCATCAAAAAAAAACTAACAATCCCTCTCCCTCTGATCCAGGTCAGTTGATTAATTCACTAAGAATTAACCACAATGGTTTCCACGAGGATCGTATGGAAACCAATGTAATAGGCGAGGCATATTTCAATGTGTACCAGCATCTCTATTTTCAACAATTCTTTCATCTAGATAAGGAGGAATAGGTATTTGATATACATGTACATTCCTATCACATACCCAATTGCAGAATACTCTATTAGCAAAAGAATATTTAAAAACCTTGTTATGTGTTTAATTATTAAACTACCTATTAAATAATAAACGTTGAACGAAACTACCATATCAAAATAAGATATAAGCATCTTATTTGCTATATAAAATAATATATAAAATAGATAAGATTATGGAAGCAGTAAGGTAAGTATAATAAAACCCAACCGCAATATTGTTGTTGACATTATAATGCCGGTACTTTGATATTAATGTTAAAGTACGTAATGTCTCGATAGACAGCCGATAGTGATATTGTTAAAACGTGGAATTATTTAAAACAAGATAACACGTCAATTTTTTTTTTATACAACTTAGAATGACAAACAACCTGACGGCCCACCTGATGGAAAGTGGTAACCGTCGCCTATAAACATGAGCAGTACCATGGACATAACAGAGTATACTGTTTCGTCCATAATAACCCCCATGCGTTGCCATCCCTAAGGAATCAGGTGTTATTCCTCTGTACCCAGTAAATTCACGCCATATCCCACCCTTCAAACCGAAACACAGCCATGCAGACACAACTGCTTCACGGTAGAAACACGAATGGGACAGAGATACCCAAGCAATCGACTTTTGTACAAAGTCTCCCTCTGGTGATAATTGTGTGAGTGATCTGGTGAAAATAGGTAATTCAATTCATTCCAATCATTTATTCCATTTTCATGTTGTAACAATAAAGATTTTAAGCATTGGAGGTACGAACATGAACCCTGGAAGGACACAGCAATCGTATTAATAAATATTACACAAAATACCCAGCTTCGTTCGTAACTCAGGATGACTGAATGTTAATGAAACTCCAACGGTGGGTGTTTATTTTTTTTTATCATTTATGTTATCTCGCTTTTTCTTTTGTATATGTATGTTGTAATTTGTGTGCTGTAAGTAATGCATCTCAATCAATCTTTATTTTTGATGGATGATAAGCAAGGAATGGTAAGCCTATGCTATCATTATATATATATATATATATATATATACATATATATAAATATATATATATATACCCATTTATATATATATATATATATATATATATATATATATATATATATATATATATATATTATATATATATATATATATATATATATATATATATATATATATATACCCATATATTTATATATATATATATATACATATATATATATATATATATATATATATACATATATATATATATATATATATATATATATATATAAATATATGGGCCGATCTCGGTATGAACAAAACACGAAATTGAGTCCGAAATTTCGGAATTTCATTTTATAGTAGCTCGCCAGGACTACATCAATCTTCTGAGCACGTTCAATTAAATAAATGCCTGATGTTGTCCAGACACGTGCTAGCGTATTATTGGAACACGAGTTTCGTCTACACTCACGCCCATTATAACGCTCGGAGATTGATCACTGACTCAATGATAGGGAAGGTCATGGAGCCTCCTCTACTGATAGTCAGTCCTCCGCATAAAATGTTGGTAAGTCTGTGAGATTTTCAATAGGTGCCAACTTCTATCCAACATTGGTGAACCCTTTCAAATTCCGAGTCCTTAGAAAAGCTGATGTTCCCAATATATAAAAGAAATCATTTTATAAACTGTTTTTTAACTTCAAAACTTAAAAATTTACCAAAATTAGATAGAAACAACACTTGTCGAAAGTTACCCGTCTGCTATTGATATACATACCTATTTAGGATTATTTTCTAGGGGAGCCTGGCTTCTTAAAAAAGGCACAATAGTATTCTTAGACATGTTTTTGCGAAGCGTCTCGCGCATCATGTGGTGCATGTCGGACAATTCTGGGGTTGATTACGCCCTTTCTTAACCCCCTCCGTCCCTCTTAAATACGCTGTTGCCCATCTTTGTTCTATTTCGACGAATATTTTCACCGATAGTTTTCTCATATCTAAGTACAGACTTCAAATCAAAGGGAGAAAGGGGTTGTTAGTAATGGAGACTGGGAATCCCATTGCTAGCAATATACCCAACCAGGTCGACCTCCTCACGGTTCCCCCTGGAAACTATCATGGTTAATTCCTGATGAATTCATCATGATGAGCTAACTGGCCTGTTTTCATTCTCATCGATCACCCTTCACTGGTGCTCCGACAGCGTATCCCGCTAACGCAGGCGGGGTTACTATTCCATTTTCACCCATAAAAAAGACCTCAAATCAAAGGAAGCTCTGAATCAAATATTCTACCCATCTCATAAGGTTTTTTATGGATTATAAAATAGTGCACCCGCTTATTGTAATAATAAATAATGATAGGGCAGTAGAGGACGGAATGATGAGAATGAAGTCATGTTGACCCATCGTGACAAATTCATTAGCAACCACATAGGGGTCGATATGGCAAAGTTAATGAAAATGACTCAAATGAATATTTACATTAAGTAGGTATATACATATACATAAATATATTGATAAATAATGATTTAAAAGTGCTTGTAAATAAAGTCTATTTGAATAAAAATTATTTTAATTTGTACCTTCTATTTGTTGAATACTCATTTATTATTATAATATTTTATGCAGTTACAAAATTTGATTTCATCTATTCTTGTGTCACAGTTCACTTGCAACAGATAAACAGACAACTAAAGAATCGGACAACAACTGAATTAAATCGCACGCCTCATCGTCCTTTCAAGGCGATCACCATGTACGTCATCAGCTATTTGTCCAGTTGTCTTGGTTGATTGAATTAAAGACGAAATAAAAGAAATATCGACCAATAACTCCGGACGAATAAGTAGTACATTGAACCGATGAAACAAATATATTTATGCAGCATAGAACGACAAGTGTGGTCCCGGCATAGAATACTCTTCATTCCATCCCATTCTCGTGGGTATCTTAAGAGACGACTTAAGGAACTTAATGACAGAGTGATGAGCAGCAGCGTCCCTGTCAAAACATCTCTAGAAACCGAACTGCGGTTGCCAACCTGTCTGCAGTGTGGCAGCTATTGGTAAACCTTTTATGGGGAAGCCTTATGTCCAGCAGTGGACAGTTAAAGGTTGATATGACGATGATGATAGAAAGACAAGTTGACGGTCCACTAGATGAAGAGTGGTAACCGTCAACTATAAACGTGATAACAGTCTACGAAGGAGGCTATGTTAGTGTACTTCATAGTTTGCAGCCGACATCAAAAAGAAGGGGATTCTCAATTGGGTTGTATTTCTTTTATGTTTATTACCTTATAACTCCGTCCACTTTCACCAGAAGTAGACTTTGTACAAAAGTCGTTTGCTTGGGAACCTCTGTCCCATTCGTGTTTCAACCGTAAAGCAGTTGTGTTTGCATGGCTGTGTTTTGATTTGAAGGGTGGGATATGGCGTGAATTTACAGGGTACAGAGTAATAACATCTGAGTCCTCAGGAATGGCAACGCATGGAACGTATCATGGACGAAACAGTATACTCTGTTATGTCCATGGTACTGTTCATGTCTATAGGCGACGGTTACCACTTTCCATCAGGTGGGCCGTCAGCTTTTTTGCCATTCTAAGTTGTATAAAAAAAAAAAAAACTATAAACCGATTTGTTTTTATCTGAAAGGATATACTTATAGATTGGTAACATAGACATTTTATTAAAATCGGTTCAGGAGCTTAGTTTTTAAATCAAAATAACTGGCTTTGTAACAAATGAAGTCGGTTTATCCCTTAAAAAGGCACAAATATATTTTTAGACCTATTATCACCCATTCTGGAGTGAATACGACCAACTTGGCCTTTCCTTATATACGCTTATGAGGTTAGTATGAGAGGCTATAAATTTTTACCTGTAAATATTCTGTTTTTACTGGTACAGTTTTTCCCCTGTATTTCGATGCTATTGATTTCTATTTTAAGCTTATTTAGGCTATGTTATTAACAATAACTGGCTCTTGTTGTTAAGATTAAATCCCTCGAAAGCCCTCATTGAGGAGGTTTCAGAAAATTACTCTAAAAAATCAATTCTTTTGAGTAAAAATATGTGCGTATTAACAAGGGGTGTCACTGGATTTTCTGGACTTTCTATCTTTATCACATACTCGCAATTTGTAAGATCTGAGCATTTTCCATTATTTGAAACTGGCGACTTGCTTGGTGGTTTTTTCTTTAAATAAAAAACAACCCATGATAGTTGCTTATAATGTAGATTCCTTTTGGTAAAATAATTATTAAAATAGTTTTTTTTTTTTTTGTGTTTATCCATTACAATTCTACCAGTGGGAGACTTAGTACAAAAATCGTTTGCTTAGATACCTCTGTACCATTCGTGTTCTTACCGTGAAGCAGTTGTTTGGATGGTTGTGTTTCGGTTTGAAGAGTGGGATATGGTGGTGTATTTACAGGGTAAAGAGAAATAACACCTGACTCCTCAGCAATGGCAACGCATGGGAGGTATCATGGGTAAAACAGGATACTCTGTTGTCTATGGCACTGTTCATGTCTATAGGCGACGGTTACCACTTTCCATCAGGTGGGCCGTCAGCTTATTTGCCATTCTAAGTTGTAAAAAAAATTGTAAATGGGTAAATCTTTTTAAGATAAAATTAAATAAATTATACTTTTCAGTCCTGTATTAACATTTTATTTCCTTAACTAATCTAGCCTATATACAATTAATTATTTACATATGAATATAAAAAGTCTCTGAGAACAACACTTGTTTATCTCTTTTCTTGCGCAGCATACTTCAGTCCTGTAATGGAATATACTTATAAATATATTTATACTGTAATGTATTAAAGCGCATTACAATAATACCTCGATTGGGGGAAAGGGATTGTTAGCAATAGAGTTTGACAGCCCTATTGCTAGCAATATGCCGTATTAGGTCGACCTCTACGTGGTTCCCCCTGGGAACCATCGTGAACAATTCTTGTTGAATTCGTCACGATGGGCCAACTGACCTGCATCATCCTTCACTGGTGCTCCGCCAGCGTATCCCGACAGCGCAGGCGGGGATACCATTCCATTATCACCCATGAATATATATATATATATATATATATATATATATATATATATATATATATATATGAAATCCATATATACGAAGTAACTATACTAATATATATATATATATATATATATAAAAAAAAATACTATAATAAGTGGCACAAAATTATACTAATCGCCTGGATCTCAAATAAGGATATACCATATTAGAAAGAGCCAGGTCAGGCAACGAACACCTGAGGGCACACCCGGGACAGAGCGAGACTTGAACCCGGGACCTCGTTACACAAAGCAATACGCCTTCCGGGACGCCACTAAGGTCGTCTAATCAATATACTACATATAAATATAATATACACTCCTCGCAAAAATTAAGGGAACATAAAAATTTTTGAAATTTTTGGGTGATTTTCAACAGGCTGTATTTCAGTGAAAAATAATCGTACAGGAAATTTAAAAAAAGGGTTTTGAAGCTTGAAAACTCTAGTTTTCAGATTTTTTGGTGAAAAAATTTTTGAGCTCCGGTTTCCATGCAATTCTTAAACAAAGCTGAAAATAAATTTTTTCTAAATTTTCTAGGTTTCGTTTTTCACTCTATGGGCATGGAAAAATTTTTTCGAGCTACTCCATTGTATAGGTCCCTTAGCGTGTTTATTCAGCTTCAAAAATCGCTTTGGATGGCTCAATTACGACCATTTGTCTCCGAGATATCGAACTTTGAATGCAAAAGCATCCTTTTCCATTCAACTGCTAATATCTCTGGAACTACTGGTCGCACAGCAAGCGGGCGCCGAGTTTCTTTATCTGCATAAAATTTTCTAGATTTTTTTCGATTCTTTTTTTGATAATGAATTTTTAAAAAACAAAAAATTGAGTAAAAAGTGAAAAACAAATGAAATTATTGATTTTTGAATGGATGAGGGTGAGTTTAAGGGACAAAAATCTTGTTCCCTTATTTTTTCCAAAATTTCAATCAATTGGTCCGGGAAAAACCGTTGAACCGATCGCTCCAGGGATTTAGGGGGTTCTTTAAGGAACAATAGACTGTAAAATTTTCCTCAAACCTTAGCTTTCCCGCCCATATTAGCGAAAATACAGCCAAGTAACCAAAAAAGGAGAAAAAGTCACTTTTTTCCACTTTTTTCAATTCAATGTTAGAGGTGGAAAAAAATTTTTTCTTCACTAACTCTTGACTGTGCTTAATTGGAAATTTTATGCAGATAAAGAAACTCGACGCCCGCTTGCTGTGCGACCAGTAGTTCCAGAGATATTAGCAGTTGAATGGAAAAGGATGCTTTTGCATTCAAAGTTCGATATCTCGGAGACAAATGGTCGTAATTGAGCCATCCAAAGCGATTTTTGAAGCTGAATAAACACGCTAAGAGACCTATACAATGGAGTAGCTCGAAAAAATTTTTCCATGCCCATAGAGTGAAAAACGAAACCTAAAAAATTTAGAAAAAAATTTATTTTCAGCTTTGTTTAAGAATTGCATGGAAACCGGAGCTCAAAATATTTTTTTACCAAAAAATCTGAAAACTAGAGTTTTCAAGCTTCAAAACCCTTTTTTTAAATTTCCTGTACGATTATTTTTCACTGAAATACAGCCTGTTGAAAATCACCCAAAATTTTTAAAAATTTTTATGTTCCCTTAATTTTTGCGAGGAGTGTATCATATATACCTAATCATTTTTCGGAGGCGGTGATGATGCCGAATCCTGTTCACTGTCACTAGACCATTCCCCCTCACTGTACTCCCTATTCTCTTTCTTCTTCTTCGCATTCCTCGTTTCCTGTTCATCATCCACCTCATCGGAAGACGTCTCATACCTTAAACTGTGCTGAGTCATATCGTCCATGTCTTGGAGCCCCAACTCTTTGGTTGGCGATGACGTTCTTAATTCTTTGAGAGTATTTGTCAAGTTTATGTTAAGTGCTGGTTCTTCCTCTATGCCAGTTTCACTCTTTCTCCTTTTGCTTCTTGAGGAACTTCGTTGTTTGTCCTTCTTGCGCTTCTTCTTTTTAGATCTAAAGTAAATAAAAAATTAACTGATCATTTATTTATAATTAGACACAGCAATTGACTAATTTCCAATTGTAAATTTGTGGGGGGAAGGGATTGTTAGCAATGGAGTTTGACAGCCCTATTGCTAGCAATATGCCCTATTAGATCGACCTCCACGCGGTTCCCCCTGGAAACCATCGTGACTAATTCTAGTGGAATTCATCACGATGGGCTAACTGACCTTTTCATTTTCACCAATCATCCCTCACTGGTGCCCCGCCAGTGTATACCGAAGCGGGGTCATCATTTCATTATCATCGATTAAAAAAAAACATGTATGTTGGGGGGAGAAAAAAGATTGTTAGTAATGGAGTCAAACTGCCTCCTTGCGAGTCTACCTTCACGCGTCCCCCCCCCCCCCCGGAAACTATCGCGGTTAATAATTGTTGAATTCGTCACGGTGGACCAACTGGCCTGTTTCATCCTCGTCTATGATTTCTCACTGGTGCCCAGCGTATACCGATAGCACGGGCGGGGTCACTATTTCATTTTCACCCATTAAAAAAACATGTATATTGGTGCAGTGTCACTTACCCATCGTAATCAGATTCCTCATTATCATCCGACGACCTGAAATAGAGTTAAATAGTTTAACTAAACGTCTATGTATTTTTAAAAGAATGACAATATCAAAATTTTTCTGCGCGCATCCTCGCATGCACCCTGTTAATTACTATTTATTTTTCTACAAATTTCAAAAGCTATATATATATATATATATATATATATATATATATATATATATATATATATATATATATATATATATATACGCCACATACTTTTTATATTATCAATCTTTGCATCTTTTTGACCCTTCTTCTTTTGTCTTCTACTCTATGGTATCTTACTTACCATCAGGTGGGCCGTATGCTTATTTGCCACCTCAGTAGAATAAAAAAAAAACTTTCGACTTCACCTAAATTATTTATTGTATTCGGTACAACCAAGTGAAATTAATTACTTTCTTCAACTCACTTGTATTTCCTACGCTTGCTTTTTCTATGAAACCTGTCCGAGCCGTCTTCGTAACCTGCAACGAAAAAAAATATTTATCAACGGTTTAACAAATATAAAAAGAAATTACTTATTTCCTTTTGAGACTTTTCCTTATTAATGGGTGCTCTATCATTTCCTGATAAATATTTTACTGAACTAGGTGTTATCCTGCGGAAGTCCATATCACTGGTTATTTGTTTAGAATTATTTTGTTTAATTCCGCTACCATTAGTATGTTTGTGACTGTCAACACTCGAAGACTGATCACCACCATTACTACCAGAGGTTTTTTTTATACAACTTAGAATGGCAAACAAACTGACGGTCCACCTGATGGAAAATGGTAACCGTCGCCTATAGACATAAGCAGTACCATGGACATAACAGAGTATACTATTTCGCCCATGATACCCCCCATGCGTTGCCATTCCTGAGGATTCAGGTGTTATTCCTCTGTACCCTGTAAATTCACGCCATATCCCACCCTTCAAACCAAAACACAGCTATGCAAACACAACTGCTTCACGGTAGAAACACGAATGGAACAGAGGTACCCAAGCAATCGACTTTTGTACAGTCTCCCTCTTGTCCACGCACGTTTTGCGACACGTGTTTCACCTTTAAACGTGTTATCTTCAGGCAAATTGTTAGATCGCTGCTCGGAGCCTAGTGTTAACCGTTTGGCGTCTAAACCGCGACTATCTGAACATGTTGATAATTCGAATCATATATAATTAGGATAATATAGTACCGTGTCTGTCGCGGTGTCGCCGCTTCTCTCTCCTTCTCCTTTTGTCCTCTTCGTCCGCCTTCTTCTTACGCAGTGATTCCAATGTGTCCACCTAAATCATGTTGCAATATATTAATCTTAGATAATATACTTACTAAATATAAACAAGTCGTACTTGTGATGTGCCGAGTCAAAATGATAAAAATACCAACTAGGCACTGGAGTATTGGATATGGAGAATCGAACCGAATATCGCATTCGAATACAGATTTCGAGTACTCGAATAGTTTATTACAAGTTTTAATTATCTTGTTTTATTTACTGTAACACAGGGCATAATGGCAAACTATATATTTTCCATTTTGTAAAATGTAAAAATTAAGTGAAGATAGAAATAAAGATTTATTATTATTATATATTAGATTTTTCTTTTTATCCTTTACTACCTTTTTGGCCGCCAAATTGTTTTTTTTATACATCTTAGAGTGGCAAACAAGCTGACGGCCCACCTGATGGAAAGTGGTAACCATCGCATATAGACATGAGCAGTACCATGAACATAACAAGGTGTATTGTTGTACACGTGGATTTCAAATTTAGAAAAACCAATGAATTAAACCACTTTTAGATGGTGTATCAAGAAAAAAGTTAAGTTTGACCTTCAGGAAGACGATTATAAAAACCAAATCCAATTTGGTGCAGTATGCGTGATGCATGAACATACAGACAGATAAAGCAAATTTCAAAAATTTACTGTTTTGTTGGACATCGCAAATTAAATAAATGATTGAACAATTATTTTTGCCGTGTGGTCCCGGCACAGAAAGAGCAATTCCATCCTTTCCTGTGAGTGACGTCAGAGGCGACTAAGGGAACAAGGATGAGCAGCAGCTTCTCTCTAAAAACATCATCAACAGCCTAACTGCGATTGCCAACCCGCCTGCCAAGCGTAGCAACTACTGGAACCCCCCCCCCTCCACTTATAGGGGAAGCCTATTTTCAGCACCGGACAGTTGACGGCTGATATGAATGAATATGTATGTACATTAATTATCTTCATTAAAGTGATTTAAAAAAAATTAATTAAAAAAATTACTCAAATTCAATGAAGTACTTGAATACCTATACAAGTATTCGAGCATTTTCTTGTTTGAATCTTTAGACTTGTGTCACAATTTGAATTCTTTTTTAAAGAATACTAAAATACTTACTTAAATAAAAAAAAAGTTCGACTCAGCATGTTACTAAGAAAACTTATCAGTTTTCATCATCATTAATAACTGACTGACTTCATAACTGACTCAATGTAAATTTATCATATTTCTAATTTACCATTGCGCTAGCGAGTGAAGAGGTGGGCAGGGCGGCGGCGGCCGGATCCACGCCGACTTTCTTTAGGAACTCGGCGGCGCGACGCCTTCTCTCCTGCTGTTTCGCTCGCTCGCCTTCCGTCTCACAATCAGCTATAAATACGTAATTACTATTATAAATATAACATTAATGAGCCTGACGAAATTTAGTATAAAATGTCACAGAGGAAGGACAAAGGCAAAATTTTTTTATACCGCCTCAAAAGTAATATTTTTCATTCCTAAAACTATTTTGGTAATTCTGTGTAACATGGTTAACAAGTCCTTGTATAAGTGTGTAGGTACTATAAATTGTTTTATTATTGTATTAATTATATATCCCACACCTTTGTACAAGTATAAATAAATAAATAAATGTACATTTGTGACATTGTATCAAAAAAAAATGTATTAAATGTATTACAAATTGCTAGCTACACCCTGGTAATTAATGCTCCTTTCCCCTCTGGGTTTGCTAGAAGAGAACTCTTGGAGTTGAGCTCGCCTGCTGTACAATCTTTATTCAAAATAATTAAAAAAAGAACGTGAAGTTTTTGTGCAATAAAATATAAATAAATAGGTTAGTGCTATAGTAATTTTATAAAAAAAATATCATCATCCTAATATCAGCCGTGGAGAAAGGGATTGTTAGTAATGGAGACAGAATCCTATTGCTAGCAATATACCCAACCAGGTCGACCACCTCGCGGTTCTCCCTGAAAACTATCATGGTTAATTCCTGATGAATTCATCATGATGGGCTAACTGGCCTGTTTTCATTCTCTTCTCATCACTCTTCACTGGTGCTCCGCCAGCGTATCCCGTTAGCGCAGGCGGGGTTACCATACCATTTTCACCCAGCAAAAAAAAACCAGCCGTTAACTGTTACTGCTGAGCAAACGATTCCCCCGTAAAGGTATAACATATAATTTTTATTGTGGCAAAAATCTTTTAAAAGAACTTAAATATTAAAACCAAAAATGTTTTTATTTCAATAAATCAGTACACTTCAACTAACCTTTCGTATCTGATTGATCTCCAGTCAAATCAATAAGGTCATCAGAATTGTCCTCCAAGGAAATAATCTCATTCTCCAATTCCTCTTTACTTATTCTCTGCCTCTTTTTCTCTTTATCGATCTCCCTTTCTTTTTCCCTTTCCCTTTCTCTCTTCTTCTCTTTTTCCACGCTTCTCCTATCCACTCTCCTGTCCTTTGTTTCCTCTCTTGATGTTGATTTAGAATGGTACTCCTTTTTTCTATCCTTATCTTTATCTCTATGCTTCTTCTTCTCTCGTCTAGGACTGGCCCGTTCCCTTTCTTTGTACTTTTCCTCTTTCTTCTCTTCTTTCTTTTCTTCTGGAGGGCGTGGTTCTTTTTTGACCTCATCAATTTCTTTAGAAGTATTATTTACTAATTCAGTCGGTACCGGTTTTTCTTCTTGCTTTGTTTCATTTGGTATTTCTTTCACTTCTACAATCGGTTCCGGTTTCGGTACCGGTGTTACAGTTTCAATGGGTGCGACGAGCTGCACCTCATTAATTTGTGTCGGTTCTATCTTGTATACCACAGGTGGTGGTATTACTATTGGGGATACTTGTGGTACTGACTTGGGAACATCCTTTGGCTCTTCAACTTTGTCCGTCTGTTGTTCTGAGTCATCGTCCGAACTCGATTCGTATGGGAGAGCAGGTTTTGGTAATATGGGATCGGGTTCTTTGAGCTTCTTTATGGAGAATGACACCGGTGCTGTAAAGAATATATTAATTAAATTTTTATTTATTTATTAAACTTTATTACACCTAGATAGTGTAAATGGCGGACTTAACACCATATGGCGTTATCTACCAGAAAAATTACATACCTACATATAATATTCATTTTATCTACATATATATGTATATATATAACAAAATGCATATATCAAAACACAACCAAAACCGCTGAATATAGAATCTTTAAATTTTGCAGATAGGTTCTTTATATAATATAAGTAACAAATAAAGGAATTTACAAAACTCCTTTCTTCACTACATAATATAAAACAAAGTATCTGTCGCTGTCTGTCCGTCCTTATGTATGCTTAAATCTTTAAAATTACTCAACGGATTTTGAAGCAGTTTTTTTTTTTAGTAAATAGAGTGATTCAAGAGGAAAGTTTATAGCTGTCATACATGCATAGTATTGTAGAGAAATACTGATAAATTTAGAGATTTCTAATGTGATGTCGTACATAAACACATTTTTTCGCTTACATTGCAAACTCTGGCTGAATCCTATGAGATAGGTTAAAATAATGTCGGGGGGCAAATAGAGATGGGCAATCCACCTGGGTGGGTTTAAAGTCTGGTGGATAAAAACCGGGTGTTTTGGGTTTATTGGGTTTAAACCCCATAAACACCCAAATTTTTGGGTGTTTATGATTTTGTACTTCATCATCGTCATCTCAGCCGCAAGACGTCCACTATACTGGACATAGACAATATTATTATGCAGCCTACAGAATAAAAAACTTTTAATTTGATTTTGAGTTTATTAAGAAAGAGATGAAAGTAAAATGTAAAACTACAGTCAATCACTGTCAGATTCAGAGTTATTACAAGCGATGAATTGTATAGGTTCGATAGGCTCTATTTCGTCTAAACTGTTATGTTCATTTACTTGCTCAATGAAAGCTTCTAAGGTATTTTCTTCATTAAACTGAATGTCCTCGCATTCAGCTTTATGTTTAAGATTCCAGTTATAACAAATGAATGAAATTTTTTCAGTTCTTTCAGTTGTAAGTCGATTTCTTTTGTTATTATGTATGTAGCCTTGGATACTAAAGGAACGCTCAGTGGCTGCCGAAGTACAGGGAGCTGATAGAATACGAATCGCTACTTTGCTTAACTCAGTGGAACCACAAATACCTTTCCACCATATTAGGGGCTCAATGCTATCTAATGAGCTCCATACAAATCCTCTGGCCCAAAAGTTTTCTTTAGCTTTATAACACGCCAAATCTGCCATTACATTTGACAAACTTAAGTGTTGGCTTAAATTGTAGATAAACTCCATACCCTTAAGTTCTTCCTCTTGAGTAAGTTCGACTCCTAGAGTCCTGGGGTCTAGAATATATGCTGCAAAATGTATTGGCCTCATTGCCATATTGCATCTTGAAGATACTGATGTTAGAATCTGCTGTTTGCTTTCTTCGCTCAATGTCGAAATCTCATTTAATGCAAAACGTATCTTAGCTTGTACATCTCTAAATGTAATGTATGTGCGATGCAAACGATTCTGGTCGCTCTCTAAGTAAAATATGCTTTCAGTGACTGGTTCCAAAATACTTATACATTCCCCTGTCTTCGTCCAGAAATCATCACTTAGAATTAAATCTTTAATATCTCTTGAAATTACCACATCTTCTCTAACTGTTAATATTTGCAAAGCTATCTTATTTGCTTTCAAACTTTTTAACGAAGTAACATGACTTCCCCATCTTGTAGCACAAGGCAATTTTAGTGTTTGTGTAGAATCTTCACCCTGCCTTGATTTTATCAACAAGGAACTTAATCGTTGACTCCTTTTAACAGTTTTTATTATATTTATGGCTTGCATAATAAACACAGTTACTTCTTGTATCTTTACAATATCTTGGCACAACAAGTTAAGGATATGTGCACAGCAACCGAGAGGAACAACATGTGGATATTTGAGTTTTGTTAATTCGAATGCCTTTTGTATATTTCTAGCGTTATCGCCAATAAGTACAAGAAACTTATTTGCTCCATACACTTTCATTACTTTTTCAACTTCTTGGCTAAGGTATTCACTAGTGTGAGGATTACTTTCTGTATTCAAACTTTTAACGTATGCAGGTTGAGGTTTTGATATAAGAAAGTTTATTATTCCTTCATTTCTTAAATTAGACCAGCCATCGCACTGAAGGTGTAAGTAACTACAAGCATTTAGTTCCTCATTTAACTCAAAACGCATTTCTCTATATATTTTATCTAAGTATTTTGTCGCTAAAGCTTTACGTGAAGGTATTTTAAATTTTGGTTGCAATTTTTCGAAAAATTGTATCCATAAAGGATGTTGCACCATCGATAATGGCGTCCCTGTTACAAATATAGCTCTCGCTAATTCTGTTTTTATATGATCATCGGTGTCTTGAAACTCAGCATTTATTGTAGTGTTAGCAGACGACGAGGGGCTTATAAAAGAATCATTTGTCTCTATCTCTGACAGTCCAGACATTTTGGTTTTGGACGAGCTATCTTTTATAAGTTTCATAGAGTCTTTTAATGTTTCTGGAGATTTTGGACAAGTGATAAGATGTTGAAGCATTTTGGCAGCATTACTGAATTTGTAGACCTTATTACAAAGCTTGCAAGAAACAGACTTGTTTGGTAAAGTACGGTAGTGCTCCCATATGCGTAAATCTTTAGGTCTCCCCATTGAACCTAAAAAAATGAACGATGATTAGTTGGTCTGACGAAAATTCAACAATAGAGTGCCTATTTTTTTACAATGATTATTTCTTGTTATTTACAATAAATTTATTAAAAAAATAATAAAATAAATACAAAAAACCTTTGTAAAATTACATCTCCTCGGAGGATTAAACGCAGACGCTAGTTTATTATCGTATTGTTCTGTATTTTTCTCAGCAACTTCTTTAATTCGATTAGGTACTTACGCATATTATGTTAAAAATAAATATCTAGTACACATCTTAGGCTATCCACCATTATTATCCAATGACGACTCTCAGCTAACTATGCACTATCATCCAAAATAAACGTGTATGGAAAATTTTATCCCAGTCGGTTGAGGATTGAGGATAATTGCATCAACATACGAACATACCTACATACTTTTATTTACATAACGCAAGCTAAATAAAAGCTTGTAATAATACATCTAATTTTAAGTTAAAATTGTTAAGTGATCATGATATAATTGTATCATTCAAAAATCCACTTACCTTTAATTATTTCTTGTTAAGTATAAATATTATTTCAAATCTGCTCCCTTAATATGCACTTTTTTACTGCTTTTCCTACCTAACACGTTACCAGGAAGTCACGTTACCAGAGTCAGAGTAATAGTGAACACGTTTGACAGTGATTGTCGTCGCCTCATATTCAGCGTCGACGAATAGGGGAATCCCCAGTCATAATGTATTGCATGCGTGGCGGTCTTACTTCAAATCCATAAACAAAGAGATAATTACAGAACTCGATACTAGATGGCGCTGTTTTTGTTTGAAGAAAGTTTGCGGGCTAAAATACATAGAATTTCATCAATGACTTCCACAAAGAACAACATTTCTGTTTTTTTCTAAGTCCGTATCTCTTCCGTATATTTCATAAGATATAAGCTTGGGCTACATTGTTATGCAACGTGATTTTGTCGCTGTCTTGCTAGCAGGGTTGACAGATATACGATTTAAATCGTACTCATACTATTATTTGTCTATTTTTTAATGTACGATCGTAAAGATTATGATCGTAATTCGCACAAAAACATACGACTTTTTGGTTACCTGGCAACATTTTTATTATGAAACGAACATGCTCACATCATCAGTCACATGCAACAATTTATTGGGGATTTCCCCTTCACATCTGGCAGTCCTGCTTGCTAGAATATAGGTAAGTCAGCCACAGTTACTGACGATCGATATTTAAAGGGTATTGTTTTTGTGCTAAATATTTCATAAAAACGTTATTTAATACTTTGTGGATTATTAATTTAGTTGATAATCACTGGAAGTAAAATGGATGCTAATTTGAGAGATCAAGATCTTCGTATAAAACAGTTAATAAAAGAAAATCTACGTAAGTACTCTTTTTATACCTAGGTAGGTAAGGTATAATAAACACAAAAGGTACTTAGATCGCGTGTGTTCGAAGCATTTATTCTAATAAATTTAATTTAAAATTGTAGAAAGAAAAAAATGTCTGCCAAGCCGTAGCCGAAGCCGATCTCCAAATATATTTGGCGATAGTGAGACCCAGTGTCCAGATGATTTACCCAGCGTCGTCGCAACAAAGAAAAAAACGAGGATAAAGTAAAAGAAAATTTACTGAAAGAAGAAACAAACTGTTCTAAATGCTTAATTTATGGAGAAGAGGATAAAAGAAATGAGTATTTCGGACTGTTAGTGGCTCAAGAATTTAAATATATACGGCCATGTGTGCGAACGAGGTGTTATGAAGAAATTTTAAAGTATCTACGGGAAGCAAAAGGCCAACATGTTGATCAACTGCAACATGAAAACACTGAAAATTAATTACTTTCATTTTATTATATATAGATTTTTAAAATTTCCTGAAATATTATTAGTTAACGTTTTATTTAATATTGTAGAATTGATCAATACAATTTATAAAAATAATTTATTGGTATTACTTACATATTTTCAAAAAAATACGTAAAAACCTATTTTTTTGGGTGATTATGGGAGTTTATGGGTGTTTATTGGGTTTTTACCAAAGCACCGGGTTTAAACCCGGTGCTTTGCCCATCTGTAGGGGCAAATAATGCGGCGGTATTTAGTATCAGTATTACACCCGTGCGAAGCCGGGGCAGGTCACCAGTATTCTCTAAAAGGGCTAAACGGGAATTGAATATTCGTATGAAATTTCATCAATGATTTTAAATTTAGACTCATGATTCAAAACAAAAATTACAAGAAATCGAAGAAAACGCGAACAAAGTCGTGGGAAAATGATATTCTATTATAATACATACCAGAAGATTTGTTCTGCTTCCGTTCCCTGCTCTTGCCATTCACGTCTATTCCTCTCTTCTCCTGCATTAGTCTTTTATAATAGGGGTGATACACGTTGTCAGGCTCTAGAAACGTGAATCGTGGATCATTCTTCGACCGGACTATCTCGGCGAACTCGTCGCCATTCCGTGCAACATACGCCGCCATCTTGTCGATCACTAGTTGAACGTCCTCAGGAGGTTTCACTATGGCAGGCTCCTTGCTATCAGTCGAGGAAGTATCATCGAAATCTGTATAAAATAATACATTTTATTTGTTTTTTTTTTTTTTAATTTTACCAAATTTAAACAATATTTATAATAATTTTAACTTAAATAAATAAAAAATTTTGTTCATATTGACGTCTGTACAATATAGATTTCACTATGTTAATAAATTGTTTTTTTTTTTTATTTTAAAAATAGGTTTAGGGAATGACGCATTAGAATCGACCTCAATGTCCGTATTTTAACACTTACCAGAAACGTCACTGTCCGAATCTGTATCATAATTCTTCATAAGACTGAGGCCGGTGGACTTGAGCGGCGCTGGCGGTGTCTCTTTCTTCGGGTCGGGCGGCGCGTGCGCAGCCATGTACTGCTGGTAGTACGCCGCGTACTGCTGCCGGTACTGCTCTTGTGACATTTGTAGATTTGCGGGCGTCGAGGTTACTGTAGTAAAACAAGATTTCGATTAATAAAGAAAAAAATAATAACAAATATAGTGCCTTATTAGGCACTATACTTTTTTTTTTATTTATTCTTTATTGTTTATATTACAAAAAATGATTGGTCGAAAAGGCAGACTTAATGCTATAAAGTATTCTCTCCCAGTTAACCTTTGGAAAAGCAGAATATATTACTAAAATTATAAATGGAAACTTAGAAAGTTTAAACATTAAAAAACTTTCTTAATCCTTACGAAGATGTAGTCTTACATATTATATCTTTGTAAGGCCCAATGTACATTACATTGCAAATAACACTCGGAACTCTGGCCCACACTTAAAATATAAAACGTTTTCTAAACGCCCAGTGTACAATATGATATACAGTGTGCATTGTACAGCCAAGATTTAAGAATTTTGATTTTCAATTCGATAATTTTATTGATTTATTTTTAACAAAATATTTAAGATTTATTATTTTTTAAAAAAATATGTTCACTTTTTAAATGTCTAAAGCCCGTGAAAACGTCGGTGCGGGCTCTGCGAACTGTAGCCCGCAGTGTGAGACGAGACGCTGTGACGTAATGCGCCGTACTGTTACGGGGCAGGTCAGGACTCAGTTTTTTAAACTAACCTTCAATAAACACTATTATTAATTTGAATAATTACAGAGAAATGGAAAACAGGAATGTTCGCGGCGATAGTACAACTCAATCAGTAATTCAATAGTGTTGACGGCAATGTACGGTGTAAGCAGTTTTATTACTTAACGCATTTTCCAATACCCTATAATGGATTATCGTCAGGAATTCGTTTCAGTCAGAAATTTAGAATATCAAAAACATTAGGACAAAATTTTGAACTAAAACAAAATAAATTATTATTTTCTCAAACATGCTTGGAAATGTGAGCATTATTTTGACAATCTTCTTAGAGATAAATCAAAATTGCCGTACTGGCCAAATAGACGCGTATCTGTCTTATTTTATATAATATTTCGTTTATATAATATTTTATATATATAATATTTGATTTATGAACTGGACGCTTCAGATTTTATCAAATTATATTCTTGGACTAACGACAATAGGTGCGAAATACTCGCTACCGTTGGACGAAAACGCTGATCTACTATAAAATTAGAAGCTGTAGACTACTGATAACATATGATCAGTTGCGAGTTTGATTTCCTCGTAATAATGACGTACGTGTCTACATCCCACATGTATTGTGACTGCATGGTTTCTGTTTATTTTAATAACTATGAATGGACCTTTCCACGCAAGTGATAAGGCCTTATTTTGCTTATGGTGGCATCGAACGTACATTATGCCGCCGGTGTTGTATGTAATTGGCTTGGTACGTGAATCATAGTAGGTTTTGATTTTTTCTTGGAAGACTGAATATTTTGAAGGGCCTTTTGGGAGCGACTTAGTACTCGAATATAGTTTATATGTATTGGTATCAAGTGTACTCGACACTTCTAGATAAATATGTTCTTTTTTTTTATTTTATTTATAGGACCCAATAAACAGTCGCGGTTGCGCTATCGGGATACGCTCGCTTCTGCCGGGTTTGGGTTTAGGACTGAGGTGGAGAACGGTTATGGGTTTACAAGTTTTATTTATCTTATTTTAATTAGGTAAGTTTTGCATGTTTATTTAGTTTGGTATGTATGTTTGTTTAGTTGTTGTATATTTTGCTTAGAAGGCGACAGATCGGATTGGTAATCAGACTGCTTACTTTGAATTACTATTAAACTAATCATTATTTTCACAGAACACTTGATAGGTAGTTAATGACGGCATCGAAAGCGACGGTGGCACGTAGGAAATATGATGCGTTGCTCAATTATTATGAACTTTATGTCTTTCATTATTGAATTCCATTTTACGACAGTCTCAAATATCATGTCTGCCATTTTTGCAATATCTACAAAAATCCTGGGAACGGGAGTGCGGTTGAGACATCGAAGGTTCAAATTCCGGTTGGTTTGTACGATATTGAATAATTGGATATTTGAATTTGGATGAATATTCAAATTTGGAATGTCCCGTTTTATTACACAGACTACAGACGGAGACTACCAGAGGGAGACTTTGTATAAAAGTCAATTGCTTGGGTACCTCTGTCCCATTCGTGTTTCAACCGTGAAACAGTTGTGTTTGCATGGCTGTGTTTCGGTTTAAAGGGTGGTATATGGCGTGAATTTACACGGTACAGAGGAATAACATCTGAATCCTCAGGAATGGCAACGCATGGGGGGTATCATGGGCGAAAAAGTATACTCTGTTATCTATGGTACTGTTCATGTTTATAGGCGACGGTTACTACTTTCCATCAAGTAGACCGTTAGCTTGTAGCCATTATAAGTTGCATAAAAAAAGTATACAGTTTTACAAACAGAAAATAAAGCTCGAAATGGGTAAAAAAGTTGGATTGTTTTTGACAAAACGTTTGTACTATGATTACATAGAGATAGATCTAGATTATATAGATAGAGCATCGAGCTTCAAAAACAGGTCAACTTTTTGTCAGCTAATTGTCAAATTAGCTAATTCGTTATTTTTTTTAATGTTCTATATACTTACGTACACAATGTATCTTGACGTATCTATATTTAATTATTTAATGAATAAAAATATTTTTTACGCATTAAAATGGTACAGAATTTGTAAGACAAAATAAATATAGAAGTTATAAAAGAATCACTCATAAATTAATAATCACGCAAAATTATATGAAAAAGTTGACCCGCTTTTCTCGAAGCATTTGTATAGTGACACTCTCACTATAAAATCTAAGATAAATAATAACTTAAATATCCCATGCCTGATCATTTTACAGTCCGGCACGTTTTTTCTTTCTAATAATCTTTTTTTTTTATTTTTTTTATACAACTTAGAACGGCAAACAAGCTGACGGCCCATCTGATGGAAAGTGGTAACCGTCGCCTGTAGACATGAGCAGTACCATGGACATAACAGAGTATACCGTTTTGCCCATGATACCTCCCATGCGTTGTCATTCCTGAGAACTCAGATGTTATTCCTCTGTTCCCAGTAAATTCACGCCATACCCTACCCTTCAAACAGAAACACAGCCATGCAAACACAACTGCTTCACGGTTGAAACACGAATGGGACAGAGGTACCCAAGCAATCGACTTTTGTACAAAGTCTCCCTCTGGTAATAAGCCTTATATATAAAATTTTTCTTAATAAAACTTTTAAATTTGGTGAAAATTAGATAAATAATCATGTACCTTTTTTTATCTTGAAATCCCGCGTAAACTAACTAGAACTGTTATAACTTTATTTGCGTTTAAAACAAATCATTTCACAATACGCCACCGTACACGCGTGCGAGTGAACTAGATGCACGTTCTGCCTGCGACGTCTGTTGCTTGCGAGCACCGACTGATTTAGCTCTTTATAGGACGCGGGCCATCAGTCATCGTCAGTCAGCCATCATCAGTCAGTCAGTCATCGTCATTCATTAACCTTATTACAATGTAGGTTCTGGGGGGAAGGGATTGTTAGTAATGCGGATTACCAGTCCCATTGCTAGCAATATACCCTATCAGATCAACCTCTACGTGGTCCCCCTGGAAACTATCGTGCTGAATTCCAGGTGTATTCATCACGATGGGCTGACTGACCTGCCTTTTCATTCTCACATCATGCCTCACTGGTGCCCCGCCAGCGTATACCATTAGCGCAGGCGGGGTTACCATTCCAATATTGAAAAAAAAATTTAGGTTCTATCTAGGTTCTACCAATAGATGTTACTCTTTCACACAAAAACTACTAAATGGATTTGAATAAAATTTAATAGATGGGCAGGTTACAACCTAATTTAGCACATAAGATACTTTATGTACTTATTCACGCGAGTAAAGTCGCGGAATACAAGTAATTAAAATAATATATATATATATATATATATATATATATATATATATATATATACACATACATATATACATGTATACATATATATATATATATATATATATATATATGTATATATATATATATATATATATTAATAATATTATTTTTATTTAGTTCACTGTTCACTGATGGACATAAGCCTTCCTCATAAGCGGAGTTTTGCCAGTAGTTGCCACGCTTGGCAGGCGAGTTGACAACCGCAGTTAGGCTTTTAAATATTACAAATATATAAAATACATAATATACATGTATGTTACGTATTTTATTTAGTATTATAAGTATTTTGATACACATACATAAGGTATGCATTTGATTATTTACATATGTTTTATTAACGTGACCGTTTTTTTTTTGTTTTATTACATACACTTCTTGCACCAAATGGCTACTATTTTTTCTTTCCTTCTCTACCAAAACAAAGGTCTACAAAGGTTGTCTGGAAGATATTGCTTTAACGATAAAACCTGCTTTTGTACTTTATAAGTACATAATATTTGTTTTATTATTTGTATTATCTTTTTGTATTATTATTTAAATAATGTAATCAATAATTAATAAATACGCGACGTGCTGAAGAAGGGCCAAATTAAAAGTACCCGTAACCGGCGAGCGTGTATGAAAAGATTGATGAATGTGGAAGAAGCGAAAGAGGTTTGTTTGAATCGAAGCATTTGGCGTTCCATTGTTTCTGCCTACCTTAATGGGAGACAGGCGTGACAGATATGTATGTATGTATGTATAATTAATAAATAGACAAACCATGGTGGTTCTCATCACCAGCTCTGTTATACATGACTGGGGCGCGAGATATCTCCGCGTTGGACCTAGGCGGTAACGGTTCAGTCCCGGGAGGCGCCACTTCTCCCGGCGCCAACTCCGGGGTATATGCCTCGTCTAGGGTTGCCTCCCCTCGCATTTTCGATATCAGCATGGTGTAATCACAGTCTGCTGACGGTTTGTAGTGTATGCTTGGTATTGATGGTGCCTGGAATTAAATTTGTTCGTAAATTTCGTTACAAATATTACACAGCGCCATCTAGTTATAAACCAAAAAGACATTAGTAAAAGTGTTTCTATTTTTTTTTAATGGATGATAATGGAATGGTAACCCCGCCTGCGTTATCGGTATGCACTGGTGGGGCACCAGAGAGGGATGATAAGTGGGGATGAAAGCAGGTCAGTTAACTCATCGTGGCGAATTCCACTATGATTTCCAGGGGGAACCACGTGGACTGCGACACGACCGTTACACGTAAGTTAAACCGGTAGTTATTTAATTAAATTCTTGGATTATATAGATAGAGCATCGAGTATCAAAAACGGGTCATCTTTTTGTCAGTTAATTGTCAAATTAACTGACTCGTCTTTTTTATCAGTTTTACTTACACAGAAAATGTATTTTGACTTATTATTGAATAAATAAAATGAGCGTTTACACATTAAAAAAAAATGCAGAAATTATAAAACAAAATAAATATAGAAGCTATAAAGGAATCACTCGTAACTATTTATCACGCAAAATTATATGAAAAAGTTGACTAGTTTTTCTCGAAGCATTACTATGGAGACACTATCTATATAATCTATTCAAATATTGTATAAATATTTTATTAATATTAATGTAATAATTATAGCTATAAACTAAACAGTTTTTATTATGAGTACTAGAAAACTATGAACAAATGGACATACATCTTTATAATTAAAGAGAAAATATTTGTTTGTTTGCAATGGATAAATTCGAAATATACTTAACCGATTAAAAAAAATCTTTCACCTATAGAAAGCTGCATTATCAGTAACATGTGTATACTATTAAAAAAAAAGATCCTTACAAAAATTACAATAATGTAAATTAGAGTAAAAAGTATCTACATATGAAATTATACATTTAATGTATTACGACTGAAGACTAACTTACAGATTCAATAACTGTTGCCAAACTAGGGTGTAAATACTCTTCAGGTTCATGTTTTTCTGTAACAAACAATTAATATATCAATCAATCTACTAACCAATTAATCAATCTACTAACCAATCAATCAATCTACTAACCAATCAATCAATCTACCAACCAATCAATCAATCTACCAACCAATCAATCAATCTATATATTATGTAACTTTCTTATGGGATTTCATCCTCACACGCTTGAATCTAAATGGTCACGTACAGTGCGGTTTCAGAGACATTTTTATCCACGAACACTCAGGCTGTTGAATGAGGTCCATGCCAAAGTTTTCCCTAGAGACTACAATACGGAGTTCTTCAAAAAATTATGGTTTCTTCAGGGCCAGTAATGCACATGACACCTCTAGAATTGCAGGCGTCCATAAGCTACAGTAACGGTTTACTATCAGACATACTGTACACTTGTTTGCCACCTTTGTGGTACAAAAAAAGATGTTTCTGATGTATAAATTATTATTGTTACTATTAATTTATTCAAATTACAAAGTACAGTGGCATTACACCCATGGTGTGTGTCAATGAACAATATATTTCGTAATATTCATGACTATAGATGACAATTACCACTTCCCATCACGTAGGCTGTAAGCTCGATTACAATAAATTATACACTCCTCGCAAAAATTAAGGGAACATAAAAATTTTTGAAATTTTTGGGTGATTTTCAACAGGCTGTATTTCAGTGAAAAATAATCGTACAGGAAATTTAAAAAAAGGGTTTTGAAGCTTGAAAACTCTAGTTTTCAGATTTTTTGGTAAAAAAATTTTTTGAGCTCCAGTCCCTTAAACTCACCCTAATCCATTCAAAAATAAATAATTTCATTTGTTTTTCACTTTTTACTCAATTTTTTGTTTTTTAAAAATTCATTATCAAAAAAAAAATCGAAAAAAATGAAGAAAATTTTATGCAGATAAAGAAACTCGGCGCCCGCTTGCTGTGCGACCAGTAGTTCCAGAGATATTAGCAGTTGAAAGGAAAAGGATGCTTTTGCATTCAAAGTTCGATATCTCGGAGACAAATGGTCGTAATTGAGCCATCCAAAGCGATTTTTGAAGCTGAATAAACACGCTAAGAGACCTATACAATGGAATAGCTCGAAAAATTTTTCCATGCCCATAGAGTGAAAAACGAAACCTAGAAAATTTAGAAAAAAATTATTTTCAGCTTTGTTTAAGAATTGCATGGAAACTGGAGCTCAAAAAATTTTTTTACCAAAAAATCTGAAAACTAGAGTTTTCAAGCTTCAAAACCCTTTTTTTAAATTTCCTGTACGATTATTTTTCACTGAAATACAGCCTGTTGAAAATCACCCAAAAATTTCAAAAATTTTTATGTTCCCTTAATTTTTGCGAGGAGTGTATATAAAAAAAATATAATTGTATATAAAAAATCTTTATTATAAAAAAAACTAGTGATCCTTTTTTTATTATACAACTTAGAATGGCAAACAAGCTGACGGTCCACCTGATGGAAAGTGGTTATCATCGCCTATAGACATGAGCAGTACCATGGACATAACAGAGTATACTGTTTCGCCCATGATACCCCTCATGCGTTGCCACTCCTGAGGACTCAGATGCTATTCCTCTGTACCCTGTAAATTCTCGCCACATTCCATCCTTCAAACCGAAACACAGCCGTGCAAACACAACTGCTTCACAATAGAAACACGAATGGAACAGAGGTACCCAAGCAATCGACTTTTATACAAAGTCTCCGTCTGATGATACTGTCTGATAATTCGAGAGCTAGTAGTTGATTATATATTTAAAAAAATTAAAATGTATTATTAAGGTAACCTTCAATAACTTCCACTTTCTTCTCTGGCCACTTCTCAGCTTTCACCAATGCTATCAGAGCTGTGTAGTACGGATGCAACACAGAGTCTTTGTTGAGGAATTTGAACTGCGGATTGTCGCCCTGCTTCGTCTTGATTAGTATCTCCATTTGAACTCCTTGGAGAGCAATGAACTTGGCGGTCTTCTCTATTATTGCATTTTGCTTCATGGACTCTGGCTGTTGAATGGTTTATTATTAAATATATCTTACTTAAAGAAATATTATATAATTTAAAATATAGATATTTTCAACTTTTAAAAAAATCAATTTATTCTCAATTTGACAGTATTATTTTGTGTAGATGTCATACAAATCTGACAAAGTCTATATGATATGATATGACCAAGCTAAAGTGGCAATGAGCAGGTCATATAACTCAAAGAATCAACAACAAATGGGGAAGAAAGTTCTTGAGTGGCGAGCCAGTACAGGCAATCACAGAGTAGGACGACCCCCGCTAGATGGTGTGACGACCTTAAACGCATTGCAGGGAATCAGTGGATGCTAGTCGTTCAAGATCATTCCTTTTGACAGTCTATGGGGGAGGCCAATGTTCAGCCATGGACAGATAATGGCTGATATGAAGATGATGAAACTTTTAAAATTGAAATAAATTGCCATCTACCAACATTACTACACCCTAGAAATAGGGTATTTGTAATAATAAATAAATATGTAAATTTATATGTAGATAGATACTCTTTAGTGTTTCATTCAAAAGATTACAATAATAAACTTATTATAAACACAAACAAAACAATTACAATAAAATATTACATAAAAAAAACCAATGAGCCTTACTGCTAAAAGCGATCTCTTCCAAGTAACCTTTAAATGGAGAAAAGTAATTATAAACAGTTTGACTTGATGCACGTTTTTCTCTATTCGTTTTTTTAAATACACATAGAGATATAATACATACAATAATGTGAATATATAAATGCACATTTTAACATATTTAAATAAAACCATATATACATATAAATATGTAAATACATATGCATAAAGATACATATACATACATATGTAGTCACAAAAATAAAAAGAATGTGAGTATGCCAATCAAATACAAATTACAAATATGACAACTTGTTCAGATACAAGTCCTTGACTTTCGTTATATACAGCATGTTTAAAATATTAAATGTGTAGTATCCTTAAAACATCTCCATTATTGATTGATGTATGTGTTTATGATTGAAAACTATTGTTAACAAACCAATATATACTTATATATCATATACATGTACTGTAATTAATTTATAATGTTATTTTTATGTTATATTTCAAATGTTGTTATTATAATTGTTATAATTTGTTTTATTAATTTAACAATTACAATGTAAATATTGACTTGCCATTGTGTGACCAAAAGTGTTACATTGTTTAATAAAGAAAAATGAATACCAGTTACTTACTAGCACCATGTCTGCTGGCAGCAGCGCTCGGAATGTAGGCGTCGGCACGAACGGCTCATCGACCTCGACGGGCTGCGGCGGCTGTGCAGGCTCCGCTGTTGATTCATAATTGAAGCCCACCTGGCCGTAACCAGCTGCGTGGAGACGCTTCAGCTCCTCTTCTGTTTCAGAAGATTGCATGGATATTTAGTAATAATTGACTATAGCAGTCAGTTTATCTGATTCATATTATTATTATTGTACCACCACGTAAGCACAGTTAAGATGTCACCTTCCAATACTTAAGATTTATTGTACTATATTACATTTTCTATCATTAAACTTTAAACTTAAGACTATAAATATATTGTATTAAAGTAAAAAAATAAATTATATTAGCATTTTGGCCTGCTTTTTTTCTCATATTCAGATGTATAAACACACAAGGGTTAAACTTATATAAAAAAAAAATATATTAACCTATTTCATATCCTTTAAGACACTGTCATTATATTTATAAAGATAGTTTGACATAATTAGTTTTAAGATAGTATTTTCAACTAGGTAAAAAGTTTGTTGAACATTACAAATAAATGTAAATTTGTAATCCTAATAATAATAATATAATATTATTTATGTTACTGTATTGCACTTGAATTATTCACTTGTCGTTGTATATTTTTATTTATAGCAATAAAGAGTTAAATAATAATTATTATTATTATAAATGCAAATGTAAGTTTGTTTGTTTGTTACCCTTTTATACTATACCATAGAGATGATTATAGGCTACTTTTTTCCCAGTCAGTGAACATTTAAGTCACACAAAGATGCAGGTAAAAGTTAGTGAAACATGACATAAATTTTTTTGGTATTGGTCAATAAAAAAATTTGTTTTCAATTACTATTTCCAATTTAGTTTATAATTGATGGAATTATGAGGTAACAAAGAAAAAAATTCAATCAAATTGGTTAACCTTCTTTTTGAAGCTAGTTGAAAAGTACTATGCTATGAATAATTGTTTTATGTAAGCAATTGTGTATCCATGAGGCCTGTGAAGATCCCAGGAAGCTTCAGTGCTTCTGGGCGGAGCTAGGTTGGCTATACTAGCCATGACTCATATGCACAATGGCCCAAATGAGAGGCTAAGTGTGGAAAATAGAGTCCTATTTACATTACAAGCAATTGTGTAAAATGTAAATAGGACTCTATTTTCCGCGCTTAGCCTCTCATTTGGGCCGTTGAGCATATAAGCAATTGTATAAATTAAACTGTGTTGAATATACCTTTGTACATTTCCTCTTCATCCTCATCTGTATGCAAAGCTCTATATCGCTCTTCATCGCAAAGCTGTTCCACCTCCAACTCATTCCTTGTAAGCTCAATGCGCCAATCGTAACCCCCAGGGGGGGCCTCCAATGTAGACAGGTCGTGTAGAGCTCCCCTCGCATCATACCTGTACACATAAAATCATGTTTAAGTCTGTGCACCTTATTGTTGATGACAATTTGAATTATCATGTTTTTTCATATAACAATGTGAGATTATTCTTTAAAATATAATGTAAAAAGATAAATTTATATAAATAAGAGTTAATTAATATTGCATATAGAAATATATATCACAAATATGAAAGATGGTAAAAATGTTTGCATGTTCATTCCTTAATCATGTGTAAACTCATGGGTTAATAGATTTGTTTGAAATTTGGTATACAAATAGACAGATAGATATTTTAATTTACTATATAACTTTGAACCTAATTTATACAGTTAAATCTGGAGTATATATTTAATAATTTGTACCTACATTATTTACTGTTATTAATACAAAATATAATGCCAAAAAATAATGTTAATTGCAGTTTTCAAATTAAAACTACCTATTTAGTTTGGAAAGAATTAACCTAAAATCCTAACAAATATTATTACTAAATTTTGGAAAAGAATTTATATGGACGATTTTGTTTCCTAGATAAGTATTAACTTTTAGATTTTTACACTTTATGTTTTATAAGAGATGGGAATTAATGACACGACAGTGCTACGTAAGTCTACTAATACACAGCTAGTGTAACCTGGTAGAAAAGTCAATATAATTAAGTCAAGATAAATTATCATAGTTTACCTAACTGATCCCATTAATTTCCAGCTCTTATAAAACATAGATACAGATTCTTTAGTAGGTGTTACCCTTTGTATCAGTTACGGTTATATTATTATATAATTATGAATAATTATCACAAAAACAAGCATAATAATATAACCATGTTTCAATATCTTAATGCAAAATATCTAGGCATGAGTTCAGACACAAAATGCTGAATATTCAAGGATACCGTTCCAAATTATACATACCACCAAGGTTCGTCACCATAACATAATGTGCAGCGCGACAGCCCGGCACACGAAGTCTTTTCCACCGGCTGCCTCAAACATCCTCTGCGAAAATCTTAAATATCTTCTAAAAATTTAGTATTTCCTGGCCGTTTAATTTACTTTAATAATTTTTAGCGCCACAGTTAGCAGTCTTATAGTAAAAAACGGTTCGAACCTGTCGATTTTCAACGTTTCATCCCCCATCCACGGAATGAGGTGCTTTCCTTGATCAATGTGCAGTGCTTTTTCGTTGTCCCTGAATAATTTGCACGAGTAGCCGAACACAAATAGGTCTTCTTTCTTCTCTTTAAATTCGCTTTTACGTAAAATACCAGAATCACTGTGACTTGCAGTCCATTTTACCGACATTTTGATATTGAAATTTAGTCAACAACATAAAATATATATAATTTAATAAATAAAATAAATTTGATTTTTATGGTGATGTCAACTCGCGTCGATCACGTACAGATTACAGAGAGCCATAGTCTCTTTAATCTGTGACACAAAACTATAAGGACGATTCTGAGATGCCATTTCTTTAAAGTTTATATTTTATTTTAATAATTTCAAAAAATTAGGTACTCTTCATAAACTAAAATTAGAATAATTATTATTTGCAATAATTATTACTATCATTATATCATCTACATATCTAAATCTATTAGAAAATAAGCTCATATTTATCTTTGTAGTAATGATTTTGCTGTGATATCAAATTGAAATTTTAATGATAGTTCGAAAAACGGCGCCTCAAAATCGATCGACTCCTATGTTTAAAACGGTCATTCATAAAATGGTCGGATGTGAAACAATGAAAACATTTGTGAAAAACGCATAAGCATTTACAAATTTGACATTTAATTTTATAAAATGGAACGAGACCATAAACGATCACTGTATGATTTACAGAGGTATATAAGATTATAAGATGGTTAGAAACCGAATTAAAATTATACATTCCTTTTCCTCCTTCTATATCTAATATTAGGTACAAATTTTATGGCGAAGGTTTTATTATATTTAGATGTTAAATATAAACTTACATGAATATGAATAAGAAACAATGTGATTAGAAAGAAGTGACAAAAGAAAGTGACAAAAATCGAAAAAGGAATGTTGCGTTGGTTTGGTCATTTGAAGATGGATGAAAGAAGAATTACGAAAGAGATTTATCGACCAAGAATAAATGGAGATGTCGGTAGGGGCCGCCCTAGACGGACGTATGTTGACCAAATAGGCGACGTGCTGAAGAAGGGCCAAATTAATAGTACCCGTAACCGGCAAACGTGTATGAAAAGATTGATGAATGTGGAAGAAGCGAAACAGGTTTGTTTGAATTGAAGCATCTGGCGTTCCATTGTTTCTGCCTACCGTAATGGGAGACAGGCGTGACAGATATGTATGTATGTACTAAATGAATATTAAAAAAGTAGATTGAAGAATCTACTATATCTTTCACACGATCATTCACCTTGGATGGATTGTGTGAAAGATATAGCATAAAGAAAACAATGAGCTCAGATATGTAGAAAGAATAAATGAAATAATTGTGTTTAGATTCAAAGCAACTTAAGTACGTAGATATTAATTCTTAGTACAATCCTAAATTGATTTAAATATTGTTCAATTATACTTTCTAAGCAACTTAACTTTGAGCAATAAGCGTTACCAACCCATACTCAATTAATTATCAATTTAAAAATTATAAACTAACTATAAATTAAATTTGTTGCTTTTCCTTTTATTTGTAAAATATTTGTGAGTTTTATTTATTTTTTATAATGTTCTTTTTTATTCTATGCGTTGGTATGTTGTTTTCTTACTAGAGAAAGTAAATATTTCAACAAATGAGATGAATATGATGTATGTAAAAATCCAAGATAAAATATATAAAAGATTTTAATACTTACTCAAAGCTTACCAATGTTTATTTTATCTACAACTTAATGTAAATTAGCACAAAGAACGCCGTTTTCCAATAAAAAAAATAAGAATGGCAACTAATTATAATCCAACCAAAAACAAAAGGTTACCTACAGACATGATTTTTCTACAAAACATCGATATTTGAGGTGTATTCCGAAATCAAGTGTGTAATATACGTTCAAAAGGCATATGGCGGACGTTTTATATATTTTTGCATCGAAAACTGATAAATTCTTTTAGTTATGAGTATCTTGTGACCGCTAGAGCGTATTTGTTAAAATTAGATGGTAAACGTTAGTTTTAATGTGTAAATAAGTTTATTATATCTAGATTCTTGTAAATATTGATAGTATATTCGTGCGTGGACGTTTTGATCCGTATTGAAAACGAAAAGTCTGTGATATAAACAATACTTAGGTGATAGAATAATTTCCTGTACCACTTGTAAATATTGTAAAGAAATTTTAGAATTTTAACAAAGTTAATATATTGAGAGAAGACTGAAAAATTGTGTTTGATCTGAGACCTGCTAGCTATGTCAGCTGTGAATTTGTTGTCTTCTTTGAAAGAGAAACCGATCGACGAAAATCCGAGGAATGGCTCTAACGACGAAGGTAAGCTCTATATAGTTAATATTAACATTAATATTTTTACCAGAACTTGCAAGATATTTAGTACAAACGTCTTAATTTTGGTAATTGCGATTTTTCCAGATAACAAGTGTTATTACTTCAATGTTTACATTCTTCTTTCAAATATGATTCCATTCTTTTTTGTAAGAACTAACTGTGCTGTTACAAAACTATGAATTGTCTGCTATTTATATAAATAAATAATGGTGTTGATAAATAAGTAGGTCATACCTCTGACACCTTTTTCAGTAACTGTATTATTGTCATTGCAGATATGTTTTGTAGGTAATACTTTTTTCACTAGGTAGTGAATAACAATAAATTGTCACTTGTAGTACATTCTAAGATCATTACTTTTTCTGAAATAATTTATATAAGAACACTTGCATAATCTGCTTTTTTACCATTTTTATTTATTTTAAGTAGTACATAAAAAATCTAAATCTTATTTACTAGTAGTATTTTAATGTCTACAACCAGCATATTTGACAAATAATTAAAATATGACAAATATAAAATAATGATTGCTTGACTTTGTAAATTAATTATATTCTCGTTTTAATATTAATTTACCAATTATATAATAATAACATTAAAAATTGACAACTTAGTGTCATTTTAACCTCTCAGATATATACAGCCAGGTGGGCCATGCCTCTCAGTATGCGAGCAGAGCTTTTAACAATGTGGTTAAACATTTCTGAGAGTACATAATATACATTTTTAAGATGAAAACGTAAAATATTATCTTAAATACACCAATGCTGTTAGATTTTTGTGTAACTGCATAATCAGTTTTCACTCGACGCCACTATATTTAATCATTTTTAAAAAGATACATGATATAATTTTTTTTTATAAAACTACCAGAAAATTAGTTCTGATTGCAATGACAGCACAAATAGCAATTTTACCATATTAATAAATAATTTATGATTTAGTTCCATAAAAAAAAAGATTCAATTGTACCAAAAACAATTATTTTTGTTTAAAAACTAAATAACTATCAATTTTTTAAAAAAAATTGTCGGAACAATTTGAAAGTATACCTTACAAAGATAATAAGAAGATAAAAAAGAAGTATTTTCCAAATCAGTTTATAACCAAATGTTACTATGAGGTGACAAGAGAAATACCACCTAGTTAAGAACTTCTATCTTTTTTTGAAGGTGGTTAAAAAAGTTTGAGTTATTTGAGCACTACTAATAAATGGGTTGACTATTGTTTGTCATTTACATGCACATGTATATATTGCAGTTAAAATTCTTAACCAGTCAAAAGTACTATTGACTAGCAAAGTCAGTCAAAAGTATTTGTGACCGTATGCTTTAGTCAATAATACTTTTGACTAAAATAACAGTTAAAAGTACCTAACCTAACTGCAAATTTGCAGTTAAAAGTACTAGTAACCAATAATTTTCAGTCAAAACCACTTTTGACCAACCTGTTCAGTCAAAAGTACTTTTGACTGATTTTGCTAGTCAATAGTACTTTTCATTGGTAAAGAGTTTTGACTGCAACATATATAAATTAATATTTGTTACATTACTGTGGCATTACATTGTGTATCTTTACTTTTAATTCTTTTATTATTATAAAAGGTAATATAATTGGTTATATTATGAGTTAGGTGTCATATTGTATTGGAAGTCCAGTCCAGGCTATATCTTCAGATATGGATTAGAGAATAGAGCTGGCTGGAAGAAGATGCATTAATTAGTTGCACCGACAAGAGGAAACTCTTAAATGAAAAGAGATATTATGAATGTGATCATGTTTAGAGTTACTGGAAGTTTTTTTAACAGGTGATAATGGTATGGTAACCTCGTTTGTGCTAACAGTGTACAATGACAGGGTACCAGTGACAGATGACAGGTGAAGATGAAAGAAGGTGAGTTGACTCATCGTGATGAATTTAACAAGATGATGGCAGCAATATAAATTAAAATAGTAGTAGAAGAAGCATTGTACTTAATTCTTTTTCAATTTCTAGGGAGAACTGTGTGGAGCTCATTCTAATAGGGTATACTGCTAGTAATAGACTTATAAGATCCTCATTACTGACAATCCTTTCCCCAAAACTTGAGGATTGAAAAACCCACTGGCTACAATCCCAATGGCCCAATGGCTGAATGGACAGTTATTAATGAAGTATGATACAATTATAGACCATACCCTAGGTCAATATATAGGATATTTTTATTTTTATTCATGAAGGCGAAGCCACATGTTACTGCTATATTTATATAACAATTATAACAAAAGGACGTATGTACATAGGAGATATTTAAAAAAAAATTGATGAGAAGGGACTTTATAATAAGAGCAATAACAGCTAATACAGTAATTTATATTATTTCTGTCTGTATGTTTGTCGTGGCATTACGCAAAAACTACTGCATCAAATTTAATGCGGTTTTCACAATTATGTTTCTAACTTAAAATTACGTATATAAAATAAACGTAGATAAGTTAAAGCTTCTTGATACATCTTAGAAATGCTCTATTTTTTTGGTTTTCGTTCTTCCAAAGTTCACGCGTACTTACGAAGTCGCGGGTTAAAACTAGTGTATAATAAAGTACAATTGCACCATTTGGAGCTCTAAGTGCTATGCATTCAGGGGTGCTAATGCCGCAGGGATTTGAAGGTCAAGGGTGGCTGGCTCCCCTACACGCGAGCCCTTGGATGTACAGTCGTTATGTAAAATGTTTGCACTTTTTTTATTGGAGAGAAAATAGAATCTATCTATCTGTATACACTGGCGGGGTACCAGTGTGGTATAGGTAAAAATAAAATTAGCCCATCGTCATAAATATTTCATGGGGAATTCAGCACGATGGTTTCCAGGGGTGGGGGGTCGTGAGGAAGTCGAGTCTGACAAAGTGCATTGCTTGCAATGGAGCTGGTAGTCCACGTTACTACCAAAATATTGAGTGCTGGTAGGACACCAGTGAAGTGTGGATACCATTTTATTATCATTCATTAAAAAAAAAAAAACAGTGCACGCAGGATTACCATTTGATTTTCATCCCATGGAAAAAAATCCTGTCCACCGTCTAGTGTCTGGTGGAGCTGTACAGTATTTTTACACTAGTTACAAATTTCGTGCACTACTATTTGTTTGGCTTTTCTCCAAAATGTACAAATTTAAATACGTCTACTATACGAAATAATTTATTTGCATAGAGGTACGTTATATGCATTCTGTAATGAAATTTCAGTAGGTGCTTTTAGTAAAAAAAAAAAAATATGTTAAGGTTATTTCTCAATAGGGTTTTTTTTCGATGGGTTAAAATGGAATGGTAATTCCACCTGCGCTAATGGAGTACACTGGCAGAGCACCAGAGAACGGTCATCATGATGAATTCGTCAGAAATTAACCATGATAGTTTCCAGGGAGAACCGCGAGGAGGTCGACCTGGTTGGATATATTGCTACGAGTAGTAATGGGATTCTTAGTCTCCATTACTAACAATCCCTTTACCCCCTCTCAATAGGATTTACTCACGTGTTGGTCCCATAAACATCGTGTCACAATTGGAATCATTGTTTTTTGTGGAGCATGATTTTAATTTTAATCTTTCAATTTATCAACTCTGTCTATTTTATCAGAAATTACATACGTGAATATTTTATTTATTAATTACATTTGGAATAATAAGACACAGGCCGTATTGTTTAAATAGTTATTTCTTACTCATTGCCACCATATTTTCTTTCAATAATTTGTCTGTTACTGTCCAATAAAATTTTCAAGGCTAAATAAATTGTCGCATTGATATTAAATGCAGCTCAAATTAGCACGGTGTGTTAACTGTTCGTCGTAGCTTTGTTTGAGAGATTTAAAAGGGCCGTTCAGGGTTCCTTTGCCAAATAGTTGAGATAGAATTTTTGTTTTATACCCACAAAGGTGACAAACATACGGCCCACCTGATGGTAAGCGGTTATCGTAACCTATGAACGTCTGCAATACGAAGGGCATTACGCGTGCGTAGCCGATCCTGAATAAACCTCTTTATCCTTTTTTTGAAGAACCTCATGCTAGAATAAAATAATAGTGCATTTTGCTCTGCAAATAAAAAAAAGTGTGTTGCAAAAAATTACCCACTTTTAAAAAAATTAGTCATTGTTACTAAATATAACGTAGGTATTTCAACGATATCACATACATCCAAATCTGTCTAGGAATTTAGAAGTTGCGGTGGAATAAAGAAACTCACGTGAACCACTCTTATTTTGTACAGTCGCGTAATAAACTATTTTTACGCAATTGTTAAAAAAGAGAGAGAAATCTCGTAGCATTTGTTTCGCCATCTATCCATGTGATGGTCAGATTTAAATAATGTAGAAGGGGCTTTTTAAGGTTCATTGTCAAATGGCAAAGATAGAATTGTAATGTCCTCGCGTCCGTCTACCTGTCCGTATATGGCATCATAGTTTACAACCAACTTTAAATGTGAAGAGAGTCTCAATAACTGTATTTTTTGGGTGTGTGTTAATCAATGTTCATTATTTTAATTAGTATTAGTATTTAAGGAATTTTATATTAACTTTAATTTATTTTTGTATTGTTTTTATGTCCTGTATCTAATTTTTGAATAAATATTTTAATGTAAAAATAAAATATAAACTAAAAAAGATGTTCATAATTTTTTTTTGCAATTTAGATTGAAGGAGTACCTTCTATGTTGGTTTCATATTCATTTTGTGTCGCAAAATGAATATGTTAAATAAATATATAGTTTTTTTTTTTTTTGTAGAGCAAAATTTCACATTTTGTGTGGAAGGCGAACTAATACGCCCTAGTTAGCGAAGTAAATCGCACATAAAAACTAGCACTAACTGGACACTTGAAGTAGACGAGTCCGTCTAGCGCTTAACAAAAAATCTAAAAACTAGCTCATACATTTACCAGAAAGAGACTTTGTATAAAAATCGTTTGCTTAGGTACTTCTATTCCATTCGTGTTTCTACCGTGAAGCTGTATTTGCATGGCTGTTACGGGTGTGATATGGCAATGAATTTACAGGATACAGGCGAATAACACCTGAGTCCTCAGGAATGGCAACGCATGGGAGGTATCATAGGCGAAACAGTATATCCATCTGTTATGTCCATGATACTGCTTATATCTGTAGGCGACGGTTACTGCTTTCCATTCTAAGTTTCAAAAAAAAAATACAGTGCGATTTGCATTGCATTTGAACTTTACCTAGCTTTCTACTATTTATTATATAGATATAAAGAATCTAGATTAGTTCATACAGATCGCCTGCATTGTATTTGCACTTTATTTAGCTACCCTTTTTCCATTGCACGCTTAACAAAAGCATAAATCTACCTACTATTTATACGATGTTGCATTCATGTACTGTTAAGCCCTCGATTTTTTATCCCCTTTTAATATATGGACAGGTGTCCCCAGTATACATTTACAAGTAGAATTAACTAGCATTGGGATTATTAAATTCGGACGTATAAATATTTCATTCTAAGGATCATACGAGGAGGTGCACGGGTGTCACGGTGTATTCCGTGACGTCTTATTAAAAAATATTTTATAGATATTAATGGAATGGTAATGCTAGTCTACGCTAATGGTACACGCTAGCGGGACACCAGTGAGCGGTGATAGGTGTAGGAAAAGGCAGGCCAGCCCCCCCCCCCCCCCCCCCCCCCCCATTCCGTGATGACTGTGTTGTTGTACATATTATAGTAGCATCTATAAGGCCATTATAAGATTGTGTTATTCGTGGTATATACGACGATTGCCAATTTTCATCAGGTGGGCCCCTCAGCTTGTTTGGCATTCCAAGTAATATAAAAAAGTAAATACACTTGTAAAAATTCTCACGACTACCTGAATCTGATTCATAATTTCATTCGAATTTAAGAATGCTAGGTTCTCGATTTATTTGAATATTTATTTATTTTAATCGAATTCTGTTTTTTAATAGATGTATTCATAGGCGTTTTTCAGGGAGGGCCAAAATGGGCCATGCCCACCCTGGAATTGGTAGGAACCCACACTAGGATCCGAGCGAATTTTCAAAAATACATGTCTGGGAGTACACACCATATCAGCCGTTAATTGTCCACTGCTGAACATAGGTCTCCCTCTATTGGGGGATTTTGCCAGTAGTTGCCACACTTGGCAGGCGATGGCAACCTCAGTTAGACTTTGGTGATGTTTTATTAAGATTGACACAGAGAAAAACAAAGGCGTGCCAAAATAAAAAAATTTGACCCACACAATCATTTTCGTAATCAAAAAGTATTATCGAAATCAATTCACAATTGGCAATTCATATTTTGTGTAACCTAAAATACAGATCAATTTTCTGCTCTTGAGAATCGCCTAGAAATTTTACATTAGAAATAATTTATTTTAAATATGTAGGTATTTCAATATAAAAAGCAAGGAAAATATTGTATGTTGACGGTAGAACATGATGCGTTAATGTTTCACGCCGAGCGAACAGTCTTTGAGAACATTGCGTGAACATTATCATACCACCCTTGCGGTTTAGTGCGTACTATACGTAGTTCGGACGCTATTCGTGATACGTAATTTGTATATACTTTGACAGCAATTAGTGTTAACGATTCTATTTTGTTCTATTTTTAATTGTAATTGTAATTTAATTTTACGTTAGTTTAGGTTTATAATTTTTAAGCCGCCATTTTGTCGTACGGCCCGAGTTTTGCCGCGTTAATTATGGTGAGCAAGGACGTTTTGTCTGTGGGCGTGGTTGTCGAGAAGAAGAAAAAGGATAGGAGGAAACGCCGTAGAGCGGGAAGCAGGGCCGCGAAACGACGAGCGAGGAAAGCGGCCGCCGCTAACTTGCAAACAGATAATACGTTGTCTCCTATAAAATGCGCGGTGCACGTATTCTTGTTGCGGTACCAAAGTGCTTTGAGGAAAGTGCCTTCGCAGCTCCCGCCGAGGGTTGCAGCTGGACCGCCAAGTAAAAGAGTGAAGCGTGTGTCGTGGTGTAAGTTAATTATGTTTATTTATTGACCAACTAGCTTTTTGCCCGCTAATACGAACGCGTGGGTTATAGAAATAGAAAAAAAAAAAAAAAAAAACAAAAAAATAAGTAGCGTATCAAGATTAAATGATTTTAAGTTAGACCTTTTGGAGCGTAATCTTGAAAACCGCATCCTATTAAGTGCAGTAGACAGATGTAACATACAGACAGAGGAAGGAAAGGTATTGTCACCAATTGAGTTTGATAGCCCCATTGCTAGCAATATACCCTATTATGTCGACCTCCACGTGGTTCCCCCTGGTAACCATCGTGAACAATTCTTGTTGAATTCGTCACGATGAGCTAACTGACATTTTTCATTCTTACCTATCGTCTCTCACTGGTGCTCCGCCAGTGTATAGCGATAACGCGGGCGGGGTTACCATTCCATTATCACTCATAAAAAAATAAACATACAGACAGACAAACAAAATTTCTAAATCTATTGTTTTGGCATGTATATTGGTTTTATTAAGACACCTCATGCTCGTTTTATTTTTTCTTCAATATATCCCAAGTATAGATATCAATACATATTAAGAAGTAAGATATAACTGGTACAAAACGTGGACCTTATTCTAGTGTCATTCTCTACCAGCCAACCTTTGGGAAGTGTAGAAATGTGTAGTGCAAGCGGGGCTATCATTTTCACCCATAGCAGAAAACCTCGTCGTTACCATTCTTCACTACTTGAAGAAGAAGTACATTCTACGTACGCTGCCAGCGTAAACCAATAGCGCGGGCGGCACAGCCGTTCTATTTTTTTTTTTTTCTTTAAAAAAAATCACCGATCACCTAGCTCGAACCATCCAACAGGATCTGCTAATATCTGAAATTACGCAAAAATGTTATATATGGCATAAAAGTATTAGGAGAGCTGACCCCTAATAGGAGGGGGGAGGGGATTGTTAGTAATGGGTTTTAGCAGCCCCATTGCTAACGATATACCATATCAGGTCGACCTCCACGCGGAAACCATCATGGTTAATTCTTGTCGAATTCTTCACGATAGACCGACCGACCCCGCGTTTATCTTCACCTATTATTTATCACTGGTGCCCTACCAGCTTATACCGATAGCGCAAGCAGGGTTACCATTTCATTTCCACTCATTCAAAAAAAAAAAAAATACCCCAAAAGGGAAAAAATCAGTCATTTTGTTATTTACGATTTATGCTTTGTGATTATTGTGTATTGAGGGTACTTCGAAATTATGTGTACATAACACTTTTTTTTTTAATTTATTTCTTACAGCTTATTATAACACAACTATTATTGATAAATTTACATCCCTTATAACATATTTTATTTATATGGAAATCACCGAGGTATTTTTTTGTATGAGATTTATTCTTCGATAACCTTATCTGTGCCGTGTGGTCCCGGCATAGAATAGATCATCTGTTTTTTTCCTGTGGGTGTCATAAGCGATTAAGGGGTAAGAAGCGATTATTGGGCGAGGGATGGGCAGCAGCGTCGCTCTTAAAATACCACCAACGCCTAACTGCGGTTGCCAACGCACAAATTTTGCCGGTAGTTGCCACGCTTGGCAAATACCACACAAATAAAGGGAGGCCTATGTTCTGCAGTGGATAATTTACGGTTGACACAGTATGGTATGGTAGCCTTATTTATATGTTTAAAATGGAAATCTTCTGTGTGTACTGTCACACGGCAGCATAGTTTAAACACCATGATATCATGTGTTAAATAAGCAAGCTTTTCTTTAAAAAAACTGTAATTAAAATGTAGATAAATATTTTTTTTTTATTTTTTTTTATACAACTTAGAAAGGCAAACAAGCTGACGGCCCACCTGATGTAAAGTGGCAACCGTCGCCTATAGACATGAGCAGTACCATGGACATAACAGAGTATACTGTTTGGCCCATGATATACCCCCCATGCGTTACCATTCCTGAGGACTCAGGTGTTATTCCTCTGTACCCAGTAAATTCACGACATGTGATCAACACGAAAGTAATTTCTAATTGATTTTAAAAATTACTATCATTATCGGTTCAAAATTAGCAAAATATCGTAAACTAGGGATCCATCCCTGCTTTGCGCGGGTAGATACTATTAACGTAACATTCTATAGATGAGTTTATTAATTACATACAAAAATTAAAACAAATAATTAAAAAAAAAATGTAAAAAAATGTTTGTTTTTTCTTTTGTATATGTATTTTTTTTTCTTTTTTTTTTTGTGTACGTATCTATGTCTGTTGTTATTTGTGTATTGTAAGAAATGCAAATAAATTGTATGTCTATCTATCTATCATATCAAATCTTTCTTCTTTATAATATTAGTATAGATTAATAAAAAATTCTCACCTTTCTCCTTTAAAATCGCTTAGGTTAAAATATAATTTGTTACCTGACATAGTGTTATGAATTTAGATATATTAAATAAGAAATAACTCCATGCCAATTCTAATTGTAAGACATTACCCTCAAATGTACCTCAAAACTGTATTATTTTTCTTATCGGCCTCGATGTATATTTTTGTCAACATACGATTCGCGCATAGTACTCCAAGCCTGTACTATGTATGCGATTATCACAGTGTCTGTATATAATAAGCTAAGATATAACCTATCCGTGTTAATTTCATACAAATCTGTTTAGTGTTTTTTGTATGAAAGAGTAACGAACATCTATTTATTCAAACATGCTTCCTTTCAATCTTTCGCATTTATAATACATAATAGTAAGATAATTTCAGCACGGAAGTGTACCGGTCAAGTAGATACACAAATCTATTTTAAATTAGTAATTTGGAATTACTGGATTGCCTATTTATTTATATGGATATAATTATGTATAAAGATAAAATGTAATATTTTTCCATAGATATATGAATTATTATTAAGAATTCATTTATGAATTTTACATTTATGTGCAGTTTAACAACACTTGGATTTTTTTTATCTACTTTCATATGGATATTACTAAAAATATATATATTATCAATAAATTATGCAATAATGTATAGTCTAGGTATTTATAATGTAATAAAATATTGAAAGTGACTTTAAAAGTCGTATTGGAAAACTAGGAAAAGAATACTTTTATGAGAAAATTTGTATGATATTTGATTATTGACACAAATATAGCTTTCGTATAGCCTAGCCTAACTACTGTTGCCAACTCGCCTGCCAAGGGTGGCAACTACTGGCAAAACCCCCAAGGGAGAGACTTATGTTTAACAGTGAACAATCAACGGCTGATATGATGATGATAATGATAGCCTTTATATAATCTATTTAGATAGAACATCATGAAAATATAAACAGACTGAATTGAATTAAACTGACATTAGACGTATAATTGACCCTCATTATATAACATCTTGGGCATAAAACGTGGTGGTGCAAAAATATATAGGTTTTCCAGTGTTTTTCTGACAAGAGGGTAACACACGCGGGCGACCACTATGAAAGTGAAACCGGTGAGTTAGATACAAACAATAATAAATAAACAAACATAGTAAAAAATAATTACGTACAGTCTGCTTTAAAATAATTTAATGAAAATGTACACAAATGTATAATTAACACAGCCAAAAATGTTGAATTTCAGTAGCAGTACAAATAAAAATTGGTTGATTGAATGTTTTGTTTTGTTACTTAATTAAGAAAGTTTTTTTTTTTGTAATAATTTCATCAAAACTTACCATTAAGTTCTATCAGAGCAAAGGTGATTACAAAGTAAGGTGTTATGAAAATAGCACGGGAAACGAGTTCTAGACAGGCGAAATTGTATATTTATTCGCTAATATTTTTAAATTAAGCTAAATATGACAGATGAAGGAATTTTTACCAGAGGGAGACTTTGTACAAAAGTCGTTTGCTTGGGTACCTCTGTCCCATTCGTGTTTCAACCATAAAGTAGTTGTGTTTGCCTGGCTGTGTTTCGGTTTGAAGGGATGTGGCGTGAATTTACTGGGTACAGAGGAATAACACCTGAGTCCTCAGGAATGGCAACGCATGGTGGGTATCATGGGCGAAACAGTATACTCTGTTATGTCCATGGTACTGCTTATGTCTATAGGCGACGGTTACCACTTTCCATCAGGTGGGCCGTCAGCTTGTTTGCCATTCTAAGTTGTATAAAAAAAAAGATGAAGCAAGTTAAAATGAAACGAGCATAGTTTCGGCAACAATCGCAACCCATCGCCATAATTATAGTACCGTTACAAAACTTGGCTTGTTTTTTTCTGCGCACAATAATAGTTTATTGAACTCTGCGTTACAACGTGTGACTTCTGTTTTAATCTTAACAGAGTGTAAACAAAAGTATCTAATCTTTGATGAATAGGAACTTGTGGTTCAAATATTATGATAAACGAAAGTCAATTAAAAAAATTAACTTTATTTGGGACCTTTTTTGACCCGTGACTCCGTCCGGAGTCTATCACCGGAGGGCCGACCATGAAATGTTATTCAGAATTTCAGGGCCAATATCACCTTAAAATTACATCATACATACCGTTTAAAAATGTTAAAATATCGTTCTTTTCGACTTTTACGGTAGGATTTATGACGAATAAAAAGTTAAGCTCCATTTACTTGCCCAATTTGTAGACAGTTAAAAAATGTTTAATCTTTACTGCTGAACATAACCCTCCCCGTTGGGACGTTTTGCCAGTAGTTGCCACGCTTGCAAGGCGGATTGGCAACCGCAGTTAGACTTTGCAGATGTTTTAAGAGAGACGCTGTTGCCCATCCCTCGCCTTCTCTTAGTCGTCTGTTACGTCACCCACGGGAAAGATTAAATTTAAAAAAGAGCTAACTAAATGGCTTTTGGACCAACTTTTTTATAGTATTAAGGAATATCTTGAGTGTTAAGCGTGACATTTTAAATATTTTTTACCCCTTCTATTGACATTTTTCTATGTTGTAAATTTATTGTATTAGTTGTTATGTGTAAATATATGTATAAATGACATAATGTACTATAATCTAGACTTTTAATATGTAAGATCAATTTAAATAATGTAATTATAACACTGTTTACCGGTATTTTATATAAAATGTAAAATATTTGCATGCCTACATCTTTTAAGGCAATTAAACAGGTGCCAAAATAATACCACGTGGCTTGTAATAATTTTAAACTGTTTAATTCAAATAAATTCATTTCATTTTAAGAAAGCGGCGGCGTATTCTACGCCGGGACCACACGAAATGATACATAATGAATGTTAATTTCATAATGTAATGTCATAATTGGAAATATTTCTTTTTGTGCAGTAAAATGTATACGAGAGATATTATTTGTTACGTATTGGTACACAGTGGATAATCTACTAGATGGAATATTACACTCTCAAATCTAACAACATATTGTCGCAACAAGCGCAGTTATAGTGCCCCCAGCTTCCGACTGTCGCGGTAGAATGTAGCTTCGTTACCAACGTCAATCATCGCTCTCCCTTGACGTTCTACGATCACAGATATTAAGTGATATAGATGTAGCAAAATTATTGTTTTGCTACATCGAATATGGAGATATTGAAGAAAAATCGTCTAGATATTCCAGATGTATTCATTATGGTGAGCTAACTGACCTGCTATTTCAATCTCACCTATCATCCTTTACTGGTGTCCTGCCAGCGTATACCATTAGCGCAGGGGGTTACTATTTCTTTATCCTCCATAAAAAAGAAAACTGTACTGTCAATGTTCTTACTTACCATACAATAACAAATACAACAACAACAACAGTCTCGTGATACATTCGCAGGTCACGATGAAACCCATTCACCGAGCGACGGCGGCGGTGGCGGCGGAGGCGGCGGCGGCGACCCCGCCGTGCTGGCGGTGGGACCGGCGCGGCGGCCGCTCACGTACACGCGGGACGAGCTCATGCGCCTGCGCAACTCGCCACTCGTCAAGAAGGGGCTCGACAGCGCGTTCGCCGGCTGTGACTCCCTCGCTCTGTAAGTTACCGTTTGTTTCTAAACTTCAGAAATGCTTAATTTAATAATTTTTTTCATTGTCTTCATTCTTCAACATTGCCCCATACAAATTTGTTAAACTTAAGGATAGGTTTTTGTTTTAATGAATGTTAAAATTTTTAATAGTAATTTAAATGATTACTGAGTTTTTTTTTTATATTTCACGAAGGAACAGGCACAAAACAACAAAATTTCGAGTGCTCGTTTGTATATATAATTACGAAAAATGGGGATAATAAAATAAAATCGCTATTGCCTATACTACATCTATCTATAACTTGTGTTTAGGAGTCTTAATCATATTCAAAAGGGTATTATTCTTGTTACAGTCAACCAATGTCTTTTTTTCTAAATTCATTCATGTAACTACCCTGAAACAGTTATTTGCATGGCAGTGTTTCGGTTTAAAGGCTGGGATATGCCAGTGCATTTACAAGGTACAGAGGAATAACAACTGAATCCTTAGGAATGGCAACGCATGGGGGGTATCATGGTCGAAACAGTATACTCTGTTATGTTTATGGTACTGCTCATGTCGACGGTTACCACTTTCCATCAGATGGGCGTCAGCTTGTTTGCCGTTTTAAGTTACATAAAAAAATCTCATTTTTCTTTCCAATGTTACAGGGTGCTGAAAAGGCGTTCCGATTCACCGAACGAAGATGATAGAGGGGCGAAAGGGGACGCCCCCAACGAAAATCATAAGGTATTATAGTAATTAGTATTATGGTAAACAATACCTGCATATTGTTTTATTAATAAGACATAATACCATAGTCCTATGAATGGTAATGTATAAAGAGTACAATGGGCACCACATTCTGTTATGTTTATGGCGCTGTTCATGTCTATAACAACGGCAACGGTCACATTTTTTCATCGTTTGTTTGATTTTTATTCTAAGTATAACAGAAAGAAATCTCGCATATCAGGGCGTGTTCGGGCGCGAGCGTGATCGCGAGCGGCGCTCGGCAGACCCTCGCGAGCGTGTTCGCAAGGAGAGCGAGCCGAGCGGCGGCGGTGGCGCCGGCGGCGGCGTGGGCATCGTGCTGTCACCGCAGCGGCGCTCGTTCACGTCGGGCTGCGGCGCGCCGGCCGCCGCCGCGCCGCCGCCGCCGCACGTGGCTCGCACGCGGCCCGACTCGCCGCTCTCGGCTGCAGCACCGCCCACCGTCGCCGCGCCCACCATACCCCCTAAAACTGAACAAGGTCTGTTGCACACTTACACAGATAGAACGAGATACACAAGCAGGTCATTATACCTATACAATATAAGCTCGAAGCGGATTTGGCGGCAGTATGAATACAACAATTTCGCTAATGATATTGTTTTTTTTAGATAGATTCATCTGCTATTCAATATAAATTAATATTCGATTCCATAACAAACAAAGCAAATATATTTCAATGTTTTTATATAGCTAGGTACATAATATTGTGTTATAATAAAATATGGCCTACACTGAGTATTGATACGTATGTAGTTATCACGTTATTAATCTGTGTAGGCCTATATTGATTATGGCAAATGCAGGTGATGTGGGTTTCTAGATTTGATTCGACATTGTATGATTTTGCCTACATTTTAGCATACAATTTGACAAAAAATAAAATGAGTGTAATTTGTAAATAATGCAAGATGAATATGTGCACTGAATCTTCCTTAAAAAAATATGTAATATTTATTTTTAAAAAGTCTACCTTAAGGCCTTCATAAACGGTCATGCAGCGAGAGTCAAAACACATATTCTCTATCTATTATCCCGGTTTGAAGGGTGGGATTGTAAGATAAAGAAATATCATGGATGAAACATACTGCTCATGTCTATAGGCAACTTTTTGTGTCTGTCCTAAAAAAACATATCAAGTAGTCTCTGTCTTAACACACAATATTATATATGCATATTTGCCTCAAGTCTCCTGACCATATATACTCTTTTAGAATTTTTTTTTTTATTTTTCTTGTGACTCAAAATTTAAGATTTTTTAAAAGTGGAATGAAACAAATCTCACCAATATGTGAATTTAAATTTATATAAAACGTTTAATACATGCTGATTTTATGTATAATTCAGTCTTACAGTCTGTTGAACTGCCTTGTAATTTATTCTATTGTACTATTATCAGGGGCGTTAATTATACATACATCTACGGAGTTGTTGTATCCTATTGTAATTGTAAAATGATGTCGATGGAAAATGTATAATGGGTTGTTTTAATGGGTGAAAATGGCATGGTAACCCCACCTGCGCTATCGGTATACACTGGCGTGGTACCAGTGAGAGGTGATAGGTAAAGATGAAAAGACAGGTCAGTTAGCCCATCATGACGAGTTTAATGATAAATTAGTCACGATGGTTTCCATAGGAAACCGCGTGGAAGTCGACCTGATAAGGTACATTGTTAACAATGGGGACTAACCTACTTATTACTAACAATACTTTCGCCCCAGTGTATAACGTTTTTTTTAATGGGTGAAAATGACATGGTAACCCCACCTGAGCTATTTGTATACACTGACAGGGCACCAGTAAGAGGTGATAGATGAGGATGAAAAGGCATAAATTCCACGATAATCGTGACGAACTCAACGATAAATTAGTCACGATAGTTTTCAGAGTGAGCCGCGTGTAGGTCGACCTGGTATATTAATAGCAATTGGGGCTAACCTCTCCATTACTAACAATCCGTTCTCTCCACGTGTATAACGGGTGGTTGTTTGTTGTAGTTGGGCGACGCATCGGTTCAGGGCGCATCATGGTGCGAGACGTGCCGAGCAACGCCTGGGAGGAGGGCGAGTACCCGCGGCCGGAGCCGTACCGGCCGCCGCGCGACCGCGACTGCCGCCCCAACACCGACAGGTACGAGGGCGAATTCCTGCGCCCGGACCTGTATTATTTTAATATTACATCTGGAATCAACAGCTTATATCTAGAATAATTAAAAATATTATGTTTACACCATACATTAGCTAATTACAGATTCCCAATTTGTATACCAGACAATATTATACTTATTTTTGGAGAGTAAGTTAAATTAAATAGAAAAATAAAGAAAATATTTAAAAAAATATCTAAAAAAAATCTTACAGATATTTTATTTAAAGGCCACAAAGCAGCTGAATCTTTGAATCTAAGGTTGGCTACGCGCAGCTTTCAGGTGACATCCTCAATAGAAGTTTATCTAAGATTGTTTGCGCATAACAGCGCATGTGTCACCCCTAATATTGCAGGCACTCATTCCTTCTCAACGCCGCAACCATTACCCTACTTTTCAACTTCATACATTATAATTATCACATTTGTCACATTCATGGGCGAAACAGTATACTCTGTTATGTCCATGGTACTGCTCATGTCTATAGGCGACGGTTACCACTTTCCATCAGTAGGGCCAGGTGGGCCGGTCAGCTTGCCATTCTATGTTGTATAAAAAAAATCATTAGTTCCTGCCCACCCTAAAAGGGGAAGAAAGTGATTATGAAAAAAGCAATACGAATACATTTATTTATGTAACGTTTTTATGTTTTTAGTTGAACTAGTGTAATATAAGAGATATGTTTGCTTCAGATTCGACCGTCGTTCATTCACCCGAGACTCCTACTCCTCTGACATCAAGAGGGAAAGGGACGATCGATTCAACAACGAGAAAACACGGTAATTTATTAAACTACTTGCTTTTTATTTGCTACTATCCACATCAGAACTATAGGACGCGCTATTATATAGGCACGCGCCGCCGGCCGGGCCGGTACCGCCGCACCGCTATGTCCCTGTATGTTTAATCTGTAATATCTTCGGAAATATTCATTTAAATTACATGCTGTAATAAGGGCCATATTGATCTATATTAAATAGATAATGTATTTAATGTCCTTAATTGGATAATAATTAATGTTGTATTGCTTAAAATTACTTTGTAAATAAGCCATTTTTTTCGTAAAATGTGTTCATTTACGACATTACATTACAAACTTCTAAATTTATCAGTGTTTTTTTTACAATATTATGCATTTATTATACATATAAACCTTCCTCTTGAATTACTCTATCTATTAAAAAAACCGCTTCAAAATCCGTTGCGTAGTTTTAAAGATTTAAGCATACATAACAACGAACAGACAGCGACAGCGACTTTGTTTTATACTATGTAGTGATTATGTGTATTTATTGTTTTCAGAGAGGACAACCGCAGATCTGGTGGTCGCTTCTCTCAACGACGCTTTGAGAAGGAAGATGAACCCGAATGGTAAGAATGTTATTTTGATAAAAAAAAACCCATAAAGTTATACAAATTATGTAAATATATTATATACAGTTGCATAAATTGCAAATTGTTGTAGAATTTTTAGTAAAGTTATTAACTAGTGACTGGTCCATGCTTTGCACAATTGTAATTTATTACTATAAATCCTTTTTTTTTTTTTTATACAACTTAGAATGGCAAACAGCTGACGGCCCACCTGATGGAAAGTGGTAACCGTCGCCTATAGACATGAGCAGTACCATGGACATAACAGAGTATACTGTTTCGCCCATGATACCCCCCATGCGTTGCCATTCCTGAGGACTCAGGTGTTATTCCTCTGTACCCTGTAAATTCACGCCATATCCCACCCTTCAAAGCTTAAGAGCTTCATCAGTCACTTTTTTGATATACATACTATATGGGACGGACAAGGATTTCAGTTATTTTTTATCCCAGTCAGTAAACATATCCTGGTTACGTGGACGATGTCGCGGTACAAGACTAGTATTTAATGTATGTAAGATATTTAAAAAAGGTTAGATTATATAGTAAATCATATGAAATTGTTAATTTATCACACAGGTTTAGTGGAGGGCCCACATCTCAGCTAGAGACTATTGAGCTGCGAGGCTTCGACGAGCCCACCAAAAAGAACACCAAACAGAACAGCAACAACAAAGAGACTGAGGTGAGATTTATGTTCCACAACTAACTTCATAAAGAAGCAGAAGGCCTACCATGAAATGTTTTCCGAAATTTCGGAGCCGAACGAAACGCAAATTTAATGTTAAAATTACATATAATCTTTGAAAAACATTAAAAATATGAAAATATTATTCCTTGGGACTTTTATGGCAGGATTTGATTTTACGAACGAAATGTTAAGCTCCATTTACTGGCCCGATTTAGGTGTGAACAAAAACACGAAATTGAGTCCGAAACTTCGGAATTTCATGGTAGGCCCCCAGGTTCTCAATACGGTTGTATTATTTTTTTATATTATAAATCGATTTGGAAAATTCTTTTTTATCTGAAAGGATATAATTCCAGATTTGTGCCATAGAACTTTTATCAAAATCGGTTCAGTAGGTTATTATTTAAATCAAAACCAGGTAGGTTTTCCCTTAATTGAAAGCAGTTTTTTTTTATTGTAATACATTCTTACCTATTATAAGTACGTTATTAAAAGATAAAAGGAAAAAATTTTGGACAAGAACTTTTACAATCCAATGACAGTATTTACCATGTCAAATGGTTGCCCCCTGACCTTTTATGGTCGTTTAATCAGCCTTTTATATGTGATTGGCTAAAAAATTTATATACATCGTTTTAATAGTAAAATGCGACTGTTCAAGTTATTATTTGTTACTGACAGCTTGACCAGCCGACCTTTTTTATATACATATTTTAATTTTTATATTATTCTTTTTGATCCATGTTTTTTTTTTTACACCTTTTTCTTGTTAGTTCAAAAATGTACAGTTTATATATGACATACTTGTTTATTGTTCCTCCAATCACGATCTGGTATCTTGAAAAATATCTTTGTGAACGGTATCGTTATTTTACAGTTTACTATATTGTTTGCTAGAGATGGGTAATATAAAGTAATATCTATAAATTATCACAATTGTGGATGTATTAAATACCACTTATCCAATATATAATACCGTAATGAAAAACCTGATCGAAATGGGGATCTCCAACTGGTATGGGCGATATTGAAATAGTTAAAGACGTTTTTTTCATCATTAATCTCCCAATATATAGATACATACATAGATTACAAATAATTTTACACACTCTCCCACACACATACATTCAAATTACACTCTACACACAGGGAGCACATTATTTCACAATTTTCATTATTGCCAATTGTTATAATTAGATACACTAACTTTATATAAAATCAACATTCTATATGTAGCACTAAAATTTAGCTGAACTAATATTATACTATGTAATGAGGGTTGAGCGCTGTTGTCTGAGATACAGGTTTTATAACCTAGTTCAGGCACAGATGTTTAAACTGATCCAAATGTACAAATGAATTCGTATCTACTTTTACTGTAATTTCCAGTGCTGAGTTTGTTACAATCATGGTTATGCAATAAAGTTATTATTATTATTATAGATATTGTAGCAGTACTGATATATCTCATTCTTATTTTGTTTGTACAGAAATGGAATAACAATGGCGGGTCGCGGTCGCCGGTCGCGGAACGGTCGGAGCGGTGGCGGGACACCGCGTCGCCCGCCGACTCGCAACACTCGCAGCCAGCCGCCAACACCAACGGCAACATAAACACCAACAACAGTACCAACCAAGTGAACAACGTTAATGTACATATAGCTTTAGTTTTATATACACTCCTTACCTATCTGCGTCCCGCAGTTTCAACCGCATGTATCAGTACATAAAACATTGCAGTTAATTGATTAACAAAAGTCTTATTTATCTAATTTATTTTAACTAAATATTATTAGTATTTAAAAATTAAATAATTATTTATTGAAATTAAAAATTGTACCTATCTTAAATACCTCAAGTGTAATTACATTGTTGTTTATTTGTTTACATCTTCTTTGCATAATGGTGGAAATTTCCATCATAACATTGAATGCCCAAAAATTATATAAAAGACCAAGTTAATTTTAAGTTGATCGTGTCTGGATACCTTTTTAATGTCCATTGCAAAAAACAAAACAAAGTCGTCCAATTTATTTTTTTAACTATTTTTCCTTTAATTTTGATTATGAATTATATTTCCTTGATATATATTTAACCATTAAAAAAAATCATGCAAAGAAGGGTTAACTAGCATGCTGTGTTTTTCTTAAAATGATTGTACATTATGTATAAATAGATATTTTAATATATTTTTTTATGCAATTTAGAATGGTAAACAAGCTAACTAACTAATGGAAAGTGGAAAGGTCGTCAGCTTGTTTGCTATTCTAAATTGCATAAAAAAATATCTTTCTATCTAGCAATAGTTACAAATTTCCTAATTTTATTATATTAATAAGATAAGAACTAAAAATAAATTATAAGAAGAATAAATAAGCAATGTTTTGTATGAGATTTGTAACAAAACAAAAAACAAAAACAACCAAAGGAACGAATCTATAACTTATGAATACATTTATGAATTTTCTGCTAATTTTTTATTCTCCATTTTTTTATGACAATTTTATTTATTCTTTATTTGAAATTAAAAAATATAATAAATGTGTATTAATTTTTTTTAGTTTCCAACAAAATAACCAAAACCAAATCTTATAATATGTTTTTAATTTTTTAATTTTTCATTGTTAAATTTCATTGTAATCAGGAAAAGGACTCAAATATGGACTCGAAGAATGAAGAATCTCAGCCGAACAATGAACATCCCGAATTCAATCTCGATGAGTTTCTCAAGTTTGACTCCATACCTGATGTACTTACTGTGAGTAACCTTATCATAATCATATCAGGCTTCAACTATCCATTGCTGAACATAAGTCTCTACCTTGGGAGTTTTGCCAGTAGGTCACGCTCGGCAAGCGGGTTGGTAACCGCAGTTAGGCTTTGGAGATGTTTTAAGAAGGATGCTGCTGCCCATCACTTAGTCGCCTCTTTCGACACCAACAGGAAAGGAAGGACCAAACGAGACTTCTTAGTAACCTTATGTTTAAATTTAATACCCTCATTATAAAAAGCAGAACTAAGGATTTTTTGCATTTTTTTTTTGAGCCACACGCGTGCCCTATTTCTAAGCTATATTTTATGTCCCAAAATTATTTGTATTAGTTACTTTTAAATTTTCGCGTTGTTTACACATATTTTAAATATACAATCGGGACTTAACGCTATGTGAAAAAAGCTTTTACAGGTAAATAGTACGTACATACGTGTTTGTTTATTGCCGACGTTTCGACTTGGATTGCACTACGTCGTGATTACGACGTATGCGAGTGTAAAGGCTTATAACAGGATATTACATATTACAGGAATTACAGGGTACAAAAGAATAACACCTGAGTCCTCAGGAATGGCAACGCATGCGGGGTATCATGGGCGAAACAGTATACTCTGTTATGTCCATGGTACTGCTCATGTCTATAGGCGACGGTTAGCACTTTCCATCAGGTGGGCCGTCAGCTTGTTTGCCATTCTAAGTTGCATAAAAAATATATTACTTGTACTGTTTATTATTGCCTCTTTTAACTATAATTTGATGTGTAAGCTTTAGATACAAATTTTTTTTTGTATCTGTCTATGTAGAGATTAATAAGCAAAAATCGTAAAATATAGTACTATTTCCTTGTAATTTATTTAATTTTTTTTTTTTTTTTATTAGAATGGCAGTGGTGAGACTGAGGGCGGCAGTCGCTTCAGCCGATGGTTCCGCCGCGAAAGTCCGACCAACGATAGGCATTATGAGCGGCTACTGTATAACATGGTTGATGGTAAGTCTTTGTATCATATGATGATGTTTGTTATTAAATAAATAATTATTCTTTATTGTACTTTTAAATTACCTATATATATATATATATATATATATATATATATATATATATATATATATATATATATATATATATATATATATATATATATATATATATATATATATATATAATACTTTAACAGACAATTATTTACACATTTCATTTATTTCACTTGCGATGTAATTCAAGCTCAAGATTTAGCTTGACTAGTTTTTATGTACAGGCTTTATTATATTTATCTAATCAATTTAACTTATATGCATATGCAATTTAGTATATGTCCTGTGTCTACTGTGCTCATACTGTTGGATTGATATTATACCTATTTTGCTTTTCTAACATTTGGTTTGTTGGTAAAAACTAGTCGAGCCGGATCTTGAGCTCAATTTACTCGCAAAACATCCAAGTGCATTACATTAAATTTATAAATGCAGTATTTAATCTATATTATATATATATTCATCATCACATAATTTATTCATCATCATCATCATCATAATCATCATATCATCTGTTCATCATCAAAACGCAAGCGCACATCATTAACATATTTTTTGTGAAATAAATGCAATAATCTATATTATATATATAAGCCCCTTTTACTCCGAATTCTCTATAACCCTAGTAAGACATATTTTCCCTTTTTATTTATTATAATATATCTCTCAATTCGGTGTGCCACCTGGCACAGGCCTCCTCCAGCTCTCTCCACTGAACTCTATCCTCCGCCACTCTACTCCAGTAAGGCCCTAAGGTTTGGTTTGATAATCTATATTATTATTGTTAAATATTTTGCTGTAAAGCTGTCCTGTGCAAATAACAAATAAATAAATCGTAATTTGTGTGATTGTTAAAATAAAAAAACAAATGGGTTCCAGCAAGGAAGAGAACTCTTTTACAGTTGAGCTCGCTTTTGTACATTTGATTACCTCTGTCATATTTTTATGAATAATTGGTGTGTATAATAAAGTATTAAATAAATAAAATAAATAATATATAAATAATAAATATTTGTGTTCTTCTAGACCTAGACAATTCAACGCCACAGCAGCCGCCAATGAATAGCAATATGGCCAGCAGTGGATCTCCCCAGCACGTGTTCGCGCCCATTTCGCCGGCGGGCGCTCCCCCTGCCGGCGGCAGGCTGCCCTCGCTGTTGGACCTGTTGCGGCAAGCTAATGCCAATGCGGAGCAGAGGCCAGGTGGGTGACACTGTATAAGACCATTATTTACGTTTTAAATTTGAGGAAGCCCGACTAGTTTTTAATTCAAAATCTCGAATTCAAAAAGAAGGAGGTTCTCAATTTGATTATATATATTGTGTTTTACCTCTTAACACGGTTATTTTAAAACCGATTTGGATTTTTTTTTATCTGAAAGGATATCAAAATTGATTCATTAGTTTAGTTTTTAAATAAAATAACTGGTTTTTTCACTATTGAAGTCGGTTATTTTTTATGGGACACAATCTTTAATTATCTTAATCTATGATTCTATATCATCTTGATGCATTCTCAATTGTTGTTATGGATTTTTTTAATAATATAAAATGTGGGAAAACGCAATGTAGGACACTAGATGGAGTGACGACCTCAAATGCATTGCAGAGAGTCAGTGGATGCGGGTGGCTCAGGACAATTCTTTATGACAGTCTATGGGGGAGGCTTATGTCCAGCAGTGGACAAATAATGGCTAAAATAATGATAAATATAAAATCTTTCATATACCTATCTACTTGTTACTTACAGTGATTTTATTTCGTACAGTTACGAACTCGGTGGGCGGCAAAATGCAAAGCCTCGAGGAGCTGGAGGCGCGCCTGCGGCCACAACACCCTTCCGCACACCATCCAGGGCCTGACCATGACCTCTCCGCCTTCAAGAGACTTGTGAGTTCATACATTATTTAAAAACTATGCGTAGTATAGTTAAAATAATTAAAATACTTTTGAGAGAATGTTTTAAAAGTAAAACTTAACATTTTCCCCAAAAGAAATTTCAGTAAAAAAAAAATATCTTTCATATGCGGCATGGCTAAGTTTTTTTATTTATTATAATAAAATGGTAACCCTGTTCGCGCTAACGGTAAATGCTAGCGGGGCATCAGTGAGGGATGATAGGTACCTAATCGTGATGAATACACCTGTAAATCAGCATGATGGTTTTCAGGGGGACCAAGTTGTGGTCCACCTGACAAGGTAAGGTATAGTGTCTTGTATCGATAAATACTTGCGGTCGTAATCCCTCCTCGTGGTTGCGAGGCGGCGGCGCGGTGTGTGCGGTGTGTGCGAGCCGTTAGTGCTAGTGTGGTGTGACGTCACAGCTGGCGCAGGTGTCGGGCGGGCACGCGGTGCCGGCGGCCGAGCCCGCGCCGCGCCCGCTGCCGCCGCACCACCAGCCGCCGCACCAGCCGCCGCACCAGCCGCCGCCGCCGCAGCCGCCGCAGCAGCCGCCGCACGCCACGCTGCTGCAGATGCTCAACAAGGGCGCCGACCACAAGCACCAGCAGCAGCCGCAGATACCCTCCGAGCTCCTATACAAGCTTCTACAGGTTCAGGTATATATTTTATTTATTTTTATTATTATTTATATTTATTTATTTATTTGATATTGCTTTTGTGTTTTTCATTCTTTTAGTCTTTTACTGTGTATGTATGTATTATGTGTATGTTTGTATTGTTATTTGTGTGCTGTAAGTAATGCAAATAAATTATTTATTTATTTATTCATTAGTACAAATATGTGTACATGGCGGACTTAATGCTAAAAGCATTCTCTCCCAGTCAACCATAGAAAAGTGTAGGGGGGAAGTGTAATGTAGACTGAAAATCCCATTGCTAGCAATATACCCAACGAGGTCGACCTCCTCGCGGTTCCCTCTGGAAACTATCATGGTTATTGATATACATACATACTAAAATTCCATATATAAATGAATAACTTTATATAAACGACAAATATACTCACACTGCAGATAGATAGATAATTTATTTGTATTACTTACAGCACTTAGATTATCTATGATAATAATTTTACGTCTAAATGTGATTAATTGTACCACTGACAACATTAATTATAGCTTCAAAATTTCTGTTAAATCCTACTACCTCTCTCTTTAGTATTATTTTCCTGTCTTCTCTCTTCATTGTACTTCGTCATTCTTTCCTTTTGTATATGTGCTATTCAATATGTGTATGTTTATGCATATATTTGTTTTTATATATATTTGTATACATTTATATATATATATATATATATATATATATATATATATATATATATATATATATATGTCAGGAATAGATAATAAAATAAATAAATATATGCCATTCTAAGTTGTATGAAAAAAAATTATTAGTTTTCTACTTGATGCAATAAAGTGTTAGATAATAAAATAAATAAATATACATCCTCTCCATCCAAAGGTTGCCTGGAAGAGATCGCTCTTAGCGATAAGGTCGCCCATTGTTTTCTCATTCTGATTATTTCTTGTAATTGTTTATATTTATAATAAGTTTACTATTGTAATCTTTTGGAGGAAACAATAAAGAGTATCTATCTATCTATCTACATTACTATATAAAAAGAAAATATATAAACATGCAAATTTGCCGAGAAGTTGAGCTGATTATTACATCGATTCATTAAATTACATTTATCACACATTAACACAACCACATCATCGGCATCATTTATATAAAATAAACGAAAAATTAAATATATAACTATCTTATAATTTACCAATTATGTAGGTACATTAATAATTCCTGGAAGGAGGGAGGAGGTTACAAATTATTTAGTTATATTTTTTTTATATATTTATATTATAAAATTAATATTATAAAATCAGTCGCTGATGACCGATCTTAGGTGTTGTGTGTCCAACAATAAAATATATGCGAAAGTAATTACATTTATTAACATACTAGCGGCCCGTCCCGGCGTCGCACGGGTGGACATTTTTACATTTTAAAAAGTGGTCATTAAGGCTGCACACGCGACGGAAGCTTAAAAATAGAGTAACTTCTCTCGTTTTCCAAATATTTACTGCTGACTGACTGTGTGAAAAGTATTCTATGATGACAGATCTTAATTGTACCAAGTTTTGTTAAAATCCGTCAAGTAGTTTTTGTTTCTATGACGAACATACAGACAGACAGACAGACAGACAGACAGACACAAAAATTTTACTGACTGCAATAACATTTTATTATGGAAATATAAGTAACCTCTCTACATTTATTAACATATTACATTATATAATATTAAAAAAAAAATAAGAAAAAATCTATGTTCTAACTACCAATTGAATTTAGAACTATCACGTGCACACATTGACATTTCACACACACTAGTGTAATTGATTGTTTTTTTTGTCCCGCCTCTATGATTGTATTTTTAATCTTTACACTACGTTTATGTTTGTAGCGTCAGCAGCAGCATCAACAACAACAACAACAACAGCAGCAGCAACAGCAGCAACAACAACAACAGCAACCACCACTAGATATGGGCATGCACAGCGCGGACAGAGAACTGTTGCAGAGGCCCGAGGCGCAGGCGATTGTACATGGTAAGCATTTGTATTTATGGTAACACTAAAAGTAACCTTAACCAGGGTATCCTTGAAGTCGACGTCTACCTGTATTTGAGTAACAGGCTAACTGTAGATATTCTCGATTTAAAAAAAAAAATAACTTTAAAATTATGTAACTTAGATTTTTTTTGATAACTAATATGGCTTAGCCTCTTACTTACTCCGTTTCCATGCTTGGCAGGCAGGTATTTTTTTTTTTATACAACTTAGAATGGTAAACATGCTGATGGTCCACCTGATGGAAAGTGGTAACCGTCGCCTATAGACATGAGCAGTATACTGTTTCGCCCATGGTACCCCCCCATGAGTTGCCATTCCTGAGGAATCAGGTGTTATTCCTCTGTACCTTGTAAATTCACGCCATATCCTATCCTTCAAACCGAAACACAGCCATGCAAACACAACTGTTTCACGGTTGAAACACGAATGGGACAGAGGTATCCAAGCAATCGATTTTTGTACAAAGTCTCCCTCTGGTAAACAACCGCAGTTCAGCTTTGGTGATGTTTTGAGAGGGACATCCTCTCTAGACCATTAATGGTTCCCTTAATCACCTCTTACGACATTTACGGAAAAGGAAGGTTTTTTTTTGCTGGGAGAAAATGGTATAGTAACCCCGTCTGCGCTAACGGGATACGTTGGCGGAGCACCAGTAAAGGGTGATAGATGAGAATGAAAACAGGCCAGTTAGCCCATCATGATGAATTCATCAGGAATTAACCATGATAGTTTCCAGGGGGAACCGCGAGGAGGAGGAGGCGAGGGACCTGTTTGGGTATATTGCTAGCAATAGGATTCTCAGTCTCCATTACTAACAATCCCTTTGCCCCCCAAAAAGGAAGGGGTGGCCTATTCTATACCGGGACCACGCGGCCTTTTGATACGGTGTTTTATAAAAAAAACCTCTATTTGGCATGTGTTTCGTTATCTTAAGAATTTTGGAATCCCTGGAATGTGAATGTGAAAAAGACTCTATTTTCCGCGCTTAGCCTCTCATTTGGGCCGTTGTGCGTATGAGTCGTGGCTAGTACAGCCAATCTAGCTCCACCCAGAAGCGCAGAAGCTTCCTGGGTTCTTCACAGACCTTACGGAGCGACCTCACCGTTCCGAGGATTTCTAAACGTTGATGGGCCACAGCATCACATTCTAGGATTACGTGAGGAGCCGTTTCTTCAGCGTCGAAACAGCCTCGACATAGAGAACTGTCTGTGGCTCCTATTGTGTATAAATGTTTGTTAAATGGACAATGGCCCGTTATTGTCGCTATAATTATTTTGAGATTTTTTCTATCTAGATGTAATAAACGTTTTGATAGTCGTTGATTCAACGTAGGTACGACCAATTTTGATTGATTTGGAATCCCTGGTATACAATACAGTTACAATTGAAACTAATTATGACCAGTTTATTAATGTTAACCATATAATTATATTTGATTGTATTGTGACAGGTCTAAAAGCAGGCGAGATCACCGTGCAACACCTCATCCAGCAGTTAAGTAATCCCGGCCTGCAGAGCCGCCACCGGGAACTCCTACAGACTATACTGAGGCTCTACCAACAACAGAGACAGGTGATGTCACTAGTTTTTTTTTTACTTTATAGAAGCTATATCTTGCGGTATTACTCGAGTAAAACAGTATAGTATCTTGTGTAAGGTTAGGATATAACATCCCTATGTATCGAATATTCTTCAAATCCTTTAAATCCAGGCATTTAACTTTGAAATAATAATAATATAATAATATTTTTATTAAATCCGAAAATACATGTTTCAATTTTACATTTGTTCCCAAAACTTCACATATACATATATATACATCTCATTCACAAATACAAATTTACGCAACAGTACATATTTACATATAAATATAATGGTAATACATAAAAAAAAAAAACAAAAAGAAATTAAAGGAACATATAACATCGGTAAGTATCTTACTTTATTTTAATTACCAATCTTTTCATGTTACTTATTAAATATTAACCAATTATGATCCATACATACTCATAAACTTTCTCGTTTACAAGTAGTTTGAAGATTTTTTTTTAATCGATAAAAATGGAATGAATGAATGCTGGTGGAGCACCAGTGAGTGATGATAGGTGAAGACGAAAACAGGTCAGTTAGCCTATCATGTCTAATTCAACAAGAATTAACCACGATGCTTTCCAGAAGGGGCCGTGTGGAGGTCGACCTGACAGAATATATTTTTTATACCACGAAAGTGTTTAAAAAAGCATACAGCCCCTTTGATGATAAACGGTCACTGTAGCCTGCAACAGTAGGGGTGTCACATGTATGTCGTCCGAGCTTGATGTTACCTTAATACACCCTTTTTGAAAAAAACCCTACACTGCAGTGTCTAGGAAAAACTAGAATATTACTAACAATTGAACAATAATCCTCGATATATCGATCTGTCCCTCCTCTCTCTAAGGACAATTTATAGCCATCTCTGTTCCACACTTCGGTAATAATAGAATTGTTGTATGCGGTATACAGATGGGCGGTTCGCCGCTGCCCGCGGGCGTGGGTCCCGTGGGCGGAGTGGGGGCACCGCACCTAGTGCTGCCGCCGCACCAGCCGCTGCGGCTGTCGCCACTACCGCACCCCGGTAGGTGACGCCATGCTGCCCAATCACAAATCTGTGTTGATAGTTACTAGGTTTTACCATGTAACCACTACGCGAGCGGTAAAAAATTCCCTTCTGTATGTTCCCTTTTTTACCTCGTACATTTTTTATTTTCTACCTTCGTTATTAACTATATTCTGTAGATTTATAGTTTTTTTTTATGTAACTTAGAATGGCAAACAAGCTTACGACCCACCTAATTGAAAGTGGAAACCGTCGCCTATAGAAATGAGCAGTACCATGGACATAACAGAGTATATTGTTTCGTCCATCCATTGCCATTTCTGAGGATTCGGGTATTATTCCTCTGTACCCTGTAAATTCACTGCCATATTCCACCCTTCAAATCGAAACACAGCCATACAAATACAACTGGTTCGCATTAGAAATACGAATGGGACAGAGGTGCCCAAGCATATGACTTTTGTTCAAAGTCTCCCACTGGTAGGTGCAATGAGGTTAAAAAATATAAAAGACAAATCTTTTATATTTTTATACTATACAACTTTTATATACTATAGCTGGATTTCGATTTATTATAACTTTGCTTATTTTAAATGTGATATTGAGTAATCATGATGCGTATAACGAGTTGTTTGTTTGTCACGGACGCAGCATACTGTGTGTCGCCCATAATGGCCACTAGTCCCAATACATTAGCAGTGCATCATCCAGGTAGTGTATTTGCTATGGAAATCTTATATTATTATACTGTATATACATATTACTCAAATAATTTATGAATTTAAAAAAATCATATTCGAATCTAAATTATTCAAATTTGAATTTTAAATTCAACTGTATTCTCTCAACTCACTCAACAGATTATTTATGAATATTATAAACATGTGAATGTATATAATTAGATTTTTTTTTAATGGGTGATAATGGAATGGTAATCCCACCCGCGCTATCGGTATACACCGGCGGGGCACCAGTGAGGGATGATAGGTGAGGATGGAGTAGGTCATTTATCCATCTATCGTGACGAATTCAACAAGAATTGTTCGCGATGATTTCCAGGGGGAACCACGTGGAGGTCGACCTGACAAGATATATTGCTAGTAATGGGGCTATTTGACCTCATTACTGACAATCTCTTTCCCCCCTATAATTCGAATTTAGAATCACATCTTTTTGACTTTACGCATTGGATATTTGTTTTCAGGGTAAAGGATATGTTCTTTATTAAAAAAGAAAAAATAGGTTAAAGTAAAAGTTTCATACAGTTTTTGTTGTGGTAATAATAGGCAAATATCTTCCTTTTATAGAGAAAGCTAGCCGTTCCCAACAAGGAATATCGATAAGTAAAATAAAATAACACTATGTCAAAAAACGACATATTTAAATAATTGATACTCGAGATCCAAATTTGTCCAGGTATTTAGAGGTGTAGATAAATTAATGTACTCATATGAACCCTAAAATTGTTAAATTTTTTTGGGTATTGTAATATAAACTTTATTTCATTATACGCATGGTTTCAATTTGTTCGTTCTGAACAGGCGTGCCCGCTCGCATCCCGTCGCCGCGCGAGTTGGTCGCGCACACGCAGTCCATAATGCAGGGCGCACTCATAAAGAAGAAGCTCGAAGAACAAAAGGAGAACTTCCGCCGGCGGCACGAGATGCAGCAGCAACCGAAACAGTCTACGCCCATCTCTTTCACACCCACCTCGGTAAGTTTAATTTGAATTGGGCCAGGCCAGTGTTACATCGAACAAAATACAATTGTATAAAATTTCTGGTTCGCCCTACGAGGTTGTCATTGATGACAAAACGGTACCATAATTATTATTATTGTTGAAATATGGGCTTTTTCAGGAAAAAAAAAAACTGTGACACTGCGACTTTTCCATGATTTTTTATGCTTGCCTTTTTTTTAAAGTTCCCTGCTTATTCTATCAATGATAGGAAATTTAAGTTGATTTTTGTAGCGATATTTTCTATCTTCTCAGGATATAAAGAGTGTTTCCCAAAGGAGATACATCGTTTATGTATGATTGGACTACAGTCATACATTAAATGCTGCGACGTTTTTTCCTTACTGTGAAAAAATCTGCTAACACTTTCTGTGCGTAAGCCTAGTTGGGCCATATGCTTGTTTAGTTTACAGTGTCTAGTGAGATCCCTTGTTTTACTTAAAGAAATTAATATCTTAATTTTCTTAATAACCCTTAATCAGGGCTTTGGAGTGATTTAAACCTGGCAAAAAGAGCCAAGTTACGATCTAACATATAAACATTAATTTAGACAGTTTTACTCATGAACTTGCGTCGTATCGTTACAGGTACTGCGCAAAATGACAGCGGAGAAGGAATCTGAAGCGCCCAGTCCGAAGCAACAACAGTGGGCGCAGCCTATGAAGATGCCACAGGGGAGGCCCATCGTTAAGGTATGATATGAGCCCACTGGTGCGGATTTATATCTATATTTATAATCTAAACATTTGTACATTTGTTTGTTTGTAATAAATAAATTCAATAACTACCTAACCGATTTTTTAAATTCTTTATAAGACTACTTATTGCTTACTTTCTTTTTTCAATTTTTTTTTATACAACTTAGAATGGCAAACAAAGTGATGGAAAGTGGTAACCGATGCCTATAGACATGAGCAGTACCATGGACATAACAGAGTGTACTGTTTCGCCCATGATAATATCCTCCATGCGTTGCTATTCCTGAGGATTCAGGTGTTATTCCTCTGTACCCTGTAAGTTCAAAGCGAAACACAGTCATGCAAACACAAATGCTTCACGGTAGAAACATGAAAGAGACAGAGGTACTCAAGCAATCGACTTTTGTACAAAGTGAAATGGCGTCCATCTTAATATATATAAGTTTTTTAATAGGTAATTAAGTATACTATTGTGTGGTGTGTTTCGCAGGGCAACCAAAGCGGTGCAGCGCCCCCTATGGGCTACGCGCCCGCCGACTACCAACAGCAGTATCTCACGCAACAACAGGTTAGTTTTGCATTTCGTTTGTTAGATTCTTCACCTTTGTCACTGCCTTCATTCGATCTTTTCTGTTCATATTGGAAATGCTTAAGTGTATATCACATATAAAAAAAAAAAACACTGTAAATTTTGCTAAGCTGCTAAATTATGTAAAAATAAGTAACTAAGTCGGGAAACTCGTAGAAACAAAAGCAGTGTGGGAAGACCTCCCTCCCTCCACCACTTAGTCTAACTTTTCACTTAAATTTAAACTTTAATTCAATGCAGTAAATTCTTTTATTGTCGTCTAGTTCCGACATAGAATAAATATAGGGCCCACACCTTTTCTCGTGGGTGTCGTAAGAGGCGACTAAGGGAACTAAACGGTCGAAATAGTGGCAGTAGCTTCTCTTTTAAAACATCACCAAAGCTTAACTTCAGTTGCCAACTCACCTGCCAAGCGTGGAAATTACTGGCACCCCTACCACCTCCCCTTCTCCCTTCTCAATAGGGGTGGCGTATGTTCAGCTGTGGACAGTTAATTTATACGCAGTAAATTTACTTGCACATTACACCATTAGTAATAATTATATAATTTGTGTTACAGCAAATGGTTGGTGGCGGCCGACCTTTCCCTGCTCATCCCCAGCAGAGGCAGCAGGTACCCCCGTCGGTGTGTATATATACAATTTAATATATTACTGTGTATATATATATATATATATATATATATATATATATATATATATATATATATATATATATATATATTCACTTTATATTATTTATCATTATGATCTCATTTATTTTACATCTATATATGTAGGTTTATGGTAGGATGTAAATATTTAATATTTTTGTATAGATTTCTATTTTGCACTACTGCTGCCCACTCACTACTTCCTATGCCACTGTATTTTTTTTATTGGATGAAAATGGAATGGTAACCCTGCCTGCGCTAACGGGATACGCTGACGGGGCACCAGTGAAGGGTGATCGATGAGAATGAAAACAGACCAGTTAGCCCATCATGATGAATTCATCTGGAATTAATCATGATAGTTTCCAGGGGGAACCGCGAGGAGGTCGACCTGGTTGGGTATATTGTTAGCAATGGGATTCTCAGTCTCCATTACTAACAATCCCTTTCCCCCCTATGTCACTGTATTAGGTTAACCAGATGAAATTTCTTTTAGAGGTAAATTCACCTGTACTTTCATTATTTCTAATTGTTATTATTATTGTATGTTTTAGTGCAATAAAGAATATATTATATATAAAATATTAATATGTATTATAAAATTGTATATATATTAATATGTAAATAAAATTAAATAAAAAATTATCATCCACAGTACAATAATGTGAACAACATGCGCGGCGTGGCCAGCGGCGCGACACTGCAACAGTTGCTCGTGCAATCACACCAGAGGACGCTGAGCGGTTAGTAAAATATATATTGTATACTAGCTGTATCCCGCGGTTCCGTGTACTAATTTTTTTTTTATACAACTTAGAATGGCAAACAAGAATGACAAAAACTCTCCCAGTCAGCTTTGGTAAAACAGAAATGTAATTATTTATTTAACATAGTAAAACCAAGGCTACACTAGAGCAAAAAGATACAGTTTAGGATCACAAAATAAGCCACTAATAGGTTTTCACAAGTAGCAACAATATAAACAATATTATGCGGTGAAAAATTGAAAATTGTCTATATACAACAGTTTTTGTTTGTTGCACGGCAAAATTTCCGAATATAAACATTTTAAGAGCTTTCTTTCGTTGCTTGACTCCATTCGCGAACAATTTCCATACATGAGTCTAATTTTAAAGGATTCAAAATCTTTTAACCCAGCTCTAATAATGTTTTTGATTAGATGGTAAAGGAATGGTAACCTGACACTACGCTAACAAGCTCTACCTTTAGGAAACAAAATAAACATTTGACTCCTGGTCGGTCCTATTTAGGACACTAACTTGCCTAAATTAACTCAGATTTGGGTGTACTCGACTATTTTAGCTGGTAGACCACGCGTCTGGTATGGTTGTATGGTACTAATGATTATAGTTAAACATTATCATGTGCACTTGTGTTATAGAAATGGGCGGCGGCGGCGCCGGGTCCGGCGGCGGGGACAACCAGCTCGCCCGGTGGTTCTCGCCGGAGCTGCTGGCGCGCGCGTCCGCCGGCAAGCTGCCCTCCGTGCACGTGCCCAACGCGCTCTCCCTCGAGGACTTGGAACGGCACCACCACTCGCCAGCGCCGCCTGTCCGCAACTGAACAGAGAACACTCCGTGTGGCCACCCAGTGGTATCCACACACATCCGTTCAACTCAAAAATCGATTTGACTCTAAAACTGTGTGTTGAAAGTTTGAAACGACTCAAACATTTCAAAATTGTGTTTAATTAACCAGACTCACGGTCTCACTATGTATATTCGATCGATAGGACTCGACGGTTTCAAAATTGTGTGTTTGGTAGACAGGACTCATAATCAGGAAATTATATGTATATGTATGATGAATAAAACATGGTTTACGTGTGTGCAGCTAAAGTTGATTTCAAATGGTTGACACCGTTAAAATACTGGACAGTATTCTGTTGTTTTAATCAATGTCAGATTGTAAATCCAACGTGTGTTTACAACACTGTTAACTCTAGTCTTATTTGGTAAATTATCTTGACATGTCTTTTCGAAGACTTATTTATTATAATATGAAGATATAAGAAGTAATGAACAACAATAAAATATAATCGGTTGTACAAGGACAAAAGGGCATGTCTTTTAGGATTGTTTACAAAAAAAGACAAAGATCTGACTGTACTGTCCAATTGATTGTATTTGAAACGGCTCACATAGCGACGATCGGACGATTATTAAATGTTGGTCAACATATGTCATTATTATACAGAGTTACATGTGTCGCTGAATCTGCTATGTATTCTACGTGACGGTAGAAGTGTTACAAATACCAACGAGATCTAGTTGAAATTTTCGAACGTATTAATTTAAAGCACTTTCGAGTATGTGTGTATAGTTTTTCTTATTATATTTATCTATTTATTGTCCTTATTTTTATAGTCGGTTTAAAGACCGAGTGCGCGTGCAAACAATGATTGTAAATTATTGTTTTTGCATGGTAACAAAAGAGCCAGTGTACCCTCGAGTAATGTAGCGACGGAAAATACTCTATATACTTAGTAAATGAATGTATTTGATCGAAAAGCAATGGACAAGACTGCTGGCAGTTTGGAAAAGATAGATGTGTGACATCTAGATGGAGAGTATCACTGCAAACGACAGACAAACTAACTCATAGATTCCCGATTCCCAGTGAACTCTGTTGCATGCCATATCGCAGATAAATCACTGTAGATCCAATATATCTCATATGATCTTACACATCGGATCCAAAGACAAAGTGGTAGCGTTACCCATTTTTTTTTATTTGTAATGTGTACTATCGACATTTTCTTTCTTCTAAGGGATGTTGTGGTCAAGAAAAAGTTGGGAATCTATGGCCTAATTTAAAAGAGATGCACTTATTCAATCAATCTAATCGGACGTTTATCACACAAACCATCATTTTATATATTTATTTACTTTTAAACTTGTACACTGTGATAAGAAATTTAATATTGCCACTCTACTTGTATTAAAAAACAACTTGTCAACCAAAAGTGATCCATCTAGATGTATTTGATAAAGATTTGTGATGCACATGCTTGTTTCTCGTACAGAAGTATGCCAGATGCACGTAAAAACTAACTACTAATGTCTGTATGGAGATTTGCTTGTCTGCCAGTTCAAGATAGGACAAAAGTTCCTTCCCTCTCTTCAAGAAGTATTATAGAAGCTGGCATACCAAACAAACGTGTGTATTACTTGATAGTTTTTTTTTAGACCTTTTTCGTCGTGCGTGTTATATCTAAATTGATTGTAAATTCATTTATAGGACTCATAAAGTGGCCGGATCAATTTTAGTTTTCATGAAATACGCTGAGTTTATTATCAAAATGAATTGCCGTGACAACTATAAACTGTTCATATTGTATCTAAGATCTCTGGCTGCTTGCAATTATTTATGCTGTATCCATATTGATACACTGTTATAGATTTTTAAAAATACTCGATAAATAAGGCCATCATGTTTGAATTTTGTAGTGTCACAGTAAAGAGATGCATTTAATTGAGATATAGAACAGATTATGGTCTACAAGGTGGAAGCTGATGGCGGGTTCGCAGTTTTTGGTGTATTACTTTATATATATACTAGTTTTTAGACTGACTACTACTATAGTTAAAATTTAGTTATTATTTTCCCACCCTCTGTCAGCTCCCTATAGTACCAGTGCATGTACATTGTTAGTAATAAATGAGATACGTTTAGATGTTACCCATAAAGTATTTACGAACAACATCTCCATGACGGTCGTAGACAAGGTGCGCGGGCGCAAGAAGACGATTACAATACGAGCCATCACATTCGAACTAGTAACGATCCCGCCTCGTCCGGGCTGCGTCCGGCTCATCTGGTCGGCTGATATTCTGTGCGGAGCGTGTGTACGTGCGTGAGTGTATGCAAGAAATATATGTATATGTATGTCTGCCTATGGTTGTGTTTGTAAACAATTTTGTTACTAAGTCATTTTCTTGAAAAGGAGAAAGATTTACGTTGAGAAAGTAAATAAAGAGATATTTGTCATTTTTCATGTCTATACACTTATTGTTAGTTAATAGACATTTTAGGGTGACCTTTTCAGTTTTTTTTTTCAATCGCGATCTTTTTGTTTTTGTATGACGATTTTGGAATTAGCACAAGTGTCCGATATTATAACCCATTTGTGTTATAAATTCCTGAATATATTTTTTTAAACAATATTTACTATTCGCCCCACTGCGAAACTCGAACTAGGTTACAGTCGATCACGGAATACTAGATCGCTCGATAGTCAATTATAATTTTGTGTGTACCAACATCGGACAACAGTGCATAGGTTGTAACCGTCCAAAGTACGCTGACACGTCTCAGCTAAACCAAGCAATACACATACACACTCGCCTATGCCTTTGAACATTGAATTGTATCACTTCAAAGCGACAGGAACAAGGGCTGTTATTCAGCACATGTTTTGAATAGCTTTGTGCGTGAGGGTCTTAAAAATGATTGTGTGAGAGCGCGGGCGCATTAGATGCGTCCAACCTTATCGATTACCGGTCATTAGTGGCGAAATTTTTGTTTATCTGGATCGTGGTAGCTCGGCTCGAGCCGGCCCTTACGTAATACAAGAGAATGTCTCCTGTAAGCTTTAAATTATTGATTAAAGAAAATTTGAAAGTTTCACCGTCTTTTATTTTACTGATAGGTGGCGTTGGTATGAAAAATTTCAAGAATCCAAAAGTAAAAATGGCATCGAAAATTAAACTCAATTATATTATGCTGCCATTATATCTGAATCCAAAGCCCATTATGCCAAAATATTTTTAGAATTTTTTTAGTAATATCTAGTTAGTACACGGATGTACTAAGTATTTCATTGTTCTTTGACCTATTATCCCATTTTTTTTTTTATAATTTTAAATTAACCAACTTCAAAAAGAAGGAGGTTCTCAATTCAGTTTTATATTTTTTGTTTGTTATCTTATAATTCTGGCAGTTATAAACCGATTTGGAATTTTTATTATCAGAAAGGATATTCTTACAGATTGGCCTCATAAAAGTTTTTTATCAAAATCGGTTCAATACAACGTGCAAAATATTGTCGCACTGGCATAAATATGACTTGTGCTCATAGATTAAGGATAGTCTTGCGTTATATTTTTTTTGCACAAGTATAAAGCATTAATTAGTTTTGCCCATAGACTTAGTATAATGTAGTATTTGCCACAAACGAATTAAAAAAACGATTCATGTACTACAGCCATATAAAGTAAAGAAACCAATCTATTTTTTTTTTCTGCTATATCAGAGATATGAAACCTCAAAAAAAAAATAGTCCGCGCATGGTTCTTTGGAATGCCTACTTTTAAGTTCTGTTTACGAACAAATATCCTAGATGGCGTTAGTATTAAATATCACGGATTGTGATGTATTAATAATATACTAGAGCAGCGATTTCTAAAGTGGGTTCCGTAATAAAGTCATCAGGGTTCCGCGAAATTATTTATACAGTGAAACAATTTCATTTTTCACATTAAAAATTAAAAGAAACTATAAAGTGTTATAACTACTTTTAAAATATATAAATACTTTTAAAATATTTGTAATAAAATTTGTAAAAAAATAAAATTTTGTAAAAAAATTAGTTCTTATTTAAATTATAGTGTTTTTGATTTGTAAATATTTGGTATGGAGTTCCATAAAATAAAAGGATATGACTAGCGATGGGCGAATCCGAATGATTTTGTTATTCGAATAAATAGTAAGATTCTAATTTTCGTATTCGAATGATTTTACTGATTAGTTACTAATCAAAACAAAGTCCTTACTCTGTATCTGCTACTACTAAATTTATTCCAGTCTGCATCCACTATTACTAGATCACTATGTCAGTGTAAACGAAGACAATGAAAAAAAAACAAATACATCAATGTATTTTTCTGCTTATTTTAATAATAACTATCGCAATTTAGTATAAATACATTTTTCCCACACCTTTACCTACTTCCTTTCGATACTTTTATCAAACATTGGTAATTTTTACTAAATTTAAATTGGCAACACTCTTGCTCACAAAAATTCCAACGATCGGGTTTTTTTTTTTTGAGGAGTGAAAATGGTATGGTAACCCCGCCCGCGCTAATGGGATACGCTGGCGGAGCACCAGTGAAGGGTGATAGATGAGAATGAAAACAGGCCAGTTAGCCCATCGTGATGAATTCATCATGAAGAATTAATCATGATAGTTTCCAGGGGGACCGCGTGGAGGTTGATCTGGTTGGGTATATTGCTAACAATGGGATTTTTAGTTTCCATTACCACTAATCCCTTTCCCCCCGCGTAGGCGGGGTTACCATTAGTTGGCCCATCGGCCCATCCTGATAAATTCATCTAAAATGAACCACAATGGTTTCCAGTAGGAACCGCGTGGAGGTTGACTTGTCAGGAAATAGATTTCATTACTAACAATTCCTTACTCCCCCTGAAACGCAGGTCTTTTTTTAACGTATGGAATGTACCCCAAATGGAGTGGTAACCCCGCCTGCGCTAACGGGATACGCTGGTGGGGCACCAGTGAAGGGTGATAAATGAGAATGAAAACAGACCAGTTAACCCATCATGATGAATTCATCAGGAATTAATCATGATAGTTTCTAGGAGGAAACGCGAGGAGGTGGACTTGGTTGGGTATATTGCTAGCATTGGGATTCTTAGTCTCCATTACTAACAATCCCTTTCCCTTCTTCCACTAGAATTAACCACGATGGTTTCCAGGGGGAATCGCGTGGAAGTCGATCTGATCCCATTACTAACAATCTCTTTCCCCCTGAAAGGCAGGTCAGTTAGCCTATCGTGACGAATACACCTGGAATTAAATATGATGGTTTCCAGAAGAGACTGCGTGGAGGTTTCTCCGATAATGAAAATCAGATCAATTGCCGATTGTAATTAATTCACCAAGAATGGTCCATTATAGTTGCTAGTGGTTTTTTTCTAATGGTATGAAAATGGTAGCAATGGTGCTACCATTGCAAGTTTGGGGGAAAGGGATTGTTAGCAGTGGAGTTTGATAGCCCCATTGCTAGCAATATGCCAGGTCGCATATTAGGTCGACATCCAAGCGGTTCCCCCTGGAAACCATCTTGAATAATTCTTATTGAATTCGTCACGATGGGCTTACTGATTTTCTTTATCCTCACCTATCATCCTTCACTGGTACCCCGCCGGTGTATATCGATAGCGAGAGTGGGGTTACCATTCCATTATCACCCATAAAAAAAATTATCTACCATTGCAGGTAAAGTCACACGGTTGGACTGGGCCGGAAAGGCCCCGGTAGCTGACCACAAGCCCAGGGTAGGTGTTGGTAATTGCACCAGTTGGTAGCGCCACTGTAAGCCCCGCAAGTCAGATCTATGGGGGGTGAATGCAGGCTGGGATCCGGCTGGCAAATGGCACCTCGACTATATGGCCAGTCCGATGCTGGACTCATACTCCATTACTAACAATCCTTCGCCATGGTTTTCAGGGGTTACCAAGTAGAGAACGATCTCATAGAATATAATGCTTAATAATATAGCATGGGGCCATTTTTTTTTTATGGATGATAATGGAATTGTAACCCCGCCTGCGCTATCGGTATACGCTTGCAGGGCACTAGTGAGGGATGATAAGCGAGGATGAAACAGGTCAGTTAGCCCACCGTGATGAATCTAAAAAATCACGATGGTTTCCAGGGAACCACGAAGAGGTCGACCTGACAGGGTATATTGCTCGCAATGGGGCTACTAATCCCCATTATTAACAAGCCCTTTTCCCCCAGGTGAAGTTTTGAGTTTAGGTATGTAATACTTAAATATAAACAAGTAACCAAGTAGCTACATTAGTATCTAGATGGGTACGCTCGATTTCCAATCCTGGCAAAAAATACTACGTATAAATTATAGCTGACGATTTAAGTTCCAAAAATATGTAAGCAGAACAGAATAAGTGTTTACTTGTTCTGTTATTGTAGGTGGTTAACTAAGTAATGTGTTCTAGGTATTTTAATAAATAAGTATGACAACATTATTTTTATAAATATTTATTTAGACAAAAACAATTTCAACACAAAAAGAATAAATAAGTATAGTTAGCTAAAAAAGCTGAAGAAAGTCAAATAGGTACACAAACAATACAGACATGATTTGACTTAACTTTGACGTTTGACGTCATCGAGACAAAACGTGTACACACAAATCGCAGTATAATATTTCAGGCACGCATTTATTAATTTATAATAAACTTTAATGGCAGTCTCCTTGCGTTTAATAAAACTCAAAAAATTCTACACGAAATAGTGACGGTAAAATGTAATAATGCATAGTATATATTTAACCTCAATAATTGCTCCTACCTATCGCAACACGACACACAAAACTTGCACGGCGGCATTCGCAAGCGAACTGGCGCGTTGGTTAGCTGTTGCTCCGATCCCGTCATGTAATTTCGTGACGTTTTATCACAACGAGCATGCGCAGTCGGCGAGTGCACAAAGTCCAAGGATCAATAATGTTAGAAGAGTACGTAGGCACTAAAATAGCCGGTCTCTTTGGTCTGTCCGATGCGAATATTGCAAGAATATGAGTCGTAATACAATGAATAAATGAACAAACAGTTCTCGAGAAATGCAGATAATATTATGCTTATCTAGTTAACTTACCTGTATTAAATTTCTAAATAGCAATGTATTAATAAAATATAATAAAAATAGGTATAGCAGAAAACATTGTGTATGTATTTTGCAATAATAATGTGTCATTTCGTAACTGCGTAGTTATGACTTGGTACATTCTACCTGTTTTTGTTCAATATGAATAAATTAAAATTAAATTGTATTGCATTCCTTATTATTTTAATTAGTGTTATTTTATTATTATATATCGCCTCCATGTAGACATATTCTCACTATTATAAAATTGTGAGTTTGTTACTTCTTGGTCTAATTTGTGGTTTCTTCAACGATTCAAACGATAATGAAATTTAATATACCTATTCCTTTTGTAGAAAGCCTATTTTATAGAATAAACAAAAATATGGCTTCATTTAATCCCTGTCAATTAATATATCCATCTTGTTGGACGATATCATAGCTAAAAAAAGTTATTTAATACCTAAATATCTTATGTGCCCGCATTTAAAAATGTATATTACCTATTGATATATTTCCAGATAAAGTTTAAACATAAATACATTGAAATTTATGTAATATTGGAATGACAAATGCATATATTTTCAATTAATAATAAGCATATAATTATAGTGTGTATATATATTAGTGAAAAAAGTCCATATAATATGGCGGTGAGAATTTTTAATAATCTTCCAGATAATATAAGAACCCTCTCTGGAATGACATTTAAAAAAAAAATTGCATGAATGGCTAGTTGAATCGTATTTTTACTCTGTTAGGGATATTATGTCGGATTGAAAGCGCGGAGATTTGTACGTATTATCGTTATATTTGTAACATATCCTACTTATTGACTTCTTTATTTTTATTAGTACATCTCACTGTTATTGTTGGCCATCTGATATCCAATTGTTATTTATTTCTACTATTTAAACTAGTCGACTGAATAAATTAAAATTAAATTCTATTGCATTCCTTAATATTTTAATTAGTGTTATTTTATTATTAT